CGGGTCATGACTGGGGTTGTGATTGGGGTTGTGAGATGGAGCCCTGAGTCAGGTTGCACTGCAGTCTCAGTGCTGAGTGGGCTTAAGACTCTCTCTGTCCCTCCCCCTTTTGGGCAAGAACCCTTGCATGCTCACTCTCCCTGTCTCTCAAATGAATAGGGGAATCTTTAAAAAAAAAATCTTGTTTTTTTCTTATGGAATGATGATAGTAGATGATAGATTTGCAGTTGGCTCATGTGTGGGAGGGTAGATTTGCTTGTTTGTGTTTGAAGATAACCATCACTCTTACATATCAAAATATAAATAAGACAATCCACTGTTGGTCTCCATTAAATTTTTTTTATTTTGTTGCCCTGTGAAGTTCAAAATATAAAGAACTTTTAGATTAGATGATCTTCTGGATTCTTCCCACCCAAACTTTGCATCACCTGGGCCCTCCCTGCCAACAACCCTTAGACTGAAGTGTGGTAGGAAGAAGGGGAGGAACATAAGGAAGGGAAAGGGGGGAAGAGAGAGATTCCTGTGTGCCATTCTGATAATTTTCGCACGTCACAAAATATTATTTTTCTTTTTATTTTTTTTCCAACTATTTGAAAATACAAAAATCATTCTTAGCTCAAAAGTAGTGTAAAAACAGACAGCAGACTGGATTTGGCCTGTGGGTTGCAGTATGCCAATTACTGATTTATACTGCAAAGTCCATGAACTACCATGTTATGTCCATCACTGGGATTTTACATCCCATTGCTGGGGGCACAGCGACAGTGTGAGGGGAAGAGATATATCTGAGTCCCTCCCCCAATGCCTCAGTAGCCTACAAAGCCAGCCGATAATTAAATATAGCAGAGTGGTTGAGAATATGGCCCTGGGTCAAACCACCTGGATTAATATCCCCCAGCTCCATTCATAATGAATGACCTCCAGCCTCCGACATCCAGTTTTCTTAGCTCTAAGGTGGAGCTAATTCTAGTACCTACCTCACAGAATTGTTATTGGGTGTAAATGAGGTCGTGCATGAGGCAGGGAGCCTGATCAGTGCCCTATGCAGTCACTGCTCAAAAAATGTTAACTACCGGGGGCGCCTGGGTGGCTCAGTCAGTTAAGCGTCTGCCTTCAGTTCAGGTCATGATCTCCGAGTCCCGGGATCAAGCCCCCATGTCAGGCTCCCTGCTCAGCGGGGAGTCTGCTTCTCCCTCTCCCTCTCCCTCTGCCTGCGCGCGTGCACGCTGTCTCTCTCTATCAAACAAATAAATAAAATCTTAAAAAATAATGTTAACTACTGAAATCATCATAGGACGGATCCAAGTTCATTTCCTCTACAGCATCCTTATCATGGGATCCTTCAGAGTCTATTAATCTTAAATGAATGGCGAAGGCCTCTTAGTACTGCTAGACTCAAAACACTTTAGGGCAAGAAAAAGAAAACAAACCTGGAGTTAACGATTATAAATCCCACTCACTGCCTTACACGAGATGGATGGAACTTTCTTACTGATTTATTCCCAAATGTACCAGAGACCTCTGATTGCCCCCTTCTTTGTCAGAGCCAGTAATGTGCACGCTTGCTGTCGTCCAGAAAAACAAAAAACGGGTGGCTGATTTAGATGTCTAGACTAGTGGTGTCTCCCTGGACAGGGCTTGAAAGATAGGAAGTGGCATCTCCAGTGAGATTTCTGCGATACCCAAGTGGGGCGACAGCGGCTTCTGGGTGGGGAAGAAGGGGCCACCGCGAGAGCGGCGCACGGGTGTCATTCCCCTTTAGTGGAGGGCATGCTGCCAAGGCTCACGGTCAGTTGCTTAAGGCAGACGCGGGATGGAGGGGCCCTGCGAAGAGCAGTTCATGGAGTCTGTCTGGCTCAGTCAGCCACACTTGGTCAGCTCTTTTCACACACAAAAACGTTCGCCTCAGGCTATTGGCTGGGCAAAGGATCAATAATCATAATGCAGAATCAACAGACCTGCTCAGTAGAGTGTTAACCAGCTTTGAACGCTGCCAACTTCCCCTTACCCCAAACCAGGCCAGGCTGGGCGTGGGGGAGGAGAGGCTAGGGGACAGGCAGGAAACCAGAATATGTCACCCCAAATATGTCTCTTCGACATAAAAATTATTTTGAACTGAAAGCAACGATGAAGCAATAAATGCAGAGAAGGCTTTTTATTTTGTTGCATATTTATAAAAGGGCATATTTTTCAACTTCGCGGAGGGTTTAAAATTTTCCAAAAAAAAACTTTTCAGTCCAAGCAACTAACAACTAATTAGCCTGGTGTTAATTTTAACTTGTATTAAAATAACCAAGGCTTTTAGTTTCATTTTTTGCCACTTCATCAATAGTTGCGCATAATTCATGCGTAAAGAAAATATCTCAGTCACAGTAGAGCAAAACAACAGCAATATGATTCATATGTCTCGAAATTCCAGGTCCAAATTGGCTGTAAAAAAATTTCCACCTTTCCATCTACCCATTGATCCATTTAATCAATCCACAAGCCTTGGCTGAGGATATATTATACATCAAGGTTACTGATGTGAATTAGACTAGAATTCCTTCCCTCCTAGGGCTTACAGGCACCAGGGAATATATACATTAAACACAGGAGCAAATAAGAAGGAAGACCTGATCTCATTTGGGGGCAAACACTTGTTCAAGCTAACATTGAAAGATTTCCAGTAACGTACGGCAAACATGGCTTTTACTCCAAGAAATAAAATAAGGCCTGTCTCATGACCTCCGTGTACCTTCTCAGAGGTTAGAGGACTGGTAATTTGCCTCCTTTTACAGAGAGGTTCAGAGTCTCAGAGAGTGCTGTGTTGTGTCTGGGAGGCAGAAGGGTCAGAGATGCTCACTGTCCACTGGAAACCGTGCCTTGAACTCGAGCATTGGGTCCTCGCACGGGTGGCTCTTCCTTGCCCAATATCTAGTGCTCTTGGCTGTAGGACTCAGACTCCTTTCTGAAGCCCTGCTGCCCCCTCCAAATGCTGTGTGGGAGCAGGGTGCTTGTCCCTCCAACCCTTGGGGCCAACTGTCAGCAGGTACTTAAACCAGAAACAAAAACTAGGGCTCTTGTCTTCAGGCAGCTTTTGCTTTCCCAAAAGTGAGGGACAGAAAAGCCTGGCTACTTGCTCGGGATGACAGGAAAAAAGACATCGCAAACAAAAAACAGATGTGCAAATTAGTGTGTCAAATGATCTAGTGTTTAGAAACATTTAGAGGATTAGCTCTAGCTTGCAGACTCAGATTTTAGGTGATAGCTTAGACTAGTGGAATCAGAATCACCCAGAGGGCCTGTTAAAACAGAATACTGATATTAAAGAGGGCACATTCTGTGTGGAGCACTGGGTGTTATGCACAAACAATGAATCATGGAACACTACATCAAGAACTAATGATGTAATGTATGGTGATTAACATAACAATAAAAAATAAAAACAAACAAACTAAATCCTGCAAAAAAAATAAAATAAATAAAAAACACAAAGCGCGCGTGCGCGCGCGCGCACACACACACACACACACACACACACACACACACACACACACACACAAAACAGAATACTGAGACCCACCCCCAGGGTTTCTGATGCAGTGTGTCTGTGGTGGGGCCGATAGTTTGCATTTCTGACAAGTTTACAGGTGATGTGGATGCTGCTGATCAGGGGATCCCCACTTTGAGAACTATTGCTTTAGTAGAGTATGCTTGAATATGTGATTGAAATGAACATAAAAGTTGAAAAATCTAGAAAGACAAGATTAAATATATGATGTCAAGGTATGACTTAATGACCCCAAACATCTAGGAGGAAAATCAGAAAAATCTAGTCTTCTAAAAAGTACCAAATATCCAACACTTGGAGAGAATATAGATTTTCCTTTTCAGTCAATCACTTTCCATTCATATAAATTGTGAGGTATGTATAAACGTGGTGTCTGAAAATTACTCTACACTTCCCTTCCTTGAAAGGTGGCATAGCCTACTGCTCTAGGCTCAGGAAATATATTTAATTAAAGATGTTTTTGCCTAAGCATTTTATTTTAATTGAACAAATAGGGTCCTCCACTTTGGAAATGTCTGAAGCAATTTCTCTTTTTTATGTTTTCTACCAACCAGCCAGCACAGGTCCTAGACTTGCCCTGCCTTTGCTGTCAATTAATATTCTTTTCCTGTGGAAAGCAAACTCATTCTCAGTTAATATTAACCTGAAGAAAAAAATTTAAAAAAGGTAAATACATAAACATAGAACATGTGTCAAAACACATTTTAAATTCAGTATTTTCAACTACCTCTTTGGTCCTCTGCTGGCAGAGAAATCTTTAAAAATCAACCTTCACTAGAGTTGGCCTGTGCATAGGTTCTAAAATGTGTCAAAGTAACTGAGATAGGATAAGAGTTCTCAAGCTCACAGCTAAATTTTTGTTTTTGCTTTATACCAAGAATATGTCACTACATTAGTGAATTAGTTTGTTCTCCTTAAAGACACATAGTGGGTATTGATCATCTTTTCTCAGTCTTGAACATCATTTCAGGAAAAGAAAACCTTCGCATCACTTACAGAAGATATGACCAGTTAATATACACATACGCATATATTATATATAAATATACATATTCATATATATAATATACATATTATATATATTATGTTAAATCTAAGAAACTTGCCAACATTAGACCACTTTCTGCTTACGGTTATGGCAATTTCATATGGTACAACTACACATTATCCTGAAAAAAGGAAAGATGACTTCGCCTTTTCCATAAATAACTTAGAATTCCCAAACACAATAAAAATGATGCACACTCACCGGACAGTTCTCCTATGTGCAAAACATCTCACTTCTCGGCTCTGTTTCTCTTGATATATTATTGCCCCAGTATAGCATGGCTCCTAATCATTGGTGTTTAATGCTCAAAGAACAGAAAAAAATGTTTGCTCTTGCCCTGCCAGCCAGGATTTATTAAGCTGTTTTTAAACAAAACTCTTTCTTTTTCCCTTTTCCTAGGGTTGTGTCTGTAAGGACAAAGGCCCGTGCTTCTGTGATGGGATCAAAGGGGAGAAGGTAAAAACAAAATCTTAATATTGCTTCTTTCCTCTGTAGAGCTCATCCAGGAATTTGCTCTTATTTATCAGAAAGACCCGCAGTGTGTTATTCCATTCCCCAATCCAATTTTAAAGAAATTGTATATAAACATTAACCAAAGAAAAGGAAAAAAAAAAAAAACTTCTGGTAAGTTTCAGACGACTTGTGTAAATACCGTCAGTTAAAATGTAACTCTTTTGGGCGCCTGGGTGGCTCAGTTGGTTGAGCGACTGCCTTCGGCTCAGGTCATGATCCTGGAGTCCCGGGATCGGGTCCCACGTCGGGCTCCCTGCTCAGCGGGGAGTCTGCTTCTCCCTCTGACCCTCTTCCCTCTCGTGCTATCTCTCATTCTCTCTCTCTCAAATAAATAAATAAAATCTTTAAAAAAATAAAATGTAACTCTTTTGGTCTGTAAAGAAAAAGGAACAAGTTAGCAAAAAAAAAAAAAAGCTTATCAGAATGCCTCTCTATGTAGAAATGTTGATAAACACGAAAGAACTGAAAACAACTCGATTCACTCACTTTGACACAGGCATTGAAATCCCAAGACTTCAAGGCCTGCAGCACTGGTGCAGGCGCGCCCCCTGGCGAAAGAATCCTGCAACAGCCCTCTGGTTGAGGCCAAAATGCAGCACCCGGAAGTACTACCGGTGTCCCCCGCTTTCTGAAAGCTCGCCTTGCGCCACTCCGCTTTTAGGAAAGACCCACATTGCCATTCGTTTTGCTAACCAGAAGAAATCCAAAGAGGATTTTGCTTCTGTGAAAACAACGACAACAACAACAAACAAACATTACCATATCAACGTAGGTTTTTCATAAAAGCAAAATGGTGTAATTCGAACTTTCAGAAAGCGGGGATTTTACACCATTTTACACCATTTCAATTTAGGAAAAGTTTCGTAGGAACTCTGTGCCTTCAGATAGCGGGGCAAACCTGTAGCTCCATTGCAGAATTCAAGAAAATAAAGAATGCCGTGAAATCTCATTAATTCGCTCCATTAACTTGCAATTTGTGATAATTAAGAGAGAGGCCGAACTAAAGTTTTTTCTTTGTTTATCAGACCCTTTCCTCAGGGACACTAATGAATTGCTTAACAATATTGAGGGATGACTAAAAATATTTTTAGAATGTATTTTTAGCTCTTTAGATAAAATAATTTGCATATAATTTATATACTAACTATATAATAATTATTCCGTTTATTTTCAATTATTCTATAATTAACACGAACTTTGATTTAGGTTTTTCCCTAAAGCTATGAATGTAGTATATTCAGATGCGGGTTGGAAAGCCCGGATTCATTTTTGCTCTCAAGATTGAGTCCCGGGCGCCTGGGTGGCTCAGTCGGTTAAGCGACTGCCTTTGGCTCAGGTCATGATCCTGGAGTGTCGGGATCGAGTCCAGCATCGGGCTCCTTGCTCAGCGGGGAGTCTGCTTCTCCCTCTAACCCTCCCCCCTCTCGTGTACTCTCTCTCTCTCTCTCATTCTCACTCTCTCAAAATAAATAAATAAATCTTAAAAAAAAAAAAAGAAGAAGAATTTATCGAGTCCCTACTATGTGCAAGATGCTATTCTAGGATGTGTGAGAGTAACAGTATTGAGAGAGGACTAGCCAATTTTTTTGTTTCCCTTTTTATGGAATGTGTGTGCACGTAACCATGTGAAATTGCTGTCTTTATCTCTTTCTAAACTTTTTTAAAATTTAATTTACCAATTGTGTAATTAAATTGACTGAATCAACCAGCGACCTTTATTATTAAAGAGCGATCCCAGGACCCAGGTTCACCAGAAAATTATTTGTTGGCAGAACCATGTCACTCATGGGGCCTAAATTATTTTCACTCACTCGTTACTAGAGGCATTCTCATAATATCATCTCTTTCTAAAAAACAATTTAGCTCACCCTTTTGGTTATGCCATTCTTGATATCTCCTGCATCTCCTACACAAAGAGCAGATTGAATTACTAATTCCTGTGTAATCAAGAAAGGGCTAAAACTGATAGCCTGCATGTTGTTCTTTTCAAGCTACAAAGCAATTACGCACACTCCCCAAACACATTCTTGTGCCTTAGCCTCACTCTCTCTCCAACCCCAAGCAAAAACACTGTGCCAATCTCAACTTTCTCCCTGGCCTGCCCCTGCTCCAGTTCTTGATGCCCTCTCTCTTGATCTCTGCTCTGTGTAGCGCCACCATTTGGGGAAAAGTAGTTCCTACAAGACCAAAGGCAAACACTTTCAAACCTATAACAAATACTAAAAGCAGATAGCTTTCCATTTACTGTTATACTTACTGCTGAGTGTCAATTTTGTTGTTCCAAGGGGAAAAAAAATATGTCAAATGTCCTCATTAAGTTGTAAAGAAAAGAAAGCAATGGTTGTGGGTATGTTTATTGCTGGACAGTGCTATTCTGTGTGTTTCTTATCCTATGCTGGTTTTTAACAGGGGGAGAAAGGCCTTCCCGGACCTGCTGGTTCTCCTGGCCAGAAGGGATTCCCAGGTCCCGAAGGCTTGCCTGGACCACAGGGACCCAAGGTATGTCAGTTTATAAGCTTGGAACATCCCCAATTCACCTAACCTTCTTTATGCCTACCCCTGGGTTGCTGGGAACCTGGAGAGAATTCAGCATCTCAGCCAATTGGTGGATGCCATGGCGAATTCCTGCTCTCCAGGCTTAGCCAGGTCCTCTCTTATCTCAAGAGATTCAAATGTTGGGGCGCCTGGGTGGCTCAGTTGGTTAAGCGACCGCCTTCGGCTCAGGTCATGATCCTGGAGTCCAGAGATCGAGTCCCGCATCGGGCTCCCTGCTCGGCAGGGAGTCTGCTTCTCCCTCTGACCCTCCCCCCTTTCATGTGCTCTCTCTCTCTCTCTCATTCTCTCTCTTTCAAATAAGTAAATAAAATAAATCTTTTAAAAAAGGAGAGAGATTCAAATGCTCATCACCTTGAAGTTCGGTACTCAACTTCCTCCTCCTCCCTGATCCACACAGCTTCTATACCTGCCTATTTTCTTTCGTCTTGCATGAAAGGGTGAGTTCTTTTGGCCTTTCATTCAGGACCTGTTCTTACCCCTGTGTCTGGATCCTGGGATTCCCACCAGAACCATGCCTCTTGGCCATTCCTTTCTTTTTGTTGTTAGCTTTTCTCTTTCAGTCCTCAAGCATGCTTATATAAAATTTCCTCTGGATCATTCAGGTCCTGTAAGCAAAGATTGCCATCCTTTCCCTGTCTTTCCTTTCTCTGTCAAGATTTTAAACACCAAGTAACTAACCAGGCTAACTGTAATTCATCTCCTATTCGCTCCTCAGCCGCCATAATTTTCCTTTGATCCCCCTGCCCTGAAAACGCTCCTGCAGAGGTCACCCATGACTTTTGTGTCCTTCTGCTTTGTTTCACCATGTGGATCTCTCTCCTTGAAACACTTGTCGCTCTTTGTTTCTGGAATCAGCCCTCCTCCGATTCTCTTCTTTCATGGGTTCCTCTTTCTCAACTCATCACACATTTTTATCCTAAAGTCTGTGATACAACAAAGGGCTTTGTTCAAATAAATACCCTAGAGGATTTGCTAAAGAACTACATAACCACTAGATGTGCTGATGGCTCTTTCCTGCTGCGGACATTAGCTAGACTTAAGCCTGGGCTCTCACGCACTCACATGGTTGTTCCCCCGACTGCAGGCCTCCAGCAAGCTATGAACTAATGAATAAGCTATGAAAGATCATCATAATTGATCCCCACAGAGTCTTTTTAAATTTCATAAATGTGTGGACTACTTACTTGGTCATCAAAGGCAACAGTTACTGCGAATTTCTTCCGTGTCAGGCATTGGGACATTTACTCTTGACTGTCTCTCAGCTACTCTTCACGTTGAACCCCAGAAATCATGACTATGGTGACTCAGTCTCTCTGTTTTAGGGATGAGGAAACCGACGCTCAGAGCACTTAAGTAACTTATCCTGTGCTCCATGGTTAAAGGTGACAAAATCAGAGTTCAAATCTGGTTTTATATGATGCCAGAATCAAATTCCCATAACCGAAGAAACTAAACCCACACCTACAGTTTCTAAGTAAACAAGCAAAATGTTGTGCTTTTCCAGGAATTCTACCATTATGTGTCTGTCTGATTCATGTATGTGGTGTTTCTCCATTTCTCTTTCTTCTGACCCTAATTTTGAAAAAAAAAAAAAATCATTCAGATTTTGGACATTTAGTGTCTGAATTCGGCCCCATTCAGTGTCTGACCATCCCACTGCCTTCCTCCAGGGCATGGCCTAGGATAGTCCCCCTTTTCACTAATAAAATGAATTTGCCACTTCAACTCTGGACTTGGATCAACTCATATCAACTCTTTCTTTTTTGTTTTGTTCTCTACCCCCATTCCTGTCGTTATGCTGGCATTTCTTTAGAGAAGCCAACAATCAATTTAAATAATCATTGCAAACATAGGGTGCTTACAATGGGTTATGTGATGTGGAGGTATTCCATAAAGTTAATCCAGAAAATTCGGGGGCCATGTTGTCATGGAGTTTGTATATGACAAACTTGTATATGACAAGCTATGTACTTTATAGATGTAGCTGCAAAAGATAATTTGATCAAAGGCAGACAATTATTGCATATTAAAACCTGACCAAAAAGATTTTTAAGTGGGATCGAGCCCCGCATCGGGCTCCCTGCTCCGCGGGGAGCCTGCTTCTCCCTCTCCCACTCCCTCTGCTTGTGTTCCCTCTCTCGCTGTGTCTCTCTCTGTCACATAAATAAATAAAATATTTAAAAAAAAACAAAAACCTGACCAAAAAGATTTTTCAGGTTTAAAAATTTCCTCTCTTAATTTTAAATATTGTATGCATGAAAAGAATTACAATTTGGGGGTCTTGTGCATAACACAAATAGCATCCTGCAGAGCAGGAGAACATGGGCATGCGCCCAGGCATTCCACCTCAGTCAGCGAAGGCCGACTGTGGCCTTGACCATCCCAATCTCAGAAGACTCTGTAACAACCCTTTTCTCAAAAAAAAAAAAAAAATCAAAAATACCAAAACATACTGAAACTCCCAGGAATGATAAAAAGGGCTTTTGGACAATGGAACTTTCACACCAAGTGGCCTGGTTCAAAAAGTCTCCATTTAAGGTTATTCTCTAAGAAACAGGGCCTCTCAACCGTATTCATCATATGCCCGAAGCAAGTTTATCTCTGGTTCAGGCAGTTCTTACTTGGCTATTTATTTATTTGTGCATGCCAGGCCCATTTTGTTAATAAAGTCTTTCTCATGCGCAGAAATATTGGCTGCCATTCTCATCCCCATTGTAATTGTATCATCATCCTCATCAGACCTCAGCCTCTGTCTGGCTAATGTGGGGTTTTTACAGCAGCTCTTCTCAGACATTAATGTGAACAAGAGTTATTTTCTAATCTGGTGAAAATGTAGATTTGGAATCAATCTGTCTGAGAGGTGGGGGAGGCCTGAGAGCCTGCGTTGCTCACAAGCTCCCAGGTGATGATAATCCTGCAGGCCCCTGGACCCCACATTGAGTAGCGGGGCTTTGAACGAATTCCTGTTGGTCCTTTCTGATAAATGTTTTCGCTTCAATTAAGCAAACAGGCAATTTCACTGTGTTAACACTGAAATAATCACAAGAACAAAACAGTTTGGCATGTGAAGAGAATGGGGAGTTTTAATTTATGGTTTCTTAGTGCCAAATAATTTCCAGTGCCTTTTTTTTTTTTTTCTTGGATCTAGGGCTCACCAGGACTCCCAGGACTCACGGGTCCCAAAGGTGTGAGGGTTAGTAGTCCAACTGGTCCATCCTGATTGTTTGATGAAAATTCTTCTTCTTTAAAAAATAAGAACTCTGCACTGTAAAAGTTATACAAATGTCACAAAGGAGTACATTCTATATGATACACTCAATAGATGAAGTTCAAGAACAGGTAAAAGTAATCTGTCATGGCAGAAAACAGTGGTTATTCTGTTGGGGGTGGGTATTAATGGACTGAGAAAGGGTGTGAGAGAACCATAGGGGGGTGGAGATGTTCCCTGTTTGGATGGGATGGTGGTGATACCAATATGTACATGCACACATATGCAAACGTTCCTTAAACTATTTGCAGAAGCTTGGGGCACTCTACTGTATGCAAATTTTACCTTAAAAGTCCACCCACAAAAGGCAAAAACAATCTTAATCATCTCTTTTTAAATATTGCACTATATGTTAACTAAAATTTAAATAAAAGTTTCAAAAAAGTTTGATAAATGTAAGATTTTGAAAAGTTTGTCAGACCTTTTTTTGGTTTGGTTTAGTTTTTCAAAGAGTGTTCAGCCATTCCTAGTCAGAGTTGCAAGATGGGGTTATCAGAATGGTAAATACTTTTATGTTTATAGGTTGAAACACTTTTAAGTGGTTTTCTTGTCACCTTCCCCTTTTCTACGTCTGTAGGGAATAACTGGATTGCCGGGATTTTCAGGTCCTCCTGGACTTCCAGTAAGTAATGGGGAAAATGTGTAAATTTTAAAACATAAAGAGAAAGCTCATTTTAATAAGACGTTAAAGCAGTAGCACAAAGGAATAGGTACTGAGACATGTGCTACATGATGAAAATGTTACAGTAGAATTACATGATATATTAGAGTGCAGATTTGTAGGACGCACAAGTCCAGTTGGATTTCCTAAAATCCAAGCAGAACAGAATGGAATAGAATAGAACGGGACTTGACAGTATGAGATGAGATAGAATGGGAAGGGAAGGGATGGACTAGAACAGATTAACTCTATTTAATGGTGTAGAATAATAAAATAATGGTTATCCTGTGTATACATCCCTCTTCTTTTTCCTTTCCTTGCTTCCAGTTTAAAACAGCATGTTGGGGCGCATGGGTGGCTCAGTTAGTTAAGCGACTGCCTTCGGCTCAGGTCATGATCCTGGAGTCCCGGGATCGGGTCCCGCATCGGGCTTCCTGCTCGGCAGGGAGTCTGCTTCTCCCTCTGACCCTCTTCCCTCTCATGCTCTCTATCTCTCATTCTCTCTCTCTCAAATAAATAAATAAAAAATCTTTAAAAAAAAAAAACCAAAACAGCATGTTGAGGGACTTCACTTTATATAGAAGGGTCTTCTGTTCTATCTAAAATATCTGTATCTCACTTGATAATTTTGGGTTTTGATTAGCCCATTTTATTTGCCATGATTTTTATTTAAATTATCTAAAATAACTAAATACACTGTTTAACTGTTTAATAGCCATTTGTATTTAAATAAGTATCTAAATTAGGCCGTCTCTTCCCTCGCCTTGGGTCCTTCATGATGGCTCCTTGTTCCCGGGGCCCGGGTGGTGATGTCACCTCTCTGAGACTTGCTCTGTTTTCAGGGCACCCCTGGCCATCCTGGGCCTTATGGACCTGCTGGTGTCCCAGGATGCAATGGGTCTAAGGTATGTACTCCTCACACAGGAGATGGTTAGGAAACGTTTTGCAGAATGAATCAATCAAGGGGAAGGAGGAAAGAGAAGGCACAGACTTCCCTTGAGAGACTCTTTTAGCCAGAACCATTGGTATGTGTCTTCAGGACAGAAACATAATGATTTTCTTTTTTCTTACGGCTTGGTTTCTGATTGTCTTTTGAGGACGTTCTCTCAGGTTCTTCCACAGAAGGACAGCTGGGGGCTCACCCTTCACCTAAGGTTGTGAGTGTATGTAAATCAGAAACGAACGCTTGGAATGCAAAATTGGTCTTTTGAGAAAAGTGACTGAGCTTTCCAGTGTTCACTCATGCCCTTTATTTGGTGATAGCACCCTCCTTTCCCCCAGAATGGTGGCCATGAAAGAACTAATTACTCAAGTTTCAAGGAAAGAGCAATTAAAAAAGTTCTTGGCACAATTACACTTTTGCCGTTTATGCACAATTTGAGAAACAGTAGATTCTAATCCTGTTTTCAATTAATATAATGGTTTTCTGGCCTTCAGCCTCATGACCCAGTAGCCATAAGGAATTTAGGTTACTCAGTCTAGATTTACCACTGCAGGGCTGGAAGAGAGAAACAGGGAAATTATCTCAATAGGCTGTTCTAGAACAACTAAAAAGAATAACAAGTTTTGTATGCCTTCCAGGGTGAGCAAGGGTTTCCAGGCCTTCCGGGGACACCAGGCTACCCGGGGATCCCAGTAGGTATCCATTTCTAACTCTGTATAAAGTACAAACACGAGTCATTTACAGAATGGCCGTGTGCTGAAATCCATCATGACTTTGCGGAAGTCAGGGGCCGCCGGTAGTAGACATTCAGCGCATGGGTGGAGGGGGGGGGTGAATGAATAAATGCATTTTGAGTTCAGGTTTGTGCTTTGGGGTTTTATTTTGCTTTTGAGGCATCCAAGCAGAGATGAGTGATAGGCAGCTGGATTTGGTTAGAGGAGAGGCCCCGGATGGTGGTGACACAAGGAGAGAGAAGGAGGGGAAAAGAACCTCAGAACAGACAAGCCCCAGCACAGGATGTCTGGGTCAAGGAGAATACACCTATAAAGAGAGGGGCCTCGTGGTAGAAAGAAGACCAAGAGGAGTATATTATGGAAGCCCAGGAAAGATGTATTTCAGTAGAGGGAGTGGCTGACAGCTGACTAATGCTGCTGAGACGTCCAGTAAGATCTGAAGTCTTGTCATTGATTCTAACGACGTCACTGTCATTGCAAGCCATAGCAAGGGATATTTCCAGCATGGATGGAGGCAGGAGGCAGGTGGGGCACTGAGGAATGAACAGAATGGGAAGATTGCAGATGACATGAAGGAGAGACTGGTGGGGGGAGATTTAGTTTGTTTAAATGAAAGAAACTCGAGCATGTTTAAAAACCAGTGGGAATATATGTGCAATTGAATACTACTCAACCATCAAAAAAAAAAAATGAAATCTTGCCATTTGCAACGACGTGGATGGAACTAGAGGGCATTATGCTAAGCGAAATAAGTCAATCAGAGAAAGACAATGATCGTATGATTTCACTGATATGTGGAATTTAAGAAACAAAACAGAGGAACATAGGGGAAGGGAGGGAAAAAGAAAACAAGATCAAATCAGAGAGGGAGACAAACCATAAGAGATTCCTAATCATAGAAAACAAACAGGGTTGCTGGAGGGGAGGTGGTGGAGGGATGGGGTCACTGGGTGATGGACATTAAGAAGGGCATGTGATCTAATGAGCACTGGGTGTTATATAAGACTGATGAATCACTGAACTCTACGTCTGAAACTAATAATACATTATATGTTGATTAATTGAATGTCAATAAAAAAATTTTAAAAACGGTGGGAAGTAGACAGTGGGAGAGCGGGCAGAATAGCAGCAAGAACAAAGCAGTGATGTTAAGTATTTGGTTTCCTGTTTTTAGGGTGCTGTTGGTTTGAAAGGAGAAAAGGTAAGTCATGTGTGGCATATTATTATTGAAAATCTCTAAGTGAACATATGAAAAGATTTCTCTTAAATAATGAGGTAGGGGGTGGGGGGATGGGTTGGCCTGGTGATGGGTATTAAAGAGGGCACGTTCTGCGTGGAGCACTGGGTGTTATGCACAAACAATGAATCATGGAACACTACATCAAGAACTAATGATGTAACGTATGGTGACTAACATAACAATAAAAAATTTAAAAAAATAATGAGGTATAAGTAATTATAAATTAGGCTTCACAATTAATTCAGAAACCAATTAATAATTGGAACATGATATTTATTCCTATTCAACAACTTCTTTTAGCTCTTGTCATACATATCTCTTAAAGAATACGTTTGTAAAATCCTTTTAGGGAATAGAGTCTAGGGGAAGAGAACTAACCTCAGGCTGGGGGCCCCACCTTCTAGATCAAGAGTTGCCACTAATTTTGGTATCTTGAGAAATGGTTTCTCATTCTTGTGTCTTTCTTCCTTCCATAGTAACCTGTCAATTTTAGGAGATAGGAAAATCTTTTATTTCTTCAAAATGGAGTAACTACGTAATCCTAAATCATTTCCCCAAGTATATATCCTGAAAAGCACGTTTATCCTTGAAGCAGTAGGACCTTGAAGAAGCATTTAAAGGAGTTTTGAAAATATAACATTGACTATGTTTAATGAAGTTCTTCATTTTCAAGGGTGCTCCTGCTGCAGAAGGTATAGAACTTGATGGAAGAGGTGACCCCGGGTTGCCAGGAGCTCCGGGATTCCAGGTATCGCATGTCAGAGAAGGTCCCATTATTCTCAGTCCTCTGGCTCCGACTCGGGCTTTCTGTCTATCTGACCCTCTCCTTGTTTCTCCTCTCTCTTTGTCTCTGTGACTCTGTCTTCGTCTGTCTCTCCTCTTTCTTTTTTCCCCCAAATCTCTTCCTCACTTAGGAACATTTTTATGGTTTGTTTTGTGTTTTCTTTTTTTATTGAGGTATTATTTGACATATGACATTATATTCATTTCATATGTGCAAGGTAATGGTGAGATATTTGTACATATTGTGGAATGATCCCCACAATAAGTCTAGTTAACCTCCGTAACCACAGTGACAAATACTCTTTTTTTCTTGTGATGAGAACTTTACTTTCTTAGCAACCTTTCAAATCTGGAGTATGGTATTGTTAGCTGTAGTTGCTCTGCTGTCCCTTACATCCCCAAGACTTACTTATTTCTAACTGGAGGTTTCTACCTTTTGACCCCCTTTACCCATTTTGCCCTCCCTTCACCCCCGCCTCTGACAACCACAAGAACATTTGAAGCAGACATTCATATTTCTTCTGTTGGCATTGACTTCATTTCATTCTAAAACATTCACCTCATAAGAAACTCCATGAAACTAATATAAAAGGATGATTTTGTGCCTAAGTCTTTTAATCTCTTCTTAAATCTCAATTACCCAGGCTTTCCTAAACCTAAGGAGGAATCTTCAAGGAATAGTTATGCTCCACTTATTCTGTATTTGTTGAAATCAAGGATAGGTTTGTATCATACATTGAATATCATTTAAAACTACAATGTTAAATAACAGCCCTGTTTCAAATTTTGCATGACAGTAAGTAACTGGGTTTTATTTAAATGCATCTTTCTCCTGTTGAGTGGTTTACCTTCTGATCTATATGTATGTAGATCTGAGTGTGATCCCTAATGGGTACGAAGAGACACAGCTATTTGGGGGACTGTGTATGCTTTACTTTGGGATTCAAAAGGGTCTTTTGATAAGCCTAAGGCACAGGTACTAACTTCCAGTTTAATTAACCAGAAATATCTTAACTTAGTTCAGAAGTGTATATGGAAATTTCTGGAAATTTGTCTAAGTGAGCCAAAGAGTTTGAGTGTAGGCTGTCAGGGAGTTCCCCGATGGTGAGCCATGCCAACTGATGGTGAGCGCAAAATGACACAACGATGCAGTTAGGAGCCTTTACTGACCTTTGAGGAAAGATGCAGAACATGATGGCTCTTCATTTTTCTTGCTTAGGGAACATTTACGGGGCCTGATGCTGGAGGAAAGGGATCCAGTAAGAAGAGATTAGCAGCGATCTGGGACATTAATGTGTCCCTTAAATGTGCATTGAGTGTTGGCTAGGTACTACCAAGTGCTGCTGATTAAGATATAGCAGTAGGACACTCATCTATACAAGAAATATTTATTACATCCCAATTATGTGTCAGCAGCTGTTCTAGGCTCTAGAGATACCACGGTGCATAAATTAGCCAAAAAAAGATTAAAAAAAAATTCTTGCCCTCATGGATCTGACATTCTAGTAGGGGAAAACAAAAAAGATATAAATTAGTAAGTGCAGGCATGTTAAATAGTAAATTTCAAGGAGGAAAATAATGCAGGGGCAGGGGAGAGGAAGTGTCCAGGTCGGAAGGAGGGTTGTGGCTTTAGATTGGATGGACAGGGAAAGGATGACATTTGAGTGAAAATAAGAAAAGGGAGAAGAAGTGAGTCATAAATATGCCTGGGGAAAGAGGTTCTAGGCATAAGGAGAGCAGGTGGAAGGCCCTACCAAAGAAGCATGCTTGGCTGAGAGAGACAAATAGGCAGACAGAGAGATAGACAGAAAAGCAAAATTTTAAAGATTTAAAAACCTCCTCTAAAATAAAGCTACTGCTCTGGTCATTCTTCTGGAAACGTTGCCATCAGGATATTCCTGGCAGCCTGTTATACATGGCAACAAACTTTCAGGCATCTTGTTTTTTTCTTTTTTTGTAATTAACTGCAGCCATAAATGACGGGCGTCATGTTCCTCAGGTTTCATTAAAATATTGTAATGGATTTAATTAATGGACATCATTCTTAGGTGAGAAGTAAATTCAAACTTACTCTATTCTTCTCTTAATTTATAGGGTTTGCCAGGCCTTCCAGGCTTTCCAGGACCTGTTGGTCCACCTGGCCCTCCGGGATTCTCTGTGAGTATGAAGTCATCACTGCTATAGACCCTGTAACCTAATAAATTCATTATAGCAAAAAACTTCACACAGAGTTTTCGGCTTGGCACACTTTCTGCTGTAATTTTAACTTGTGGCTTTTTCTAGGGCTTTCCAGGAACCATGGGACCTCCAGGACCTAAGGTAGATTACGGTTCATATATCACAGCAACCAGAACACTGAGAACAAGTTAAAAGCCAGACCTGGTCTGATTGGACATGTGGTCACTGCCTGGCCCCTCTCTAGAAGCCACGGGATTCCCGGCAGGGAAGAGAACAGGACAAGCCGCTCTGTACCCCTCCCTCTCTTCTCCCTGCACTTAGTAACTTGATCCCTGATAATTCAGTTATAAGGAGCTTCCTATTAGGAAAGGGCAAGTCCATAGATTTCCCATTTCCAATAATCCTACTGATCACCCAACACTTTATCCTATAAAATTTGTAGTGGGCCGCTTCTCAACACCAACCTGATCTTAATGCTAGGAAATGAAGGGTGAATATTCATGTGCTCATTAAACAGGGTCCTGCATGTCTTTCTCATAAAAAGACCCATTGCTAGTGTTGGGGAGGAGAAACTTTTCTCTATCCTCTTAGGTTCCTGAGTGGGGACATGCATATGGAACTGAAAAAAGACCTATCATCAGGAGAAGAAGGTTTATTTCATATGCATGTGGGGGCCTCACAGAAATGAAATGAAAACCCCAAAGAGGCTGTCAGGCCCAGAGGCTTGTGTAACATTTTAACAAAGGGTGATACATTTGTGGAGGAGTGACAAGACAAAGGAAAGGGGTTTTGAGCTGGTAAGGGTAGTAAATTGTGGGAAAGTACATATAAGGGGGAAACTAATGGAAGATGAGGGTTATTTCAGTAAGGTTTGTTGATGCAGATTTCAGTCAGTGCTGGCTCCAGAGATAAGAGTTGTCTCCTCTTCCTGGTACAGAAGAGTCGGGTGACATCTTCACCAAGGGAAGATGCCTCCATGCCCTGCCCTTAGGTAGATGGAGGAGGGTAGAGAACTTTTTCTGCATTTGCTGTTACTCAGTTGTCTGGAGCTCAAAATAATTCTTACGCCAAAGTGATATTTTGGGGTGGCTTAGTCTGAGCCCCTCATTTAACTAAGTAGGAAAATGTTGAGTGAGGCTGAGCCCCCTAGGAAATTAGTCCTAATGCCGTATCTCTTGCTACTACCAGCTAGATTTTGTGTGTAGGGAACTTGCCAAGGTGCTTTCACAATTTTTATCTCATTATTTACGTGAGTTGTCAAAGAGACGGTAAATGACAGAGCTGAGATTTAAAGCATTTTGATTCCTCATCTTGAGCTCTTGTCCTGTAGCTTGTGGGCTAATGGGTGGAAGATCTGTATACTCAAGAATAAAACAGCAAGGAGGCACTTGTGATGCACACTGGGTATAGTATGGAAGTGATGAATCACTGACCACTACTCCAGAAATCAGTATTACACTGTATGGTAACTAACAAAATTTAAATAAATAATAAAAAGAAGGCAAGGAGGCATTGGTTGAAATGATAGATCGGCCATTGTGAGTGAGACACACTGTTCACATTAGACATAGCTTATTTCACTAAATCACTAGTGAAGTCAGATAGCCTGAAATGTTTTCTTAGCCTCCCTATCAACTTTTGAATTTCAGAATCCAGAAGTTCAGCCACCCTTCCTTCGTATCTTTAAGACGAGAAAACTAGGGCATCAGAAAATTAGATAACCAGCCAGTGGCTGAGCCAGAAAAATGTCCTCTGAGCTGGTTTCCCTTTCCCATCCCGCCACACGGCATGTCATCATTTGCCATAGAAAGTCCATCCCTTAAGTTTTCTGCACTTTATGATCTCCACACTTGAAAGAAACATATTGCCCCTCTCCTCCAAGAAATAGCTAAAGTAATTTTCATAACACTAACATACCATTAAAATTTAAACATTCAGTTACAAACATTGGAACATCAGTGGATTTAGACTCCTCATCTCCGTTTTTGAAAAATAATTTAGTGTTGTCTTTTCTTACAGGGTCACATGGGCGATAAAGTGATAGGACAAAAAGGAGAGCGGGTAATTCAAATATTGTGGTTTATTTGTGGGCAAGACGTTTTACGTTTCATAGCAATCATCCTGTACATCTTAGTCACTAGGTGACCCTGGAGCAAACATGTTTGCTCTGTCGTTTGTGCTATCTTCTTAACCTAAGAACCAAAGGGGAGAGTCTTTCTCTCCAAAAAGCAAAGGTGATGTTGTTTGGTTTGGCATTCCTGAATGTGTTTGTCTTTAGGGTGTGAAAGGATTAACAGGACCCCCCGGACCACCAGGAACGGTTATTGTGACGCTAACAGGCCCAGATAACAGAACGGTAACTCTTCCATTTTATTACTCGGGTTGGACGTTCTCACTTTCCGGGGTGAGGTCCTCATGATCCCTTACCTCTTTTATTTTTTTTATATTTTTTTAATTTTTTTAAAGATTTTTTTTTTTTAAGATTTCATTTATTTATTTGAGAGAGAGAGAGAATGAGCGATAGAAAGCCCGAGAGGGAAGAGGGTCAGAGGGAGAAGCAGACTCCCCGCTGAGCAGGGAGCCCGATGCGGGACTCAATCCCGGGACTCCAGGATCATGACCTGAGCCGAAGGCAGTCGCTTAACCAACTGAGCCACCCAGGTGCCCCCCCTTACCTCTTTTATAAGCTTTGCCCTCTGAGCCCTCTCAGCCAGCCTGAGCCTCTGGAGTTTATTTTTCCCCATCTTTTACTCGTGAACCAGAAAACATGAGACAGAGATCTGAGGCAAGATCAGAGGCTAGCGGCTTCCATGATTCTAGAAGGTAGAGCCTGAATCTAATTTTGCTCACCTTTTATCCTCACCCCTTTCATTGTTCCTAACTCAGATGGGGATTCAGTGAGTATTTTTTGATAAATGATAACAAAATAGGTGTATGGCTATGATCCAACTGAATAGTAATGACCTAAAGATATCAGTGGAATGGTATTATAATCAAACGGGGCATTTTTACCTGCCATTATATCCCCAAGGGCAATGTGGCCTGCATTCTTCTCCAAGGACACTGTGGCCCCGTTTCTCAAAATGAACATTTGCTTTTTGCTTCCACCATGAGGTAGCTAGACCAGGATATAGAACTGAACTGAATGCTCAGAAAAAGTGAATCATAATATAATACCCCAAACCTAGACACAAGGCTGATGCCAGAATGTCTGGGGGGGTAGGGAAGTGAGGGGTTAATTAACAATTTTTTTGTGGATTAACTAAGAAATAAATATAAATCCTCCTTCTCTTTTAAACTTCTGATTGTTTTTAATAATAGCTTGATTGAAATATAATTCACATACCATATAATCCACTGTTTAAAAGAATAAAATTCATGGGCGCCTGGGTGGCTCAGTTGGTTAAGCGACTGCCTTCGACGCAGGTCATGATCCTGGAGTCCTGGGATCGAGTCCCACATCGGGCTCCCTGCTCAGCAGGGAGTCTGCTTCTCCCTCTGACCCTCTTCCCTCTCGTGCTCTCTATCTCTCATTCTCTCTCTCTCAAATAAATAAATAAAATTTAAAAAAAAATAATAAAATTCATGGGTTTTAGTTATAACTAATTTTAACGTTATTCAGATATAATTTATATACCATGAAACTCACTTATTTAGTGCACAGTTCAGTGGCTTTTAGTGTATTTGTGGGGTTGGACAACTATTACCACATGCAATTTTAGAACATTTTTATCACCTAAAAAATAAACCCCTTAGCTTCTCTAATATAATTAATTCTTAATGATAGAAGTTTTGTTTATCAAAACAAAATTGAGAAGAGTTAAAACAAAACATGGTGAAATTTGATATGACCAAAATAATATCACTGAAGATTGGAAAAAAATTGACCTAAGGAAAATAACTAAACTTCTCAGAGGTAATCAACAAAAATAAAATTAATGAAGTATAAAATTTTATTGGCCAGAACTGGACAGAAAAAAAATCTTATCTTGACAAAAACTAGATCTGGAAGATTTGACCCAGGTGAAAATTTTTGAGTTTGAAAAAAATGTCCCAAGAGGAGACTCACACTGGAGAAAATAGTCAATAAATGTGATAAGAACACACACACACACACACACAAAAGAACACAAACAAACCTGATTAACACAATCAAATCCTCCTTATAACATATGATCAGAAATTAATTGATCCCAATGAAAATAATTCTGTATATTAAAAATGAAAATAAGATACATTGGGAATGATTTGAATGTGCTTATTGAAAACTGATTCAGGAATTAAATTGATTTAACATAGTTGGATTCAAAAGATACTTTCTTTAATACAACAAAAGTTCATGTATGGCTTCACTGGGTTCACAAGTATAAAATCTGAAACACAAAAAATGATAACCTGTCATGTATACATAAGTAGTTTGTAGATCCAGTTCGTTGAACAGATGGAGAAAATTTTCAAGTAAAAGCGGTATAATCTTGTTTGATCTGTGTGTAATGACTTTAAAAATTGTTTTTGTCGCAGGACCTCAAGGGGGAGAAGGGAGACAAGGGAGCCCTGGGGAAATCCGGACCTCCTGGACCCTCAGTAGGTTCTTTAGAGTCATGTTGTTCCCTGGAAACATGAAGTAGAGCCTTAGTGTGTATTTGGATGTATGATCTACTTTTAAATCTTAATATTAGCTAAAGCATGATAATATTTCACCACAGACGTCATGGAATATACTAGAATTATTTCACACCCTCTTCTAGCTGAAATCCCTGCGAGGTTGTACACCCACCCACGGCCTCTCTCCCATCTTATGATTTATCTTCAGCATCTGGTATTTTATTTTATTTTATTTTTTTTAAAGATTTTATTTATTTATTTGACAGAGAAAGAGACAGTGAGAGAGGGAACACAAGCAGGGGGAGTGGGAGAGGGAGAAGCAGGCTTCCCGCTGAGCAGGGAGCCCGATGCGGGGCTCGATCCCAGGACCCTGGGATCATGGCCTGAGCCGAAGGCAGTTGCTTAACCAACTGAGCCACCCAGGCGCCCCCAGCATCTGGTATTTTAGCATCTGTCTTTAAATGAACACTTATACATGAGATGACCCCCCCATTTGGACATTTTAAAATATAACAGAATAATCAGAAGGAAAAACTTAATGACAATCGAGGTGAGTCAAAAAATCGATTCATAAAATTTGACATAACTCTCATTAATTACAGGGACCACCTGGAGAATCTTATGGATCTCAAAAAGGTGCTCCTGGAGAACCTGGCCCGCAGGTAAATTTGGAAACTCAGTATTGTGTACAGCCTGTATCAGTCAATGCTTAGGTCTCTTTAGGAGGCAAGTGTAAGATACCCAGTTCAAACTAACTGAGATTTTTGTAAGTTTTTTTAAAAGATTTAGGAAATGAAACTTATTTGTTCAAGTATCTGAGGATTTCATGGCTAAAACAGCCTCCAAGGACTTCAGAGCCTGAAACAAGATGGGCAGGAGTCCACCTATCATTTCTCCTCCTCTGTGTGTATTGGCTTCGTGGTCTCCTTTGACACTGATCTTGCACGTAGGCGTCAATGGGGAGGAAGAGCAGGAAGTAGCAGAGGACAGCTTCGGGTTAATGGCATCCAAGAAGATAGCGTGTCTCCCTGTGTCCGCTAATAACACCCCCAAGAATCGCTCTAATTGGCCTAGCTTGGTCCTGTGTCTCACCCTGGAGAGATGACTGTGGCCAGGAGGGAAAGTTCCCAGGATTGGCCAGGCCAGCAGGGTGGGGGCCACTGTGACCGACAGTCCCGTCCGACCCACACAAAGTGAGGAAAGGGCAGCTCTCCAAAGAAGATGGGGCACACTGTGACATGGGTGCTGGGAAGACAGAAGCAACCGGGGTCCACTCACCCACCCAGCTCTATTTTGGAAAGATTTAAACACATATATTGTTTAAAGACTCTAAAGATTATACATCAAGAAAAGTATTTTTTTCTAAGAAAAAGTGTTCGGTCAATATGATGTTTAATTCTATCACAGAGGGTAAACATTGTAACAGTTCATCTAAAAACCTTGTCTGTTTGGGACACTGCAATATGCCTTTATAAATATATTCAAATATTGGCACGTGTACGGGTCGGGGAATTGCCAACCTTTCAAATAAATAATTTGAGTGTGAAGTCCTCCCTCTTTCTAGGTCTTTTGGTCCATTTCTCTGCTTTTTCAGTTTTTCTTCCAAGCTGGGATGGGCAGTATCAAATCTTGTTTAATTAGCTAATCTTACTTTCCAATCTTTCTCCCATTTACCCTCCCTAATTTCCCATTCTGACTGGCTTCTGCCTTCCCCGGCAAGAGAAGGTCTGTGATTAATAGTTTTTTCTTCTAACAAATGGGTGGAAAGTTTCAGTCAGGCTCTCTTGCCCAAGGTCAAGAGGAAATGATCATATCATTTACGTTTTCCATATTTATTAAAATTATCCATATTTATTAAATTATGTGTTTTTGCTTTGTTTTTGTTTTAGGGAAAACCTGGCGAAGATGGTGCCCCTGGTTTCCCTGGCACTGAGGTAAAGACATGTTTGGCCCATTGATGTTGTTGAAATGTCAGTCCCATTAGATGAAGAAGGATTTGGGGAATCACTGTTAGTTATGAAGCTAGCAAAGGCATATAGCTTTTTAAACCCGTGTTTGAGAATCATAGTGTTACACCCTCACTGTGAAGAGAGATCATCCGAGCACGTCTTATTTTTTCTTTTCAAAGAGGAGTTCCAGGGCACCTGGGCGGCTCAGTCAGTTAAGTGTCCGACTGTTGATTTTGGCTCAGGTCCTGATCTCAGCATTATGGGATTGAGCCCCGAACTGGGCTCCGTGCTCAGCCGGGAGTCTGCTTGAAGATTCTCTCTCCCTCTCCCTCTGCCCCTCCCCCACTCACGGGTGCACGTGCTCGCTCTGTCTCTCAAATAAATAAATCTTAAAAAAAGAAAAGTGGGGGGGAGTTCCAACTGTCCCTGCTTCCCACAGAAGAAATTGACCTGTATGTCTTCTGACCCATTCTCTTTTTCCACAGGGATCCAAAGGCAACAGGGGCTTCCCTGGGTTACAGGGTAAAGACGGCATTAAGGTGATCCCCTCTCTAACATCCTGTCTTCAGGCTTTTTAATTGGTTGGGTTGTGCCCACCCTTTCCTGGTCGTGCCCTGAAAAGAGGTATAAGGGATTGCGATCAGAGCTCATTAAAGTAGCCTAGTTTTATTTGTTAAGAGGAAATAAGAGATGTGACAAATTTACTTAGACACCCAAAGGGCAGTTTTGTGGGAAAGATCTAAAACTTGTCTGTGTGGTGGAAGCTGCCTGACATCATGACCAGTGAGATTTAGTTTCTTCATGAGGAAGGAGTTGGACAAGTCCTGCAAGTGAAGGTTTCTGGTCACTGGAAGTCAAGTGTAGGCTGAACCCCATGAGTCTCATTCTGGGTCATGACACACTCAAAGGTCATGATCAGTGAATTATGAACCATTTCATTTGTTGCTGACAACATGTTACAGATGTTTTCAAATATTGTCGTTTCAAGTAATTGTAGGGATATGGGCAGAGTAAAGATTTATCCTATACTAATATGACTTCTGGTAGAATTCTGAAAGTGCTGTCCTGATTTGGTAAGGAAGGGGGTTGGTTACAGGTTAGTTGGGACCCTGGGAATTGCACACAACCCATAGCCTGGTTTTGCTGTGCCTGTAATCTGGGGGAGAACGTGGGCATGTGAAATGCATAGGAACACCCTCTGAAGGTATTGACATGGAAGAAACACGTAAGCTACTAGAGCAACAACCTCTTCCCAAGACCTTGTTGACAGGATTCTTGTCCCAGATACGGCCCTCCAGGGAAATGACCCAAAGTCAATGTCCCGTTCATTTTAACTCGGTTTGTACATTATATGGAAATAACATGACTTTTAGCATTAATTTATTGTTTAACTGTTTGTTTTGCTTTTTAAGCATACTAAATATGTAAATACTTTGGGTTAATGTACTCATAATTTATAACGGTCTTTCAATACAGGGGTGGAAAGGGGACATTGGCCCTCCAGGATTTCGTGGTCCAGTAAGTGTAACTAAAGACAGTATCCATGTTGGGGCGCCTGGGTGGCTCAGTCGGTTAAGTGTCTGCCTTCAGCTCAGGTCATGATTCCAGGGTCCTGGGATGGAGCCCTGCATGGGGCTCCCTGCTCAGTAGGAAGCCTGCTTCTCCCTCTCCCACTCGCCTTGCTTGTGTTCCCTCTCTCGCTGTCTCTCTCTCTGTCAAATAAATAAAAATAAAAAAATCTTAAAAAAAAAAAGACAAGTATCCATGTCATATTTGATCAAGTCCTTCAAAGTATCAAAGAAATTTTGAATCAGTGTCTCTCATTAACTATTAAGATAGAGATTATGGTATTTACTTTTTTTATCACACCAGGGGAGAAAATAGCTGTTGTCATTATTTGTCCAGTGGACAATGGATAAATATTTCTATTTGGTCCTATTTGGTCTCTGGAAGGCACTAGAAATGCCCACCCTGAGCAATGGGAAAGAAGAAACCCTTTGTCCAATCAGACATGCCCCAAAGTGCCCTGTGCCCTTGAGCAGAGTAGGAAGGATGCACTGGAGGTCAGCTGGGGCACCCATGGGAGAGGGAGCCCGCTCCACCCACTCCAGCGGGGCCCACATATGACAACCTGTATTTCCACGCACCAGAAGCTCAACCAGGGCCAGCGAAAACCAGTGACCCCCCCGCCAGCCCAAACTCCATCTCAACAGGCAGTCTCCTCTCTCCAGCATGGACATGGATTTGATGTCTGTCAGCTCCTGACTTCAGAGTGCCCATATTCTCTATTTTGGGACCCTGTAGCTTAAGGAGATGAGTAAAAGGGACCCAGGCTCCGAATTCTGGTATCCCTTTCTCTCCTGCCTTTAAAAGACAGTAGTTCTCAGGGCACCTCAGTGGTGCAGTGGGTCAGACTCTTGGTTTCGGCTCAGGCAGTGATCTCAGGGTGGTGAGACTGAGCCCCAGTCAGTCTCTGCACTGAGCTCGGAGTCTGCTTAAGACACCGTCTCCCTGGGCGCCTGGGTGGCTCAGTTGGTTAAGCGACTGCCTTCTGCTCAGGTCATGATCCTGGAGTCCCGGGATTGAGCCCCACATCGGGCTCCCTGCTCAGCGGGGAGTGTGCTTCTCCCTCTGACCCTCTTCCCTCTCGTGCTCTCTATCTCTCATTCTCTCTCTCTCAAATAAGTAGATAAAATCTTAAAAAAAAAAAAAGGCACCGTCTCCCTCTCTCTCAGTCCCTCCCCCACCCTCTCTCTCTAAAATAAATAAATAAACCTTAAAAAAAAAAGACAATAGTTCTCACATTCAGTGTGCTGAGCAGAGCTGCTATTTGTGATTATGCTGGTTGCACAGAAAGGTCCATGATGATAAAAGAGTCATGGGGTGGGGGTGAGGGGGTTCCGTTATGCGTTGCAGTTCTCAGACCCCTCAGGCTAAGCAATTTAACTCAGTAACTGGAGGAGCATCCTGGAAATTCACATCTTCACACAACAAGCCAATGATCCAGATGCAAGTAGTCCCAAAATACTTTTATGGAGTTGCCGGGAAGAAGAAATGGGCCATTTTGTGAAAGCACTTAGCCAGCATTTGGCAGGTGCATGTATGTCATTATGGATTTTGTGATGGAGATTATTACATTATCATTACTGTTACTATTATGAATTATTTTTGTGATTTTATACATAATTAACCACAATACTTTTGTTATCTCTTTTTTAAACACACCAACAAAGTAATTGGCCCCATGCAGCATACGAGAAAACAAAACAAAACTTTTATATTTCCATCTTCTTTCCTTGAAGATAAGTGTACTGAATTCTAAGTGAAACCGACTTGTCAGTTGCGCTTGAGAGAAATTCTTAGCATTCCTAACTTGCTGTGTGTGTTTCAATTCTATATAATTCTGCAGCTTCTAGTAACTTCCTTGGAAGTTCTACTTAGGAAGCAGACGGTTAAGGAGACCAGCAGTAGGTCCACCAAGTGTGTTAGAAACAATAACCCTCAATATTATTGCAAGCCAATGGTATCCTGAAATTCAAAGAAACAATCAATGGAGTATTTTTTGCTGGGTGGGTCCCAACACACTCTGAAATAAAGTTAGTCCATGAGGACCAGCATTTTTAAAAAAAAAGTGTAATAGAATATAATAAAAAAAATGAGAGTTGATAATATATCAAAAGGGTAAGTCACTGCTTGTGAAACTTTAATTTCAGTATACATATCCCCCCATATCTAGATATGGATAGAACTGTGAGTTTGTGAGCTGGCTCACATCATAAAATGTATTTCTCACTGAAAGCCCATGAAATATATGATATGGTGATACCAGAAACATCAACTTTGATCTTTAAATTTATCCATCATGTATACATGACTTTATTCCTGCTAACACATAAACTTATGAATTCAGGAAAATACCATTTGGGGGTGGGGGGAAAGGACATTGAAGTATTGCATTTGGTGAGCTCACCGTAAATAGCTCTCCTTTCTCTTTATTCATTTTTCCTTGAAGACAGAATATTATGATTCATACCAGGAAAAGGGAGATGAAGGACTTCCAGGCCCACCAGGGCCCAAAGGAGCTCGTGGCCCACAGGGTGAGAATAAATTTCTTCCTAAAGCATTTTCTGACCATGTCCATGTGTTTATTTCCAGGCAATGTATAATAAATGTGCTTATAGACCTAGAATTTACAGGGAGCAAAAGGGACGTTTCCCAGTTTTCATGGATGGTAGTATTGGTGTGTCCTAATTTTCATACTTTCATACGAAAATTCCATAGGTACTCTACCATAGAAGGTAATTAAATTCTCTTTGTGTGCGAAAGCATCAAGTTCAAGTCTGACAAAAAAAAAACACAAATGTGGCCAGAGGGCAGGAGGAGGGAACAGGAAGAATCGGCAATCTCAGCGGGATAGGAAAGAAAAAAACAGGGACCCTGAAAAACTGTAAACTGAGACAATCCACCCACTAGTGACAAGAGGGGCCTGAAACCTGGGTTTCCTGACTCCTGGCACCATGAAGTAGAGTCACATTTACTCAGATGCTGTCCCTTTGGATAGATTAGAAAGGTGTAGGCCAAGAGCTCTCCTCTGTGGCCACACATCACAGAATCCCTGGGAACTCCTTAATAATGACATGCCAAGGTCCCTTCCCTGGCATTCTGATGTAACTGTCTGGAGGAGGGCCCTGGGCACCGGTAGATTGTAAAGGCTCCCCAGATTATTCTAGCGTGTGGGCAGGATCAAGAACCACCAACCTAACGCAAATTGTTGATACAAATAAGATTTCAAAAGAGAATTTCACTTACGAGAGTACAAATTCCCAGTGTTCTTAAATAAATGGACAGAGAAGTACAGACATGGACAGAGATTTTTTTTTTTTAATCTGATATGTCCACTATAAATCACTCATATGTATCAAAGAATTAGAACCCTGTTGCACTGTCACAGCTAGAAGTGATCTGAGATGTAACACCTGGCCAAACCACAGGACCTTGACAGTTCCAGCTATTTGCTCTTGTCCGTCTGCACCATTCCAGCCAAGTGTCAAAGGCAGAGCAGGCTCCTAGTAAATGTCCTCTGAATTGTTTGACGGTGGTAAGGTGGCATGATTCGCTTCTGAGTGTTAGGCATCTCAGACTAGTTTCTTCTCTGTAGTTTGTCTAAACAAGTGAAACTTTCTAATATTTATCTGTGTGAGAGTGGAAGAAAAAGTATGAAAATATTTATTATTAATTACGATAATGTGGTCACCCAAAATTTCAAAAATAGGGGGAGGGAAGTATTTATGCCTTTATGAGTAATCAGTTACTGTTACGGATTTGTAGGTCCCAGCGGCTCCCCTGGGGTTCCCGGAAGTGCTGGTATGTACATGTTTCTTGGGGCACCAATAGAATGGAAAATCACGGGGGCGCCTGGGTGGCTCAGTCGGTTAAGCATCTGCCTTCGGCTCAGGTCGTGATCTTGAGGTCCTGGGACCAAGCCCCGCATCGGGCTCCCTGCTCAGCAGGGGAGTCTGCTTCTCCCTCTCCCTCTGCTCCTCCCCCCTGCTCATGCTCTCTCTCTCTCCAATGAATAAATAACAAATCTTAAAAAAAAAAAAAAGGAAAATCACTTTTGCGTTGCTTACATAAGACAAATGTTTCATTAATTGATCTAAAAATGTTTCCAGCTTCTTCATTGTTAACTTTGTGACTCATAGCAGAAAAGGGAGTAGAAGCTGACACAAAGTGACTTGGGAATGCTCTTTTACTTCTTAGTGGTTTTAACTAAAGTGTAAGGCAATAACTGGTGTAGGAGCAGAAGCCTTGAAGCTCAGAGGAGGCACGGAGGTAGAAAACAGTAATTTATAGTAATTAGGTTGGTTAAAAATGGTAGTGTTCATAGTGTATCACATGTTGTGTAAGTACATAGATTGCACTTTTTTTTTTAGGTTTATTTATTTATTTGAGAGACAAAGCGCAAACAAGCCCAGAGAGGGGCAGAGGGGAAGAATCTCAGACTCCCTGCTGAGCGTGGAGCCCTACACGGGGCTCAATCCCACACCGTGATATCATGACCTAAGCCGATACTAAGAGTAGGTGGCTTAACCAACTGAGCCACCCAGGCACCCCATAGATTAAACTTTTATGAGTTTATGTTTTATAAAAACACCCATGAGTCACTGGAGTGGTTGCCTCTTGAGAGAGGAAGACTAGAATCAAGGACATTTAATCAAGGGTTAACCTCAGTGGCTTTAATTATAACTAAAATGCTGTCATGTGTCATTTTGTAGAGGAAACGAAACCATGAAAAAAATAGCAAAGATTTGATAAGCCCTGCCATTGATTACATTTTTCTCCCTGCCTTGTTGTACATTTAAACTATTTCATAATTTTGAAAATGAATTGAAATTAAGTGATTGCCGAACTATATGTATCTTATAAACCCCTTGTAAAAAATAGATAAATGGATAAATATTATAGGTACCTGCATGTGCATGGAAAAATATACACCAAATTGTTAACAATGAGTATCTCTCTCTCTTTTTTTAAGATTTTATTTATTTATTTGACAGAGAGAAACAGAGCGAAAGAGGGAACACAAGCAGGGGGAGTGGGAGAGGGAGAAGCCGGCCTCCCACCGAGCAGGGAGCCTGATGCGAGGCTCGATCCCAGGACCCTGGGATTATGACCTGAGCCGAAGGCAGACCCTTAACGACTGAGCCACTCAGGCGCCCCAACAATGAGTATCTCCTGAAGTTGGAATACAAAAGGATATTTTAGAGATCTGGCCAAAGATTAGGGAAGAGTTTTTTTCTCTCCCCCAAGTAATGAATAGGCTCCTTTAGGAAGTACAAATTACAAATCTCTAAAACAGATGCCAATCACAGGGATTTGCTTTTATGGCAAAATCCTTATGCTCAATAATCAGAAATAATCAGATATTACCCCTGCCGGTTCTCAGCCCTTTGGTGGTGAGGTCTTTCTTCTTTTTGTTAAACTGTTTGCAAGGCAGGGATTTGAGACAGGCCCTCTCCTCACATCCTTGTCACCTTAAGAGGGACAGATGAAATGGCTTTGTACCACCTGGCAAGGCTTCTCTCCCAGGAGATGCCTACCTCCCCACCACGCTCTTTTATAACTAAGATGTTTGGCAGGAATGAAGTCCAATTAGGACAGTCTCTCTTTCTCATTTCAAACACTGAAAGGTAGGTAGGTATCTTCTAGTCGCTAATGAAAAAACTCCACAAAGCAGCACATATCGAAGAATTTCTCATGAGGTCCTTTTAAACAAAAAGATGACAATGCATCTCTAACTCTGTTTCAGTCCCTTGTAATAAAGAAGTCCCTATCTTACTGATGGGACTGGGATGTTCTGGGCTTCGCTGTGCTGTGAAAGTTTAACAAGGCCACAGATGAAGGAAGGAAGATATTCTCTTTTTGTTTTATATGCTTTCTATGCCTCTCAATTGTGTAACTTTTGTTAATAAGGACACGTTACTTTCTGCAATTAAAAAAAGTAATACATATGAATCAGGAAAACATTGAAAATGCACTAACATGATTCTTTTCTCCAAGGGTCATTGAGGCTTGGCCCCAGAGGAGCCCCTGGATCTCCGGGAGTGAAAGGAAGTAAAGGGGAACGAGGGCCCCCAGGAAAGAATGCAGTGGGGCCTCCTGGGTCCCCAGGTTGTCCTGGTTCACCAGGCCCTATAGGGCTGCCAGGATATCCAGGACCACCAGGTAGATACCTAACGGGGCCCCTATTGTGTACACTGCCCAATAACAGATGTGTGCAAATCAATGGCAATGAACCTTACTTGCAGCTTGGCCATCAGTCTGTGTCGATCTTAGGAGCGATCTTTCTGCTGCTGTTTCATCTGATGAGCTATCTGTGAAGACAGCTCAGGTAGAATGAGGACATAGCAGGTGCAGCAAGGCTTTAGCCTGAGCTCCCACAGAGGGCAGAGTGGGAGGCAGGGACAAGGGACAGTGAAGCAGAGAAGGAGGGACGGTTATCAGGTTGGCCTTGGCCGAGTCTGTAACTGCTTGTCTGGTCCCTGGAGAATATCTTCCTAAAAGCTACAACTTTGGTTCAGGACAATCTGTCACAGGGGAACAAGAGGCAAGAATTTATCTACCCATTCCTATTAGTCGTGGGTCGAAGATATATCCCACAGGACCAGACTAACCACACACACACACACACACACACACACACACACTCTTCCAGGCTGTGTTAGCAGGGCGTCCCATGCACTGGCATCAGCAGGAAGACCCAGGGCAAGGAGGTGTGGGCTGGAGGTGCAGCAGGGGCATGGGGCAAGATACTGCCAGATAAAGTGGGTCAGAGACCACGTAGCTGCAGCCTAGAGGACGGGAAGTGCCTGGAGTTGTCCTCCCCTCTCTAGCCCCCCATAGCCGCCTAGCCTTCTCTGCTGGCTGACAGGTACATAGTACCTCAGAACATATGCATCACTCTTTGTCTCTTAAAACACCTCTCTGGAAGGTGCCTGGGAGGTCTTGTGCTTTATACTCAACCTTCCTAATAGCCCTAAGAATCTTCTGTTGTGCCAGGGATTTTTTTTTTAATTTGTTATTGTTACATTAATCACCATACATTATATCATTAGTTCTTGATGTAGTGTTCTATGATTCATTGTTTGTGCATAACACCCAGTGCTCCATGCAGAACGTGCCCTCTTTAATACCCATCACCAGGCTCACCCATCCCCCCACCCCCCTCCCCTCTAGAGCCCTCAGTTTGTTTTTCAGAGTCCATCAGGGATTTTATTTTTAAGAAGGGATTTTGTTTTTAAGAAAGGATTTATTATTTATAGACAGTGTGATTATAAATCTGGAAGATCCAAAAGAATAATCTGGAAAACTCTTACTGTTAATAAGATAATTCAGCTAAATTAGGTCTGGCTATTCGAGCAATATTTGAAAAAAAAAAATAAAAGCTTCCCTTTAGGCCAGTGGCTGTTTAAGAAATTATCCCATTAATAAAACAATATAATATCCAAGAACAAAAGCTGTCAAGCTCTGGTGTGAACCTATGTGGAAAACAAAGCAAAATGAAACTTAACTAAAACCTTTCACTGGGTCGGGGATTTTAACAATTTCTAGTCCTCCAAGTCTTTTTCAAGACGTAGGTTTAATGTGCTCATTTCATCGACCAGGGGCCTGAGGTGCACAGCTCTTGGCGCTCATGAGTGCCGTAATCGGGCTCTGGACCCCAGGTGCCTGAGGTAATACAGCTCCTTCTGCAAGACACTGTACATCCTCTCCCCTTAGAGGTGGCCCTGGTTTCCTGTCCTCTCTTACCTAAGCAACACCTGTCTGTCCATCCAGTTGCAGCTTCAACTTCAAGTCCTGCAGAATGCTTACACTGAGCCCACATCCTGTAACACTCAAGCTTATCCCGATAGTAGTTTTTCTCATTGCCGGTCTTTGTCAGTTTCCCCTACGAGACTCAAAGCTCTTTGAGGTCAGACACTGTGTCTGGTTTGCTGTTTTAAACTCAGCATGTAGCACAGGGGCTGGAACATTGTAGGTACTCAAATATTTGTTGAATTAAGTATGAAATGACCAGGAAAATGTGCAAGTAAATACAAATGTATAAATGTGTAAGTATACATATATGTCTACCTTAAGTATAAAACTGCCATTACATTTTACTGTTTAAAGATAACTATCCAAGTTAAGAAGGGAAGAATGAAGGGGGGGAAATCGGAGGGGGAGACGAACCATGAGAGACTATGGACTCTGAGAAACAAACTGAGGGTTCTCGAGGGGAGGGGGAGTCGGTGATGGGTTAGCCTGGTGATGGATATTAAAGAGGGCACCTATTGAATGGAGCACTGGGTGTTATACGCAAACAATGAATCATGGGACACTACATCAAAAACTAATGATGTAATGTATGGTGATTAAGATAACATAATAAAATTTAAAAAAATTAAAAAATAAACAAACAAATAAAAATTAAAGATAACTATCCAGTCATCTTAAAGACACAGAAAACTGGATAACAAAATGAGCATTCCTTTCAGACAGAGTCAAGCAAACATTACCCACACCCCATTCCATCTCAATTAAATGTCTCCACTGATAACCTTGGTCGCTCTGAAATTTGGAGCAGCTATAGGCATTGTTTTGAAATATTTAGTTTCATCAGCATTGCCTTCAACCTAGATTTGAAATGGCAAGACCAAAAAATCCAGTTATAGAACACAAGAGTTTAAGAGCGCTAGCTGTTCGTTGTAACATTATAGTTGTGGATACATGTGGAAAACTGGGAAGAGCTTTCTTGAAGAATGACAAACTCAATTGATGTGAACAAGCCATGCAGAGAAAACAGATGATACTCTGTCAAAACCTTTTCACTCAATATGTATTAAGCATCTACAATATATCAGGAAGATTCAGTGTACCTGAGATAATAGAATGCGATGTGACCCTTTGCCTAAACATTCTAAAGGATAGTCTTGGAATAATTGGAAATAAGTGGCTAAAATAACATGGATTAATTTTATGATGAGAACTAACCAGATAACAAACTTTCAAAGAATCACCACACTAGTATCAAAAAATATCACATGTCTGTAGTGAGAAAGGAAAAGCTGGTCAACACACTTCAGTCTTCAATTGCAGATAACCTTCAAAAGATGCAGCCTCCAAAACAAATATGGGGGAAATGCACATAGAATAATACATCTTACTGAAACACTTGCTCATTGAATAAAGAAACAAAACACTAGCTGTGGTGTTGTCTTTTTGCAGGTGACATCGTCTTTCGCAAAGGTCCACCTGGAGATGGTGGACTCCCAGGCCTTGTAGGGTTTCCAGGAATCCCAGGAGCCGATGGGCCCAAAGGTTGGTTCAATCAATGGTGTTGTTCTATAAAAGCAAGCCATTCTCATCATCATTCCTATCACTGATTGCACCCCTCGAAACAACAATGATCCCAAACTGCAGTCAGGGATGGCTTCTTTTGCAAAAGAATTGCCTAAAAGTATTCATTTATCTGCAAATCAACCATGAATTTGACCCATGCCATAAATTGTGGGATATGCCTAGAATATGAGTTTTATCCTGCACTGAAGGAGAGAGATACTGAGAGAGTAGATATTTTATTCTTGATTCAGGATTTCCTTTAAGAATATTAAGAAGGTCAGATAGATAAAGTAAGCCAACATAATACATGAACAATTTTTTAAAGATTTTATTTATTTATTTGAGGGAGGGAGAGAGAGCAAGAGCATGAGCAGGGGGAGGAGCAGAAGGAGAGGGAAACGCAAACCCCCCTGCTGAGCAGGGAGCTCAGTGCAATATGGGGCTTGATTCTAAGATTCCAGGACCAGGACCTAAGGGGGGGGGCAGACTCTTAACTGACTGAGCCACCCAGATGCCCCAAGATGAATGATTTTTTTATTAACATGCACAATGTCCTTGATGATTTCCACTACACCCCCCCCCATTTTTAATGTAATAAGTGGCTGCGTGGTTGGGAAACATCTGTCCTTTCTGCAGACGTGGTGTGGGTTTATGAGTAATGTGCGCATGCTCTCATTGCAGGGGAACCTGGCCTTTTGTGCATACAATGTCCTTGTGTCCCAGGGCCCGTGGGTCCCCCAGGACTGCCAGGGTTGGATGGCATAAAAGGAGTCCCAGGTACAGACATTTTGCACACAAAGGTTTTGGCAAGTACAAAAGGGTCAGCTCACTGGTGATGAAAAAAGCTATCAGACATCTGGAGGTCATGATGTGGTTTGCATGAACTTAGAGATTTTCAAAAGCATACTCTGTTAACATAAAGCAAGCTAAAATAACACAAAAACTGGCATTTCCCCCGTTCCATTTTAATTGCTGAATTCTAGCAAACCATGGAGTTCCCCATGAATTATAGACTGGGGTTCCTCCGGGGGTAGGATTTAGGAGGGGTGAGGCAGCTATCCCACACACACACCACCTTTTTCTTCCATAAAGGAATAAGCTCTCTCTCATTTTTTCTTCTTAAAAGACACAACTCTCCTCAGTCTGTTTTTTTAAGGTCCCCACTTTTTGGTAGAGCCAAGGGCAGATGCATGGTTTCATCCTTTAGAAGGATATAAGTGCAATAAATTGGCACACTGATGGGGGGCGACAGGGTGGTGTGGGCTCTGGTAAACTGGAAGGCACGTTGGAGGGGCCATCCCGCACCAGCTCCAGCCTATTGTTACTTTTCAACATTTTCGGCCCTGTGTTGATAAATCTTCCAATTTTTCCTGAGAAGAAAGAAATGAGGGTTTTTATCTGAAGTCTTACTTTTTTCAATATTAGCTACTAACTCCATTTTTGAGGGAAGAAACCATCTTAGAGGCCAATATTCTGAGAGCTAAGTAGAGCCCTTGTCATTTCTCCTGTCGACCTCTGTGCCAAACCAGGACCCTCCCCTACACCTGGTTGCTCCAGGCGTCACATCCCTGCTGCCCTACCTCCTCCCCCTTCCTCAGGCACAGAACTGGCCGTAGACAAAACCCTGAGGCAGAGAAAGTCTCCTTAGTTGGGTTCCTCTGCCCTTCGTGCCTTCGTGCCACTCTCCTGCTCCTTCATAAATGCCTTAGTTACTCCGTAGTCTCTGCCCCCTGACTCCCTGAGATGGGCCTGAGACGGAAATAGTCCGCGAGGGGCGGACTACTCCTCATGCGGCTCCTATTCAGTGCCCAAGACTCTGGGTAGAATGTCCTATTAAAACATAAACTAAGAAGGAAGGGAAGGAGCTGGGGAGAGAGGGAGGGAAAGCACAGAAGGAAAGCAATCATTATTTCCCTAAGCTCCCTCTGAGTGACCCCTAGCCCAAGGGTAGAATGCAAGTGGGCAGCTCGCTGACGACCAACTAGCCGTGTTGAATTTTCCTTGGTTTCTCTACATTCGGCATACTACAGGTATAGCTCACAGAAGATATATAAACAGGAAAACCACTTGGATGAGTATCAAAAAATATACCCTGACTTAAATCTTGCAAAAAATAAAATCTGAATATACATTTGTTAACACATTGGCTTGAGATCCAGCCAAAAGACCCTCTAAAGGGATCATCTTTACAGAGATATTTAAATACATAGAGGAAGTATAAAATTGTACAGTAAAATGTAATTTGGCAACAGATACCCAAAGCCTCGGGAAAGTTTGTGTCCATTTGGTCTCGCACTTACACTTTTAGGAATTTATTTAAATTACTCGATAACTTTGAAGTACTAAATACCTAGGGATACTTATCACAGCATTGTTGACTAGAGCTAAAGTTGGGGAAAGATCTAAGTTCTAAAACCAGCAGTTAGTTAAATAAATGTTGGTTGACCCACACAATAGGCTACTACGCAACCATTGAAGTGAAGCTATAAATCTGTATTTATTGACATATGATTCCCAAATACCATGCATATGTCCAGTGTGTTATGGATATAAAATTTTATGAGTAACATACATGAAAATTTTAGCAAATATTGTCTTCTGGTGGTAGATTTATGGGTGATTTTTTATTCTCTTCTTGCTGAATCTGTTTTTTACAATGAGCATATGGTACTTTTATGATCAAAACAAATAAATGTTTCTCCTTAAAATTATAAAGACAAGAATTTTAGGAAGGTAAGATTTTTTTTTAATGCCTTTTATTTTTTTTTTACATCATCTCTTATTCCACTTCTGCACTCACATTCACTCCCTGCACTGGGTGTTTTAAGATACAATTGTCTTTCTTTCCTCAGAAGAAAACACCCTATTCTCTTCATACACTGCATTACTCTGGCTACTCAGAGTTGGCGTTCAATGAATATTTAATAATTTACTGCTTTACAGGAGGACAAGGGCCATCTGGCATTAAAGGAAGCCCCGGGTCCCCAGGAAGTACGGGTCTTCCAGGATCTCCAGTAAGATTTCATGCTTTGGAAGCTTTAGTGTCAATTTGGGAAACAGCACGCTCTGGAAATACAGTTGTGCCACACAAAGGTTATCAGTTTGGTTCCTGGCAAAGAGTGCTTAATATTAGAGCATTTGATCGATACTTGACTAAATGAATGAATGAATGATGTGTGAATGGAATAAGGGAATGAAATAATGAATTTATAATCATTTAAAACGGTATCAGAGATAGTAGGTGGATCTGTTGCTGCCTGGGGCTGAGGTTGGGAACAGAGATTGACTGCAGATGGATTTGAGGGAATTTGGGGGAGTGATGGAAAAGTTTTGACACTGGATTGCAGTGATTGTGCCATAAATTACAAATTTACTAAAAATCATTGAATTGTTTTTGTATATAGATACATCTCATGATATGTAAATTATACCTCAATAAACTTTTAGAAATTAAAATTTTTATTATCACAGTGAATCAGAAAGCTATATAAAGATAAATATATTTAAATCAAATTATCCATAGATGCATGTTAAAATTTACCAATATTCTAACATAATCTAAATTATGGTGACGTTTGTATCGTATTGAATAATATTACTGGGTGTGTTGCATTGAATTGCACTAACTGTATTCTTTTCCAGTTTTGGAAGCAAATAGAAAAGAAAACCAAAAAGCTTGACATTATACTTGTAGGCCAAAGAAAGTGTCTTTAAAAAAAAAAAAACAAAACCCACATTCATTAAAATTGAAAAATTCTGGTTGACATTTTCTTTTTAAGATTGGCAGAAGAACCGCCGTACCCAAATGCAATGCAGCCTTGTTTCTGTACCGCCCTAGGGATTCCCGGGTGCTCCGGGGGATCCAGGACTTAACGGAGAAAAAGGTGGAGCGTCTCCGCCTGAGGGAGAAGTGGGTGCCCCAGGGGACCCCGGGCCCAGAGGGCATCCTGGAAGAAGGGGCTTGGATGGAACTCCTGGAACTCCCGGGGTCAAAGGGTCACCAGGGCCCAAAGGTGAACTGGTTGGTATCGAGTAACTTTCTTCAAATTACCTTCCCTGCAATTGAAATGCTCTGAAGTGGTGACCTTGGGCAATCTCCATTCAGAAAATGGTTGGCCGCTCAGCACAGTGGGTCCTTCCAACTGCGCACTGAGGTGCCTTGGAAGGAGCAGTAATAACCCCAGCAAATATGTATAGTATTTTGACACAGAGGTGGCACTTGATGGTGCTTTTAGCCCAAATGAAATTCTATGTTGATAATGACCTTGTCTCCTACACAAGTTACAATCCCTCATTTGTATCCGGTGAGTTTATACACAAGTTCAGTAAATGACAAATAATGGAAAGTTTTGGTCAATATTTTGGGGACAGTGTTCATTCTTTTAAGTGAAAATAAATGCTTAAAGACCAGAATATTTAGGAGTAGCGTCATCAAATAAACAGATCAAATGTTTTGTCATCTAAAATATTTAAGCTTCTGTAGATTCTCTTTTCATGAGATAGGGATAGAATCTCTCACACGTTCACTTGAGAGATTCCTACCAGGAGCAATTTTAAATCATCGTGGGGTCAGAGGCTGAGCACCTCCCCCCAGTGTATTTGTGAGAAGTTTGCCAGGCATGCTGCCCAGCCTGCTCCAGGAAATACCAGGTTCTTCCAAGATTTCTGAGTGTTATCCAGTCAAGGGGGTCCTGCCTTGAACAGGAAAACTTGGCAAATAAATTTGAAGATTCATTTACACACCCTTTAGTATCAGAATATAAAGTGTGGCTCACCGAGATACAGATGTGGTATACAGTCTTTTTTTTTTAAGATTTATTTATTTATTTGAAAGAGAGAGAGAATGAGAGAGAGAGAGAGAGAGCACATGAGAGGGGGGAGCGTCAGAGGGAGAAGCAGACTCCCTGCTGAGCAGGGAGCCAGATGCGGGACTCCAGGATCATGACCTGAGCCGAAGGCAGTCACTCAACCAACTGAGCCACCCAGGTGCCCCTGTGGTATACAGTCTTCCCAACATCTTTTTGATGACAAAATACTTTCTGGCTGAGACCAGCTAGCCGGTTCAGTGTTTCTCAGACTCTCCTCTGGCAAAAAGGTTGGCTGTCCCGGAATAGGGGGTGGTGCAGTTATACTTTATAGAGGGACAGAGTCTAGAATTCTCTGGTCTAGTATTAAGACAGTTCACATGATGCTTCCTTCTGCATCTCACTAATTTCCTTATTAGTTCCAGTAAAAGTAAAGTAAAGAAAAAAATTAAGGCGGTGATATGTTGAGTCTTATTCCCTGTCATTACAGAAGAAGGGGGAAAAAACAATGCTTAGTCACCCAATGATACTGAACAATGAAAAATCAAGTCAATTTTATTATTTGGGGCCATACTGGGGAGGAAGAGGAACTCGATTATTGTGTCACATTTAACTTGTTTAAAATATACAAGCCATTTCCAAAGTTATAGCCTATGCAATTACAAAAAAATATTTATGGAACACCTGGGTGGCTCAGTCGGTTAAGCGTCTGCCTTTGGCTCAGGTCATGATCTCAGGGTCCTGGGATCGAGTCCCACATCGGGCTCCTTGCTCATCGGGAAGTCTGCTTCTCCCTCTGCCTGCAGCTCCCCCAGCTTCTGCTCTCTCTCTCTCTCTCTCTGACAAATAAATAAAATCTTTAAAAAGCCAAAAAGATATTTTATAAGAAAAAAAAAGCATACAGTCTATCTGTATCTGTATCTCCTTTGTGATGAAAATAGCCGGTGAGGACCAAAGGTTTGCTGTGCTGGTTTTATTTTAGAAATGCGCTATTCCCGGGCGCCTGGGTGGCTCAGTTGGTTAAGTGACTGCCTTTGGCTCGGGTCATGATCCTGGAGTCCCGGGATCGAGTCCCACATCGGGCTCCCTGCTCAGCAGCGAGTCTGCTTCTCCCTCTGACCCTCTCCCCTCTCATGCTCTCTCTCTATCTCATTCTCCCTCTCAAATAAATAAAATCTTTAAAAAAAAAAAAAAAAGAAATGCGCTATTCCCATGAATGCCACTCTAAAGCTATTTGAACTGTTGGCTGATATGAACAAAGTTTTAGGGGCTATTATATGTATAACATCCTGCTGGAGGACACCTCCAGTGGGGCTCAAGAGACTGCAAGTTCATGAAATGTTGCTGAAATCCGAAGGGCACAAAACAGCAGAAATCAGACCGTGCTCTGATTTCAGTAATAATTCCCTTCAAATGCCAACTGCTTTGTAATTCAAGATTTTCTCATTGGCTGCTTATCTGGTCCTCCTCTTCATGTTAAGATTAACCCACGTAAGGAGATCCTGGACTGAAGCACTATCCAAACATATTCCTATTGTCACAGGCCCTGAGTGGTGAGAAGGGGGATCAGGGTCCTCCAGGGTATCCTGGCAACCCTGGGTCCCCAGGACCTGCAGGACCACCTGGACCATCAAACTATGGACCACAGGGAGAGCCTGGTCCAAAGGGCACCCAAGGAGTTCCTGGAGCCCCTGGACCACCTGGAGAAGCCGGTTGGTTAGTTTTCTTTCCAGTCCTGTTTTCCTATGGAGTGGGTCCATGGTTCCTAGAGCAAGTGAAGCTCCCCCAAAACTAATGAAGGCATAGAAACTTGCTTCTAATAAGTAGAATACGTCAACTCACAGACAGCTGAAATTTCCTGATAGTCTATCTACATTTACTAATTGATATATATGGGATGGGGAGCACCTGGCTGGCTCAGTATGTGGTGTTTGAGACTCTTGATCTTGGGGTCATGAGTTTGAGCCCCCTGTTGGGTGTAGAGATTACTTAAAAAAAATCTTAAAAAAATATGTGGAAGGAGTGGAAGTCTGTTATGGTAAACAAAGGGGAAGCAGAAATCTATGAAATTGATCTTGAGAAGCCTCTTGTAAGTCTCAAGGGCCCACTAATGTTACTACAAATTTGTTCTTTTTGACCCATAATCCAATGGATGGTTTATAAATAAAACTTCAAAATATCTAAGATAAATGAAGAAAGGTTTTCTGATAAGAGCTCTAAAGTCCCAGTAACTTTTGGGATCCACACGTACTGAACATAGTTGGTGGATTCAGGAGGAAGCCGATCCTCAATGTTTATCTGTGGCAGAGAACATGGCAGAAGATGAGAATTGCCATGTTGCTGACAGTTTTTAACAAATAATGCCACCCTATCATTTTTTACTTCTAACATCACTTTTTAAAGGGTTAGACCTAATAAAATAATGGCCTCTAAATCTTTTTATGGTATCCTTCATTAGTAAAAAATGTGTAAGTTCCTCCCCCCAAGTATTTATATATTTTTAAATTGTTTACATGCATTCCTAACCACACATGTACATAAGGCTTCTTTTATGATTATATATGTATGTATGTGTGTGTGTGTGTGTGTGTGTGTATATATATATATATACATATATATATATATATACTGCATCTTACTTTTGAGGCTACAGTGCTAATCCAAGGATTGGCAAACTATGGCGGCCCATCGTCTAAATCCAGCCTACCATATATTTATGTATGACCTACAAGCTAAAAATGTTTTTCCTATTTTTAAATGATTGGGGGGAAAGACCTTTTGAATAATCCTTTATGGCACGTGAAAATGACATGAAGTTCAAGTTTCAGTGTCCATAAATACGTTCTGCTGGCCCACAGTCACACTCATTCATTTACATATTGTTTCCGGTGGTTCCCATGCTACAATAGCAGCATTGAGTAGTGGCACAACCATCTGGACTACAAAGCCCAGATTATTTACTATCTGGCCCTTTACAGAAGAAGTCCTTCTAATCCATCTTCAAATCTTCTTCTGTTCTTTCTACGTGCGAATTTCTGGCAAAGGACTCCATTGTTGTAAAATATATTATCAAGTTTTTCCCATCACACTACTGTAAACTTATTTTTTTCTATAAATATATGGATAATACAAATCACTAACATGTTTTTAATGTTGGCCCCCATAGCCACATTATCTCAAATATTATGGGCTGGGTAGGCTTTATCTCCCCAATGATACATGAAGAACTTAATCAGAGGTTAAGATATGTGCCCAAGCCACACTTCATGTTTTGTTCAGCATACTGTACTTCCTTCCCATGCAAACTAGTGGCCCAATAAAGAAATATCCTATTAAATAAATATTCGCCAATGTTTAAGATGAATTCCATATTATCGATTTTTTTTAGAACAGCCTCTCTTTCAATTGACCAGGATTGAGGTGGGCTATTAATTAAAACAAAGCTGGGGCAATAGTAAATGCTTATAAATATTCAACTGAATAAGAAAGTTTCAGTGGGTTAGTCATCTTTACACCAGTTTTGAAGCCTATGAAGCAGAGACTATTTTTTTTCTCTTTCTGGGGATATGTTTCTAAACCCCTTATATCACATTTGTTCCCTCTGAACCAAAAAAAAGCTTCAATATGCACACCAATCTTATGATCACAAACTTTCTTAAGGTCCTAGGGGAGAATTCGTTATTTCGACACCAGTCCCAGGGCCCCCAGGACCTCCAGGGCCCCCTGGCCGTGCTGGCCCCCAAGGTCCACCTGGTGAGTATCCCCTCTGCCAAGTCTGGTGCATGGCATCAAATGGCAGCCTGACTATCCTCAAAAAATATTGTCCCTATGTAAGGAAAAACTAGATTTGGCACCAAAAGAAGCCAGAGGCCAGAGTTCTGTTAGATAACAAGGCCACACGCAGGGGACTTGTCATTTTTCTTTGGGATTATCCAAATTATTCCCATTGGTGCCTCTGATTCCAAAAAAGAAAAAAGAATCAATGTCATTACTTAAAAGGAATTCAAGAGCAGAACAATCTCCATGGATTTTTGGTGGGGGAGTAAGTGATGTTTGCCAGTAGTTAATCAAGCCAGTTCCTGCAGCTTCTTCATTTGAAAATGTAACTTCTTTGCCAATATGATCTAAAACTTAACTTTGCATGCATGATGGGAGACTTATGTAGCTCAAGATATCTAGAATATTTCTTTTGTAGGAATTAAATTCTATATTAAACATTATTTGTAGCTCCTAATGATTAGTCCATTGCATAAGAATGGAGAGGGAGGAAGAGTATACAGTTGGGGTTATGTTAAAATTATCTCTTAATTTCCAAAAAGGCCTAGGATGATACAGAAACTTAGATTTTTGTTTCAAGACAAGATGAAGGGAAGTTTCTTATGTGGATGTGTGTGTGTTTTCAGGTGTCCCTGGATCCATAGGAAAATGTGTTGATCCAGGTCTTCCTGGGCCTGCTGGCGAACCAGGAATTCCAGGAATCGGCTTCCCTGGGCCCCCTGGACCTAAGGGTAAATGTACAAATTTTAAAACATAAATTTTGTTGTGGATATTTAGAAAATATAAATACATGTCATGAATAACATAGAAAAGATCCATAATGTGATATTTAAAATAATGTTTTCCACCCATCTTAAATGGGAAAAAGAAATCTTACAATGATGTTAGGCAAAAAGGCAGAATTCACATATATTTATGCATGTCATCTCAATTACATTTTTTAAAATACATAGAAAAAGTTGAAAGAAAATTCACCAAAATAGTAGTAGTGATTCTTTTTGAGTGTGGAGTTATGAGGAATTTTTTCTTTACTTCTTAATAAATGTCTGCACTTTTTACACTTACGTGTTTTTTTCACTTTATACATTTCTTTTGTAATTAAAAAAGAACTACTAAATCACCAATAATTAGTTTTCCTATACATCCCCCTGTAAATTACAGACGTTACTTTCCTTTGGGAACAAATGCTGTTTCCCATCGAAGGGAAATCACCCCAAAGAAATCCGGATGCTGAGAACTCAAACCATAATCTAACAAATACATCAGAGTCTTGTCCAGGATGACATAATAGCCATTTCGGTCCCTGGGCTGTTGCATAGATTTTCAGATTTTATAATCCTTTTATGTTTGTTTCAATATTATTTAAAGTGCCTGTCAAACTATAATCCACTTTTTGGTACTTGATCTCCTAGATTAAAATGTCATCAGTGCTTAGCATGCATTAGTCCTACACAATTATGGGAATATTGATCTCAGTTTATGAATATTTGAAATGGAAAATGTAATAGCTTCAAGAATGTCTCTGACTCCCACTTCTTGGATGTCTTCCCAATGATCTCTGAAGTCATGCAGCCTGGCCCATATTTTGGCCTACTCCGTCTTGGACCCTGCATTAAGAAATTGTATCCTGGGTGCCTGGGTGGCTCGGTTGGTTGGGCGACTGCCTTCGGCTCAGGTCATAATCCTGGAGTCCCGGGATCGAGTCCCACATCGGGCTCCCTGCTCGGCGGAGAGTTTGCTTCTCCCTCTGACGCTCTTCCCTCTTGTGCTCTCTATCTCTCATTCTCTCTCTCTCAAATAAATAAATAAAATCTTTAAAAAAAAAAAAAAGAAATTGTATCCTTGTTTGTAACCCTATGGATTCACCCTCTGAAAGGAGACTGTAATTATGGGGACCAGAAGTAGCCTAAGAAATCCTTGAAAGTTCAGATTCAAAATTTCCCAGTTGAACCTATAATAATCCCATAAACTATGATGAATTAAAAACTGGTTGGGGAGTCTGGGTGGCTTAGTCATTAGGTGACTGCCTTCAGCTCAGGTCATGATCCCAGGGACCTGGGATCAAGACCAGCATCGGGCTCCCTGCTCAGCGGGAAGTCTGCTTCTCCCTCTCTCACTCCCCCTGCTTGTGTTCCCTCTTTCACTGTGTCTCTCTCTGTCAAATAAATAAATAAAATCTTTTAAAAACTGGTCAAATTAGAGGCACAAAAGAACTCTCTGAACGCAGCCCTGCTTCACCAGGGTTTCCTCTTGCAAACCACGGAAGAGAACAAATGATATGTGTGACTCCTTTCTCAATTCTATTATAAATATATGAGAAAGAAAGTAATCCATTATGTTCAATGGCATTAGAAAGTAATTCTCTTGAGAAAGGCTACCTAGGGCACCAGATATGCTTTATATCTTTTTTTTTAAAAGATTTTATTTATTTATTTGACAGAGAGAGACACAGCAAGAGAGGGAACACAAGCAGGGGGAGCGGGAGAGGGAGAAACAGGCTTCCCAAGGAGCAGGGAGCCCGATGTGGGGCTTGACCCCAGGACCCTGGGATCATGACCTGTGCCGAAGGCAGATGCTCAACGACTGAGCCACACAGGCGCCCCTGGATATGCTTTATATCTTCGCCTGGGTCATGCTTCGATAGGTTTCTGGACATGCAAATATTCATTTGGCTGTATATTTTGTGTAAAATACACTCCAAAAGAAAAAGTCGGCCAAATGGTCAACTGGGATCAGTGGAATTGCTCCATCAAAATTGTAGCCATGCTAAACAACAAAAAGGACAAAGTCATTTTTTCAACTGAGGCTCTGATTTGGAATGGGATTTTTTTTTTTTTTTTTGCTAATGTAGCAGTTGGCTTTTTCATCATTCAGACTTTCATAAAAACATCTCTAGCAACTTGCCTCATAAAAACATAGATAAAGGGGAGGGGGGTGGGGGGATGGGTTAGCCTGGTGATGGGTATTAAAGAGGGCACGTTCTGCGTGGAGCACTGGGTGTTATGCACAAACAATGAATCATGGAACACTACATCAAAAACTAATGATGTAATGTATGGTGATTAACATAACAATAAAAAAATTTTTAAAACATAGATAAAATAACAGAGATACTGCTCTAAATCTTTTACTAAGCATACTCCTGCAACTTGTATTATGTTTCCTCTGTAGGAGAGCAAGGTTTTCCAGGAGCAAAAGGAGCACCGGGTTGTCCAGGAGAAATGGGGAAGCCCGGGTCACCTGGAGAACCGGGTCTCCCAGGAGCCAAGGTCTTCAAGAATTAAAACTCAGATGGATGTGTGGGGACGACGGGGGGTAATCACAATCATCCAGTTAGGATGCTCTGGGTATAGGACTTATCTATATATTGGTAGATGATGAAAATATTAAATACTTTTTAACGATTCTCTGAACCATCCCTCCCTTTGAGAAAGGAAAAGTGATGTTAGGAGACAGTTTTGCCTCCCCGTTTCCTCCCTAATCTTTAGGAACATTCAGAGTATTTAAAATGGAAGGGCTCTAAAAAAGTGTGGATCACTATGAGAAAAGCTGTCACAAGTAGAAACATCTAGACTGTTTACAATTTCAGTCTTCTGCAAAAGTGGCGGTTACAGAGCCTCAAGAATGGTCAAGCATAATTTTATAGAAACTCAGCAATTAGAGTTGAAAAGGAAAGAATGGTGGTAACTGTGCAAGAAGGATTATTTTCAAGTCAAAAGCCCTAAAGACCAGTCAATAGCCAAGAAAGAGTTGGAAGTGTTACATAGTGAAACTAATACAATTTCTGTGCCACAGGGAGAACCAGGAGTAGCCGTGCCTGGAGAACCAGGAACACCAGGTTTTCCAGGAGAAAGAGGCGGTTCTGGGGAAAATGGAGAAATTGGACTCCCTGGACCTCCAGGTCTCCCTGGGATTCCAGGAACTGGAGGGCTTGATGGACCCCAAGGTATAATAGCAAGTGTGATTACTTTTCTCCATAGTGAACTCTGCGAAAATGCAGCAAGTTGAAGGCGCTCTGGGACGAAGAATTCTTCTCAGACTTCTAGTTTGACAAATAACAATCTGTGGGGCCTAATTATTTTTCCATTCAACATTGCTGCCCTCCCTTTGTTTTTTTCTTCTCTTCCTCTTTCCTTCCTTCCGTCCTTTATAATGAGTGTCCTTTATAAAAGTGTCCTTATAAAAGTGCCCTATATATTTAATACCAGTGGTATTAAATATAGGTTCCATTTAGGGGGGAAAGTTACAGGAGAAGGATTGTGATAGCAGTACTAGGACCTTGGGTTTTGGCACCTGAATATATTGCTGGCCTCTATGTTGCAGGGGATCCAGGGAAGCCTGGACCACCTGGAGAAAAAGGACCCCCAGGAAGGTGCACGGAGGGTCCCAGGGGGGCCCCAGGACTTCCAGGATTAAATGGGTTGGAAGGGCAACAAGGTAAGAGGAAGACCTTGAAAACCAGTCATTACGTGGACAGGTGACGTGAGACTCCTGCTCTGTGCCTTGCTGCTTAACATGGGAACCGTCCAACAACAAGACCTGACCGCTGTTCAACGGCAAATGTTATTTTAGCAGTCTAAACCTTGTCATGGGTTTGTTGCAGTGAGTAGCACCTAGAGAGTGAGAGACCTGAAATTAACACAGCAAAATTGGTTTGTCTCGCATGCAAGACAATGTGAACACTGAAGATACATATAAACTTATATTTGCACGTATATTTATATACATATAAACACTCAGAGAAAGTTTTATCTTTACCTCCATAAGTATATCAAGTGGTAAATAGATATGTACTTAATTGCTTCCCAAGCAACATAAAATAAGGGTGTGAAATAACTCTAAATGCTGCAGGCTAGGTGGCCCAGATTATGAGAAACTTACTCTATTTTGCTGGCTCTTCTCATTCAGATCTGTGAACGGAGAAAAATCCTTTAGAACTCAGCTAATGCCTATGGGCTATCACATTGCTTTTATGTTCACAAACCAATTTCTGGCCAAGACATTAATGGTTGTAGTCGTGCTATTATTACTTCCAGAAGTATCTGGTGGCTCGCCTCCACCTGTGGTTGTGTGATGTATTCTGCAGGTGAAAGACTGAGCTACAGTCGTAAAGCGCAGTCCCAGGATGTGTCTGCAGGACTAGAGAATAGATCTAAATTCTACACTTTTATTACTGCATGAATCACTGAAACAGAATGTTAAAGCTAGAAGGGATCTTAGAAATTGTACAGAAGGGGATGTCAATCAATCAATCAATCAGATAAATGTGTGGTTTGTCCATAATCACACAGCTACATATTTATAGCCATAAAAAATATATTTCTGGAGTTGGTGGGGAGGCAGTTGTGTGTTCGTTCATTCATTCATTCATTCATTCATTTATTCATATATAGGCAGAAGAGGTGAAACAGGGCCAAAGGGAGACCCAGGTATTCCAGGCTTGGATAGGTCAGGCTTTCCTGGAGAACCTGGACCACCAGGGATGCCAGGTCATCGAGGTGAAATGGGGCCACCTGGTCAAAAAGGATATCCAGGAAATCCAGGATTTTTTGGACTACCAGGTATTCTTTTCTTCTTCCATCTTCTTCCACATTTTCTTTTAAGGTGGCTGTATAAATTGGACGTAGGCCTAGGCTTTCGACTCTACACTCCTCTTTCAGTTAATTTAAGTGTTTCTTACTGAATTACTTGCACGGGGTTAGAGAGCAGAGCAGTGGTGGTGGTACAACGATCACATTTCACAATTACCCAGGGTATGACAACTTGGGCTGTGCAATCCTTTTTTATATGTTACTACTAAAGAACATTTGCTAGTATTTTCTTCAGAATTTTTGCATCTATATTTGTAAGGGATACTAGTCTGTCCTTTTCTTTGCTCATGGTATCTTTGCCTGGTTTTGGTATCAGGGTAATGCTGGCCCTTATAGAACAAGATGGGAAGTATTTCCTTCTTTTGTATTTTCTAGAAGAGTTAGTGAAGAACTGATATTCCTTAAACATTTGATTGAATTCATCAGTGAAGTCATCTGAGTCTGGGCTTTTCTTTGTGGGAAGTCTTTACATTACCAATTCAATCTCTTGTCATAGGTCTACTCAGACTTTCTGTTTCTTCTTCAGTCAGTTATGCCTCTCTAGGAAGCTATGCATTTTATCTAAGTCATCTGATTTGCGGGCATAGAGTTGTTCATAGTATTCCCTTATCATTCTTTTTATTTCATCACTATTTTTATAGTTTATATGTTTGGGAAGAATATTCCAATAGTCTCCTCATGGCATAAGGACCTCACCAATCTCTCTCCTCCAGAGAAGAACCCAGAAGAACAACTTAATCTGCAAATTGTTCTTTCGTTTATATTATTAAGCTCCTACCACATGTCAGCACTGTTCCAAGTCCTAGAGACACATCAGCAGACAGGACTCCACCTCTGACAGTGGGGGAGACCATAACAAATGCATTTAAAAACTAAGTTCAACCGCTTTGAGGAAAATAAAATAAGGGACTATAACAGAAAGCCGTTGGTCAAGGACTGGGAGGAGGGAGTGCTCCAAAACTTTAACATGTTCTGCTTTCATCTGCAAATGTGATTTGCTACCAATGACCTCCACATACATAATGTAATAAAGACCTTGTACTAACCTATCTCCCAGACAAATACGGTTGTTATTCTATTTACAGAAACCATTCCTTCAACCCTCTTTAGAGGTATAAGTTATTTTATTTTATGGAATATGTCGCTTCTCTCATTCTGTACAACCTGACCTGCTTTGTGTGAACTTGTTTCTACAGGTGAAAAAGGAATGATGGGGATGATGGGCTATCCGGGAAACACTGGCCCTCCTGGGCTCCCCGGAAACCCAGGCACCCCAGGACAGAGGGGTAAGTGACGGAGTATCTTCCCAGGATCAGGAGGCATGAGCAATGTTCGCTTAATTAGCAGCAAAATAAATTGTGTTTTATCCTTTGAGGGAAAAGTAGTTTCCCCAAGAGAACCATGTCTTTGATCTTGCTATTTTCTGTATTCCTTTTTCCATTTGAATGGAGCTGAATTTTCTCCCTGCCTTTTTTGGCTTCTCTGTCCTCTTTTGTTTCGCTTTATGGTAAGCACTGTCAACTTTTGAATCCTTACAAACTACTTCAAAAAATAAGGAACTGATGTCGCTCCTTCTGTTTTCTAGGTAGCTTTGGAATTCCAGGAGCAAAGGGTGAGAAAGGGCCCCCAGGAGCCAAGGGGGAAGAAGGAGATAAAGGACCTCGGGGGCCTTCTCAAATATCCAATTTACTGGGGGACAAAGGAGAACCAGGCCTCAAAGGTACAGCCTTCTGCTGTTTAGAGTCAGAACATCGGGGCTGGTTATCCAAGAAAATCTCTGTAGTTGACAAATGAGGACAGTGAGAGCTGGTGTTTCATGTCACAAAGCCAGCTGGTGGCCCCAGCCTGGATGCAAACTGGGTCTTCTATGCCTTGCACAATAATCTGTTGCCTCCTCAATGCATGACTTTTTATTTCTATGTTAATTCTACGTTAATTCTGCATTTGGTCCACTGTATTTAAATGGCTACTAGTCCATTTTATTTTATTTTATTTTTTAAAAGATCTTGTTTATTTATTTGACAGAGAGAGACACAGCGAGAGAGAGGGAACACAAGCAGGGGCAGTGGGAGAGGGAGAAGCAGGCTTCCCGCCGAGCAGGGAGCCCCATGCGGGGCTCGATCCCAGAACCCTGGGATCATGACCCGAGCTGAAGGCAGACGCTTAAGGACTGAGCCACTCAGGCGCCCCAGGCCACTAATTGTTAAAATGTTCGTTTAAAGTGTAAATATTGTCATCGCTAGTGTTACTTAAGAACCAACTTGTGCCAGGCACTGTGCTAATGCTTTATACGTATTATCTCATTTAATTCTCTTTTGGAAAAGAGCCCACATCTGCCCGTGCTCTTAACAAATATGTTACGCGGTATTACACTAACATGTCATCAAGTTTAATCAGGATGTAGAGAAGTCTGCTAAAATTCTCACCTGTGTTCCCTCCCACATGGTTTTTAACTTTAGGATCTGCTGGAAAGCCTGGTGAGAAAGGAAACAGAGGCATTCCAGGGTTACCAGGTTTAAAAGGACTGGAAGGACCACCTGGACCACCAGGTCCACCAGGTATAGCTGATTCTCTGATGGAAATCTCAGGCTCTAAGTGTTCCCAGATCAAAATGTAGCCAAAATGTGTCTCTTGACTTACTGGGTTGAATATGAATTTTGCTTGTTCCAACAGACATTTGCTTCGAAATTAAACCCAAATGAAGCTGTTTATAGTCAGCATATATTAACTAAAAAAAATTAACTTGCACAAAGTTCCATTTTTGTACTATGAATGTTATTTTGACACTGCTGATACATATTATGAAATACACATACTATAGTTTATCACGATACCACATATCAGAAAAGAAAATCAGATAACGATTTAGAGGTTTTCAGATCTGCCTTTTTCTCTTTTAAGCAAGCTACTGGTTTTGCAAAGAAAATTTTCAAACTGAATTAACATAGCCCCCTCTTCTCTATGACCACACTGGTGACAAAATATGTTACGTGGGCAATCACATTTCAGTATTGCATTTGGAAATCTATTGTTATATGGTGGCAGGAGCCCCCTCTTGTCTGCTGGCATTGGTCCTAGGATGACTGTGATGTTTGAAATCCAAGAATCTAACTTTATCTAATTTTACCTTGTCTGGGTCCTCAGTCCCCTCCTCATCTGGAGGCAACAAGGCGGCTACACAAGCACTTAAACTAGCTGGTCTGGCTGCTCAGAATTCATTCATTCATGCAAGCAACACCACATATTTATTGAGCACCTACACTGTCCAGAACCGTGCAGGGCATGTGACTATTTATTTGTTCTCAAGGCCTCAGGGGAGATCCAGGCAGCACTGGGAATCCTGGGGAACCAGGACTGCATGGCGGGCCAGGAAGCATGGGGAACATGGGGGTGCCAGGTAAGGTATGAGATCCTATTATGAGCTTAAAGCTCATGATGGCTCCCAATTCTAAATTTTCTGTATTGTTTGTTGTTCTGGTTTTCCACTTGGTAGAAAGTTGGTGTAAAACCAGGTTTACTTTTAGACAATGTACTGTGTGCCCTTAGAACACAAGCGAGAACAAAATAGTCATATTGTGTAAAAATCATCCATTATAACTCCCCGATGCATTCGTGATTCTGAAAAGCCAGCTTCTTAGGAGAAAGGTGGTTTGTGCAAAAGTTAGAAGTAGAATGCTTCAAGATCCCTGTGTTGCCCAATCTTACCTGACTTCTTTCCTAATTTCAGGTCCTAAAGGACAAAGGGGAACTTTGGGACCACCAGGTTTAACTGGAAGGACGGGTCTCCCAGGTGTTCACGGTCTCCAAGGAGATAAGGGAGAGCCAGGTTATTCGGCAGGTACAAGGCCAGGACCACCAGGACCAAAGGTACACTGGCCACTGAAGTAGTTACGTTTTGGTGGTGGAGTGAGTCTCAGCAAGTATCAGCAAGTGTCTGGATTCAGTGTGGGCAAAGGACGTTGACAATACTGCTGCATTTTCAGGCAACTACTTGGGTTTTTTACCCTCTTTCCACAACTCGGAACGCCTACCATACAGCTCTCAGCTTATGAGCTTATCCCTCCTGTTTCGATCCCCTAGGAATGGCTCATCACTGTCCCTGCACTTTACGTGTGCTGTCTTTGCATTTTGCACTGGTTCCCACAAATACCGTTGCCATCCTGTGCCTGGCACCGATCACGGTGCTGGTCCGTAGCAGACATGTCACACACATTGCTAACTAACCGAATAACTAAATGCAAGCAAACATAGTTCATACTCAATTCTGATCCCATATCCTGCTTATATGAGGATTTTAAAGGTTTTTGACTGACTTTAAGGGGGATCCAGGATTGCCAGGTGACACGGGAAGGAAAGGAGAGCGAGGGCTCCCTGGCACCCCTGGACATTCGGGCCCTACTGGAACTGAGGGAGCCCCTGGACATCCCGGAAGTCCTGGCCATCCAGGTGAGCGAGGGCTTTATAACTCTGAAAGCCAGAAGCATGACACTTAGCATAGTCCTTACCTCCTGGAATCAGCTCTGTAAATGGGAAGCTATTTAGGTTTTTGTACTACAGTTGCTTTCATTCAACTTTGATTTTCAAATTCTTAGACACTAAGGAACAGTAAATTAATCGGGGGCGGGGGGGTGCAAATTTTACTGATCAGCCAGTTTGGTGGGCTGACCTCTAAAATGCTGACCCTGTACAGGGCGCCTGGCTGGCTGGTCAGTTAGTAGAGCATCTAACTCTTGATCCTAGGGTGGTGAGTTCAAGCCCCATGTTGGGTGTGGAGCCTACTTACAACAAACAACAACAACAACAAAACCTGATCCTGTAAACAAAACTTAAGTGCTGTCTCAAAGAATTCAGCCTAAAAACACAAAATGTTAGTCCATTGTCCAATCTCATGATATTTGTATTCGTTTTCTAGGGCTTCCATAACAACACAGACTAGGTGGCTAAAATAAGAGAAATTTATGTTCTCACAGCTCTGGAGGCTGGGAGTCTGAGACCAAGGTGTCAGTAGGGTCATCTCTTCCGAGGCCTCTCTCCTCGGCTTTTATTGGGTATCATCTCGCTGTGTTTTCACAGGGTCTTCTTGGTGTCTCTGTGTCCTCATCAATTCTTTTTTTTTTTTTTAAAGATTTTATTTATTTGACAGGGAGAGACACAGCGAGAGAGGGAACAGAAGCAGGGGTAGTGGGAGAGGGAGAAGCAGGCTTCCTGCAGAGCAGGGGGCCCGATGTGGGACTCGATCCCAGGACCCCGGGACCATGACCTGAGCCGAAGGCAGACGCTTAAGGACTGAGCCACCCAGGTGCCCTGTCCTCATCAATTCTTATGAGGACACCAGGCATATGGGATCAGGGCCCACCCAAATGACCTCCTTTTAACTTAACTGCTTTCTTAAAGACCCTACCTCCAAATACAGTGATATTCTGAGGTACTGGGGTTAGAATTCAGTGTGTGAATTGGGGGGCAACACAATTCAATCCGTAACACTGTTGCAATTTTTTTCCTGGCCTGTTTCCAGGTTGAGCCTTGGCTTTCTTAGTTGCTTATCATTTGAGGTTAAGTTTTTGTTTTGTTTTATTAAAAACAACTGCCAAGCTACTGGGTTACAGCTTTCCTTGAAGATACTATTTAAACGATCTTTTCAAATACTGAAAGGTTCAGTGGATTTGCTGTTAACTCCCAATTAAAGTAATAAATCAGATACTGAGTGGTCCGTGTGGGAGGTGCACACGGACCACACCTTTGAAAGGGATTTGACACATCTCTGCTGTGCTTCTGTGGAGAAACCGGAGCCGGGACAAAGCCTGAGGGCCAGTGTGAGCACAGGGTTGTAAGAACTGACCACTTCAGCCATCATCATAACCATTAATCTTGTGCTGTTCTCCTTCCTTCTCTTCTCTCTTCATTTATAGGCAAGCCGGGCCCTGATGGTGATTTGGGGTTAAAAGGCATCAAAGGCTTCCTTGGTTCTCCGGGAGTCAAAGGCCCTCCAGGTTCCATTTTTGTACTTTCGTCTATTTTCCCTTCACAAGGGAGGCACATTTGCTCCTGAGGTTGGAATCTCTGTATACCTACCTATCTGCTGCCCCTTAGAAGGTAGCTCCCGGTTACTCGGTCCCCAGACAAAAATGCAAAAACTGTGAGCTTAGGTATTTATACCTATCTAACTCAAAGATCTGCCAACCCACACAGTCTCACATGATAATCCTCATGATAGTATTATTCTGTTCATAGTTTTCACTGTGAATTGAGCATCACATAACCACAGTTCTGGGAAAGGAGCACCTTTAACAGAATTCTACACATGACGCTTCTTTTCTCAGGACCTCCAGGATTTCTAGGATCTCCTGGACCAATGGGTATGAGAGGCAGCCAGGGACATGATGGAATTCCGGGTCCAGCGGGAGAAAAGGGAGAAACAGGTACCACTTGCTCATTAGCTCGGATCCCCTGGCTTTATTTTGCATTGAATGGTTACTGGCAGTGTAATTCTTCACGGCTCTAGAGATTCTTCTCCCAGAGAACTGATGATCTTTAACGTCCAGATGCATGGTAATTAAACTGCCTTCTATTGCCAAAGTGAAACTGACCAAGCGGCATAAATGAAATTACCCACATATAAAACATTAACGCACCAAAATTATCTCTTTCAGGTTTGCTGGGGGCACATCCAGGCCCGAGAGGGAGCCCTGGTGCTCCAGGTGAGAAGTGCTTCCTCCCTGACCCTGGCGATAGCTTCAAGGACAGAAGCTAATCGAAATGCCTGATATATCAAATAAACCTCACATACTGAATGAAAGAAGTCCCAGTGGGAATATAGGATATTTATATTCTTGGTTGTTCAAGTAAAAATGCTTAAAAATTATTACCATCACAACAAAGTGAGTGAATTAGAAATGGGGATTCAGTTTTGGAATTTCCTTCTACTGAAAGTCTTTAAAAATCAAGACTTGCTATGTGTTCCTTTGTTGTGGTTGTTGACATGGTTTAAATATACCACCTCCTAAAAGGGTAGAGGAGGCATAGCTGGCTTCTCCAGGAGCATCCCTCCCTGCTATTCTGAGTAGGGAGGGCAGTAAAAGCATGCAGTCATACCACAACTTCTTTCCCACCTAGTGGGAATGGGGGTGATGCCCACCCCCAGAGCCAGCTCGTGGTTCATGCTACTTTTTATTAAGGGCTACCAGTAACTCCCTCAACACCAAACATGGCAGTTTACCCAACATGTCATTCAAAGGATATACGGGTTTTTAGGTTGCCAGACTGTGGGTCTGGATTTCTCATGCCAGTGTTTGACAAGATAAGCAGCTTCTTCAAACTTTTTCTGTGTTGTAGAGAAGCCTGCCATAAGAAATATTAGATTGTTTGCACCTTCTATTGACCCTTCCCAGATGTGGGTCCTGGGGAGAGGAATATGTTATTAGCAGAAAGGGCTCTACTTAATGAAGACCTCAGGGTATTGAGGCTTACAGGAACTAGCAAGGAGTAGCTAGGTGCTACAGAGAAGCTCAGAGGGGCAGGAACTGCCTCTTGACCTACCAGCTCAACTGTGCAAAGTCTACAAGAGCTGTCCTTTTTCATTTGTTTCTTGATAATGACATAGTCTCTTTGGTTTGAGCTCAACGTCCGCACACCTCCCAGGCTCCACCTTCCCCTAAGAGCATAAAGGCTTCTCCCAGGTCATAGATCAGTTTTAGAAATATGGTCAAAAGGAGAGTTTCTGGCCTATTTTCCTAGGCTAGGCTCACAGTTTAACCATTTGGAATGAGAACACTTTGGCATCTATTTGGAAATAAAATTTGATGTAAAATGATCATACCTTAAGTAAAAAGGCCTTAAAAACATAACAACTAGGCTAATTATATAAGTAAATGATTATGCACCTCAATCCCCATAGGATAACTAAATGTGGAGAAAAGTTCATTGAGACTTGGAAAGTATGAATCGTTTTAATTAGTTTTAATTCTCCCAAATGCTAAAAAGAAACCATATTGTAAACAAGGAAGCATCTTCATAGGCATGGACTATATAACCCAAGACTGCATCTTAGTGCCTCCGACCATTGCCAGACCCTATCGAACAAATACAGCATTTCAGAGCTCGAAGTGAGCTGAAATCATCTACCCCCTGTCTTCAAAAAGCACAAATTACAGGCATAAAAAAGTTAAAGAACATGATAGAAAAAATCTAGATATTCAATATTTCAATATTCATCCATTTCACTTCATCATTGCTCTGTCTTTAAGATTTTTATTTATTTATTTGAGAGAGAGAGACCGAGATAGCAGAAAGAGCGAGAGAGCAGGAGCAGGGAGTTGAGGGAGAAGCAGGGAGGAGAGGAAGAAGCAGGCTTCCCGCTGAGCAGGGAGCCTGACTCTGGCTCGATCCCAGGACCCTGGGATCATGACCTGAGCCGAAGGCAGATGCTTAACTGACTGAGCCACCCAGGCGCCCTGATCACTCTGTCTTCCTGCACAAAAACTTCCCAAGCCTCTCCCTGTGCTAGCAGCCTCACCGTCACTTTCCCTTCTACTCCTTCCTGTCTGTCTCCTACATGTGTGCCATCCACTATTTCTAGAATAATCCAGAGATAGGAAAGAGGAGGGAGTGATTATTTTCAGTTCATACAACACTTCCCATTCATGAACATCAAAGCACAATTTCCTTGAAGGTTCTCCAAGATGAAAAATATTAGTAATTAAGTGGTGACCTTTTGGGTATCCTCTTTGGTAAATCCAAACCTCCAGCCACATTTGTCCCTTCCAGACTAGTGTTTTGTGTTCTGGGGGGAGAAGCAACCAGAGGACAGAATAGGGATCTCAACTTTGTTGCTCCTTTGGGTGTAGCTGGGTGATTCTTCAAATGCGCACATCCGTATCAGGAAGTTTGGCTCTGATGCTCTCTTGAATGGTCGGTGATTAAATAATGGCATTATAATTAAAGTTCATCAGGTAATAATTGCAGCATATAGTTACAGAACACTTTGGAGCTTACACTACACTTTTCCATCTGTATATTATCTCACTTGATCTTTAAAGACTGAGCTACATCAGGTATTAACCATCATTTTTTAAAATAAGAAAACTGACACAACAGTGAGGTGACTTTGCCAAAATCAAAGAACTGAACTAAGGCAGAAATAAGCCTCGACTCACTTCCTGGTAGACCTATAGTTCTTTTACCAGCCTCTATTAAAAAATATTTTGTGAATCTTTTTTTTTTTTTTTTAAAGATTTTATTTATTTATTTGAGAGACAGAGAGAATGAGAGAGAACGCACATGAGATGGGGGGAGGGTCAGAGGGAGAAGCAGACTCCCTGGTGAGCAGGGAGCCCGATGTGGGACTCGATCCCGGGACTCCGGGATCATGACCTGAGCCGAAGGCAGTCGCTTAACCAACTGAGCCACCCAGGCGCCCTATTTTGTGAATCTTTAAGCACAGTGTCTCTGCATTACCAGAGTTACCCCTAAACTGTAACTCCAAGTATAAGGGCATTACGGAAACTCACCAAACCATTTTCTTTGCAGGAGCCAAAGGAGACAGGGGCACCCCGGGCTTACCTGGCCTCCCGGGCAGGAAAGGGGCAGTGGGAGATGCGGGGCCACAGGGACCCCCTGGCGTGACAGGACTCCCAGGGCCACCAGGTTTTCCCGGTGCAATCATCCCTGGCCAGAAAGGAAATCGAGGCCCACCAGGCTTCAGAGGAAACCCAGGTAGAGCGTCTACTTTTACCTAAGATAAAAGAATGAAATGAGCGATTGATAACAGAATCTTTCAGCCTTCCGCTGGTGCTACCTCATTGCTTCCTTTTCCCTCTGCTCTTCACCTTCTCCCACCCACTCACTCTCGTTCTCGCATAGAGAGCAGCAAACTGCTGGTGGTGGTGATGGTCTTGTTGTTAAGTTTTTATTTTAATTCCAGTTAGTTACATACAATGTAATATTAGTTTCAGGTGTACAACATTGATTTAACACTTTCATACACTACCCGGTGCTCATCAAAACTGTTGGTGTTGTTGAGGCTTTGGGAAAATTAGTAAATACCAAAGTAACAAGCCTAAAAGAGAGAGATGTAGCCCATCACCAAGATCTGTGGAGTTGCTACTATGTGTTGAGGACTGTGCTGGGCATAGATCCTGCTCTAACAGACCTTCGGGAGGGAGAAACAGTTCCTGCCATGAGCCAGGTGCTTCCCTGGCATTATCTCATCCAGTCTTGACCACAAGTCCGTCACACTCCTCAACACAAAGAACGTGCAGGGTAACAAGAGATGCAGAGTTTGCCTGTCATCCAAAAACATCACCCACAGAACCGGCCACGCTCCGGGACTGGCAATACTGACAGGCCCTTTGTAAATTCAGGTGAGCCTGGTCCTCCGGGACCTCCAGGGAGCCACGTAAGAGGAATCAAAGGAGACAAGGGACTCATGGGCGAGCCTGGCCCCAGGGGTCTGCCCGGAACTGTAGGAGCCGAGGGGCCACCGGGTCCGCCGGTAAGTGTGGGAAATTATTTTGACTTCTTATATTCTTCTAAATCAATTGCCAGGAGCAGATGTACCCAGAGGCAAAAAAAAAAAAAAAAAAAAAAAAATTTACCTTTTGTGTTGCTTCTGTGCACCCAAGGAAGAGTCTGGAAGGTTCAGAGAATCTTTTTTTTTTTTTTTTTTAAGATTTTATTTATTTGACAGAGAGAGACACAGCGAGAGAGGGAACACAAGCAGGGGGAGTGGGAGAGGGAGAAGCAGGCTTCCCGCTGAGCAGGGAGCCTGATGCGGGGCTCGATCCCAGGACCCTGGGATCACAACCCAAGCCGAGGGCAGACGCCTAAACAACTGAGCCGCCCAGGTGCCCCAGGGGACCCTTTTCTATGTCATTCCTGACTTTTTCTTGTTTAGACACTGAACAATTCCAGTAATGGAATCTTTAAAAAATACCTAAGAGTTTGGGATCACTCTAGAGGACAACATAATTTTTCTCTATTAATAATGCTTTCAAAGTTATCTGAACTATCCCCTGAATGTCTGTGTACTTTTTCCTGTTGACGTACCTTCCAGTGTTTGTAAATAGCTGCCACTTCCTTCCAGTATTTTTCTCCCCTAATAAATACCTGTGTTTTTCAAATTCAGTTTAACCCTTCATCAACCCTGCCTCTATTCTGAATATATCCTAGTTGGTCAATATCTCCCTTAAAAACACAGCCCCTGAAACAAGTACCCACGGGGAGTAAGAACTCAGTTCCCCCATGGAGTGGTTAAAGGAGGGAAGAGTCTCACCACCTTAAACATCATCATTTTATAATCCAACCTAAAATTCCACTTGGGAGCCTCTGGGTGGCTCAGGTGGTTAAGCGACTGCCTTCGGCTCAGGTCATGATCCTGGAGTCCAGGGATCGAGTCCCGCATCGGGCTTCCTGCTCGGCGGGGAGTCTGCTTCTCCCTCTGACCCTCCCCCCTCTCATGTGCTCTCTCTCTCTCACTCTCACTCTCTCAAAATAAATAAATAAATCTTTAAAAATAAATAAATAAATAAAATTCCACTTGGGCTGTTCAGCTCCCATGTCACCACATTGTCACTACACAGTGAGCTTCTGGTCAACCAGAGCCTGTCTTGTGTGTGTGTGTGTGTGTGTGTGTGTGTGTGTGTGTGTGTGTGTCTGTCTGTCTGCCTTTTCCTCATAAATGGTTTCTAAGTTTTCTCCATTACTTTTAGTTCTTGTCTGTTTATTTGTGACTGGGGTGCAGAAGTTTCACATTTATTTTTTATAGTTGTCATTGTGTTCAGTTAGGCTTATGCTCCCAGCCTATGAAATTCTCCGAATTTTTCACTGGACACCCCTGTTTACATCAAATTCTGGGAGACTGATGAGGAAGTCAGAGTTATCTCGTAGATGCTCTGTGTTTTCATCAGTGATGCACAATGAGGTACTCTAACATGGTGGCGTGTCAGGAATCATGTTATGTTCTCTTGAGTTCTCTTGGTATTTGGTTTCCAGAATCTACCTTTTTAAGACTTTTTTTAAGTGAAATATTTGCCCAGTCTTCGGTATCTCTTATGTTCTCCATGATTCTTTGAAAGTGGTAAACACTGATCCTATAAACACAGGGAAAGTCCTTCCAAGGACACTGGGCCGTGAAAGGATTGTTTGGAAATGTGATCTCTCTTAAGTCCACTGGGCTTCGACATTTGCACTTGAAAGGTAATTCTTCCTGAAGGATGTCTAAACTGGCTCTGTGCCATGAACAACCCTCTCCTTACGTGGAGCTGCTCCCTCCTTACCCAAAGGCTGGGGCTGGCACCAGGCCCTCCTCCCTGGTAACATGTGCCTCCGGAGAATAGGCCAGACCTCGGGAGCCTGAGAGTCCTTGACCAGGTGGTTCTGTTTTCTCTCTCTTCTTTTTTCACCTCACAACACCTTATTCAAGCATTAGGACTATTCCTTCTTTTGTCTCCTTGCTCCAAAGACAGTTGGCTCAGAGGCCAGTTTTGCTATTCTTGGCATTTTGAATGACCTTCAGTTCATTGTTTTCAAGTAACAGTATCCTGTCTCAATTCATATGGACAGTGTAATAGTAGATTTAACTTACATTCTGACATGTAGCTCCTTTCTGAAGCTCTGCTCCCTTCCCCCTTCTCCTGTGGGCTTGCTTGAGTATTCCATGGCTACAAGGGCATTTAGTGTGGGCCTCATAAGGAGGGAGCATCTCCTCCTGGTCAGATCACTGTATCCTTGCCAAAAGCACATGTCAGAGCTCCCCTGACAATCCCTTCATCCCAATCCCTAGACACTTGACTGGTTCTACCACTCTGACCAGGAGTAATTTGTAACTCTGCCAGCTTAGAATTAGAACAATGGTGGGTGCCACAATTCAATATTGGCCCTGCTGTCTTTGCAAAAATTACAAAGAAAAATTATAATTTTCATTCTGGCGGTCCAGTGCCTGCTCTTCCTGAAAGATATCCAAATATTGGGCAGTTCCATTTAGGATATAGAATATTCAATTGTAACAAATACTCATATAACAGACATTAATATCCAGAAGTTGTGTTTCCTCTTGAGGGTAAGGACAGGTTTTGCTTCTGTTTTATTGACAATGCTAAGGAGAGGTCTAGGTGGTGGAGGAGCTATAGGGGGATTGGATGGATAGGAAGGTAAAAATGGTATCTGTCAATTCAGCTCATTCTGACCCAACATAATATTATATACTATTCACTTAAAAAAAAAAAAAAGAAAAAAGAACTGCAGTGACTATTGTGATTTTTAAAATTTGTCTTTGGTTCTGCTCCCTTTTATCTGAAATACAGGGAGCACCAGGAAGCCCAGGTCTGCCAGGGCTCAGAGGTGATCCTGGATTCCATGGATTTCCAGGTGTGAAAGGTACTGTCTTTGTGCACTACTCTTTGGATGCAAAGACAATGATTTTGATTTATATTTTAGGGCATGGAAATGTTTACTGAACAACTCCAGTCACCACAGACAGCTGGGGTGCAAATAGGACCTCAGTTATGAGTGAAGAAAGAAGACCACCAGCACCCAACCCAGGGGTCTTAAAAATTAAATCCATACCTTTAGAAACTATTAAAAAAATAAACAGTTTAAAGTGGTTACCTTTGAGAATACTGATGTATGTTGGATTGGGGATGGAGAACTACATCAATATCAATAGTATTGCTTTGAATTTGCTTATTTTAACTTGCGTATGTGTTATAATTTTAAAAAGCTGAAAATCTAAATGAATATTTACTCAACTGTGAATGGGGGAGGGTAAGTAAATTTTTATATGAAGATTTAAATATTTGTTTGGGCACATGTATTAATGTTTTAATCAGAAGAGAACTATAATTTGGGGGGGAAGTTTAAAATTTTCATGCACATAAATTTAAACTTCAGGTTTCAGAAAATATTTCTCAAGTCTTCCATAAGGATGCTATGACCTTAAATAAGGTTTTGAATATTGTATTTGTTGTCTTCACTGATTAAATCCTCTGGCATTGTTTTTGTCAGCAGGGAATCTATTACTATAGACTATGCAGGTGCTAAATAGTGAATGTGGAGCCAAAGGGAACAAAGCCACATTTTCACAAAGGAAAACCTTTTCCAGGTCTGAGAGGACAAGGTAGAGTTCAAAGAGAGCCTTCTCAATGCTTTCAACTGCTGACTCTTCAAGGAGCAAGTTAAGAATAAATCAAAGCAATTGATTCTGAGAAGTCCCACTAGACATTGTGGGGAAGGGTGAACACTGGCAGGCAGCCTGAGAAAGGTGTCCCACCTGTCACTCCCTACCTCTCAGAACAGAAATATCTAAGATTGGAAAAAATTATATAAAGGCTTGGGGTGCCTGGGTGGCTCAGTCGGTTAAGTGTCTGACTTTGGCTCAGGTCATGATCTCAGGGCCCTGGATCCAGATGTGCCTCACATTTCTGCCCTCAGCCAGGAGTCTGCTTCTCCCTCTCCCTCTGCCCCTCCCTTTCTCCCTGTCCCTCCCCCCCCCCCGTCCTCCTCTCCTCTCAAATAAATAAAGAAAATCTTTAAAAAAACATATAAAGGCTCCACTAGAGAAAAACATTCTGGTGAAATATTTAGAGGTATTTAGATGGGAGATTCATAAAATCAGTTCTTTTGAAATATGTTCCATGAAACACATACAGTTTTTCTTAGATTTCAGAATAACACCATCTATCACCTGGCACTACTGACAAGTTTGCACTTTATTTGTAAATTTTTAATCCCCAAAAGGAAAAATGGTTAGGCTTCTTCTGATATATATAAATATGGACATCTTCCTTAAGTTCTGATACCAAGTGGATAGAGTGTAGTTTCCAGTTCACTTTTGATACTATAATTATTTTATTGTATTTCTTCTTCTTTTTAAAAAATATTTTATTTATTTGAAAGAGAGAGAGAGCACAAGCAGGGGGCGGGGAGAGGGGAGAGGGAGAGGGAGAAGCAGACTCCCAACTGAATGGGAAGCCTGATGACGCAGGGCTAGATCCCAGGACCCAGGACCCAGGATCACGACCTGAGCCAAAGTCAGGCACTTAACCTAATGAGTCACCCAGGGACCCCTTGTATTTCTTTTGTGAATACCATATTTAGTATTAAAGTCTTTCTAAGTGATCAGATGTAATAGCTACAATATCTCAAGATTTTTAAAAATAGAGTATTTCTCCAAATCAGTGATTCTTGGTAAACTTTTATTCATGTCAAAGACTGTTTGGGAGAGAAATCATACCATTTTGAAAGTTTACATGAAAGCAGATATTCTACATGTGCTCATGAGAGTTCCTAACATAACAGGCTCTTAGTAAATCTAGAGTAATAAGCCAAGAAAACAGATCACTATAACAATCAATATAAGCACTAAAAGAGGTTTTAATGTCACCACATACTCTAAGTCAAATAATAAATTGAATTAGTTTCTGGACTTAAAAAAGTGAACTCTTAGGAATTCTTCTCCTTCTCTACTAAACTACAAGATCTTAATGCCAACTTCTAGAGTATATATTTTTTAATAGATATTAAACATGACTGATTGAGTCCAAATAAAATGCCAAAAGTTGTAGCCATTATCACAGTGCCCAGCACCTCTAGTCCTAACTTCCAGTGTCTATCCTTCTGGCTGATCATAAACCTGAAGAGCTAGGGAACCCATCGTTCTAAATGGAATCAAATCATCTTTTTTATTTTCTTTTTTTTTTAAGGGGAGAAGGGTAATCCGGGATTTCTAGGACCAGCTGGACCTCCAGGGCAAATTGGGCCAAAAGGACCACCTGGTAAATATTATTTCCTTAGTGTTGCTCTTCATGAAGAAGAGGTAACTCATCAGTGAAATCATCATTCTCTTATGTTCATATCAATAGGTGTACGTGGAGACCCTGGCACCATTAAGATCATCTCCCTTCCAGGAAGCCCAGGGCCACCTGGTCGTGCTGGAGGACCAGGAATGCAAGGAGAACCTGGGCCACCGGGGCCACCAGGAATCCTAGGTGTGGCACTGGCAGCACTGACGTGGATTACTAGGAAGGGGTCAAACTAAAATACCTGCAAAGTGCTCTGGAAGCAAGCGATACAACTTCACAGAAAATGTTACACGTTACAGTGTTTTTTTTACAATCAGTTTTAGGATTGAACTTATTGTACTCTTGAGCAGCAGATAAAAGATCTTTTGAATCTACTGAAAACTGTTGTGTATAGTATAAGCTTGAGCAAATATACTTTAGGGCACTTACAGGTGTTTTTTATTAAGCTCAAGTATTATGTCTGTCTTCTCTGACACGCCCAGTCTTAGAGCTCTATTTCGAAATGGTTGCCTGAATAAACCTGAGTTCTGCGTATGTACACTTTTCTCACACTTTGTACAGCACTTGGAAGAGCAGTAAATGTAAATGTATGCTTAATCTTGTGAAATCTTTTCACAAGTATTGGTTTATGGAAACTGAACGAACCCCTCTATTTGGGGTTAGCACACTGTAATAGCCTTCTGAGTGGAATGGTTATGTTTAAGTTTGCCTGAATTACCTGGGATATAAAAGAGATATTACTTTGATCAGTACAAGGGCATAGCAAATTCTGGAACGGCGTCAATCAAAATGGCGGCACAATTTTAAACTGCTGTTATTTCATATGTTCCTAGTTTGTTTTTGAGGGTATAACTAGCTGGATGACCAATTGTCCCAGTTTGTCCAAAGCTCAGTCTGTAGGACTTTCATTGCTGAAACTGGGGAAGCCCCAGGGAAACTGGGATGGTTGGCTACCCTATGTTTTATCCTGTATGAACGTAAAACCCTACGTTTTATCCTGTATTCAACACAGTGTTGGTTTTTTGCCTAGGACCTTGTGGGCCAAGAGGTAAACCAGGCAAGGATGGAAGACCAGGAACTCCTGGGCCAATTGGAGAAAAAGGAAACAAAGGTTGTAAAGGAGAGCAAGGTAAATATACAGCTGGTCTGTTCTCTTCACTGAATGAATGCTGTTTCAACATACAGAGAAGTCTTGTTTGAATACATGACTCTAAGAGTCATCTAGGTCTTTCAGTTTGTGTTGTTCACACTGAAAGCCAGGAGCAAAATGTTCATTTGGAAGAAGATGCAAAACGAAGAGTCAGTGGAGTACACCATTCTTCCTATCTCTTATCTGGGCACATGTACCCCAAATTTTTAGCCTGGGGACAAGTAGACCTAATAAAGCATGAATTCTATTTCTGGAAAGGCCAGTACTATTTTTAATTATTTATAGGAGTACTTACTTAATAATATCTACTTATAGGAGTGGCACATAAGTACATAGTTCGAAAAAATATTATCTTGATGTGAATAGAAGAGCAACTTTGTATCTTTATCTAGGAAAGCCATCTTTCAACTATGCCATGCCATTTGTGAATATTGAATGACTGAACAGCTCATGTGTTACCCTGAAAAAGGCCCTCTTAAATATTTTAGTCTGGGTGGAGGTAAGGGTGCTGAACTTCGGGGGCAGATATGTAGGGCCTGCTGGGAACAGGACACCTAAAATGACAAATATGTCTAGAAGGCTATGGTCGAAGGCCATTTTTGCTGGCTGGACACAGGGTCTCCAGAACCAGAGGAAGCACACAGCTCTTCTTAAAATTGAAGGTGCTTATGCTGGAGATGAAACTAAATTCTGTTTATGCAAGAGATGCCCTTGCTTGCATGTACAAAGCAAAGAACAACACAGTGACCTGGTGGCAAACTGAACAAAGCCAGAGTAACCTGGGGAAAAGTAACTCATGCTCCTGCTTGTGCCAAATTCTAAAGCAACCTTCCTGCTAAAGCCACTGGCCACAGAATCCATGTGATGCTGTACCCCCCAAGGATTTAACTTACTGAAAAGGAAATAAATAAAGGTGTTGGGGCACCTGGGTGTCTCAGTCGTTAAGCATCTGCCTTCGGCTCAGGTCGTGATCCCGGGGTCCCGGGATCGAGCCCCGCATCGGGCTCCCTGCTCGGCGGGGAGTCTGCTTCTCCCTCTCCCACTCCCCCTGCTTGTGTTCCCTCTCTCGCGGTGTCTCTCTCTGTCAAATAAATAAATAAAATCTTTAAAAATAAATAAATAAATAAATGCGTAGATTTGTTCTCCTGTAAAAAAAAAAAAATTTAGTCTGAACAGAAGCTATATGTCAATTTGATATACCTGGATCAAAATCTACCTTCTGCAAAAGTTTAAAAAGCACTTTCTAGAAAATACCCACATATCCAAATCTTATTTTTTAGAAATGCTGATTTTGTTAAATAAAAAAAATTCTAAATGCAATTTTCCAATTTATTGACATATGACCGGATCCACTATAATAAAACTGTAAAGACTAGAGACTTAAATCTGTAAAAATTCAAATAATTATGATTTTAATTGCATAATCACTCATGATTTAGTATTGTCACGAGTGCACTTTAGAGCACGCTTAATCATTCAACTTTCCTTAAAATGTGTTTTCCAAAGTGGTAAAATGTAAAACTTTTATTAATAATTCTACTAATTAATTCTATTAATTAAAAACTTTATTGACCAAGTTTCAGAATGGGGCCATAGCAAGAGTGAGGGTCCTACAATACAAATTGTGTTGAGACTCATTAGCAAGTAGATAGAATTAGTCCTGATGCCATAAACGCCTCACAAGAATGATTAAAGGATCTAAGAGTTAAATGGCACAGGTATAAACAGAGTCCTGGCCTCTCTCTCAGAAATGCAGAAGATCCTTGATCATGCATATTTGCATGGTAGCTCACCTCCAGTTCCTGTCCTGCTCATCTAATCACAATTCCTGTGCAGAGATCTGGAGGTATCTTTTGCTTGTGGCCAGTTACAGCCCCCTGGGAATGAGGGTAGATGTGGGGAAGAGTGAAGAAGGTGTATCTTCTGTATCTGATCTTAAAAACATACAATTTTGGATGACTCAAGTAAGACACGAGACTTAGATGAATTTAGGTATGACCTAATTTTTAATTTCAAAGAATAAGCCAAGACCCCTGGAAAAGATAGGAATGATGGGTAGACTGAAAAATATAGAATCTTGGGGCTTTAACAAATCCTGGGGCAAGGCATTGACTTCTGAGGCAAGACTACACTGGGGCACTGCCTGACTCCAGGGCCTGGCTGTTTGTGGGAAACAATAATACCTCCCTTGACTCGTGGGCCCAAAATCCAACAGTCTTTACCCTCCTGCATTTCTTTAGGAACCAAGGTGGGGGTTGGGTGGAGCTTGGGGTGTACTGTCAGTGGAAATGGATTAGGGACCAAAAGAGGATGGAAGCCAGTGCCGGTATCATAAATAATAGCTCTTTGATGAAAAACAGGAGAGGAAAGAACAGGAGGATGGAGAGAAAGGAGAGCTCTCTGGTCCTTATTTAGAAAGTGACAAACATGTATTTGCCTACTCTAGTGCAGAGGAAAAAAAGGTATAAAAACCACTTACTTTGCCCTAGACTCATATAGATAAAAGAAACAAACTTGTAACAGAAAAAAAAAAGAAGTATTTTCTGTTCCTATTTGCCTTACTAATTGAGTAAAACTTTCTCGAAGTTTACATCTTTAAAAAGAACTTTCAGTGTTTTCCATGAGTGTTTACTGACTTTATCAAAAGCACATGTAATTTTTTATTATCCACTTGAATAGACAAATAGATATTTGACTTATTCACCCACGTTGTAGGATGCATTCACTCGTACATAAAACATGTACATAAGACCTACTAGATGCAGGCCACTGTGCTAGGTACCACAGAATGAAAAGAGAAAGAAGACCTGATCTCAAAAAATTCATCATACAATATACACAGATATTTATAAGAAGAGGCATTGTGCGATAAACTAGTCAACATTTAATATCGTTTGGCCATTTTGTAAGCCACTCTTCTTTAGGACCCCTTAAAAGTGGGGCTCAACAGATATACGTAAACATTGAAATTAGTACTTTGGGAAAATGCGTTTGAGGTTTTGTTTGTATCACAACATGTATAATGTGTTTTTTAAAGGACCACCTGGATCAGATGGACTGCCAGGCTTGAAGGGGAAACCTGGACACATTGGACCACCTGCAACTGTGACAGTGATGAGAGGCTTTATCTTCACCAGGCATAGTCAGACCACAGCGATTCCCTCCTGTCCAGAAGGGACAGAGCCGCTCTATAGTGGGTTTTCTCTTCTCTTTGTACAAGGAAATGAACAAGCCCATGGACAAGACCTGGGTAATGTCCCAGTCCTGCTTTTCAGTCATTTTGTTCCACATACTGATTGTCAACTTTTATAGCATGGGGGTACTTCTCTCTGAAGTGTGAACAAGCCTGAGTACCTTACAGCACTTTTTAAAGAGAGTAAATCAAACAACATTGGCCTAATGTCTAATTTTCATTCTGGAACATACAGCTCTGGAAGGAGCCTAGCTCATGAACGTCAGTCTAGCTCATCCTCTTCAATGCAAACAATTTTCAGTCACTTAAATCACCTGTTTGCTTTTTAATCTTAAAAGCAGCATCTTTTCTGAAGCTTAGTTATTAGCTATTATATACAAATGAAGAACTGGGAATACTTTGAAACAAAGACATTTTCCCAACTGACCTTGACCAGTCCTCAAGTGCTAGACTGATTAGAAAAGATCACCCAGAGTATTAAGCGGGTGAGAGGGGAAGGAGAATTTGTTTGCTTTTATTGGATCTTTGATTTCTATCATCATAAAAACTTTCTAATAACACATTCTGCAAATAACTCTTTTGGGTTGTCTTATTCTTGCCATAGGATGTTTTAATTAGCCTCTTACCTAGTAATGATGCTCAAAATAATTTTAACTTACTGAAAGTGATATGCAGCCTGATGTTTCATTAGGAACTCTTGGCAGCTGTCTGCAGCGGTTTACCACAATGCCATTCTTGTTCTGTAACATCAATGATGTATGTAATTTTGCATCTCGAAATGATTATTCATACTGGCTGTCAACTCCAGCTCTGATGCCGACGGACATGGCTCCAATTACTGGCAGGGCCTTAGAGCCTTATATTAGCAGGTAAAGATCTAATCCCTTAGTTTTGTGATGGGACTAGGTGAATCATTTCATTTGTAATGGAACGTAAGGCAGCACATCACGGTGCAGAAAGTGGTGATGCTGCCATATTCTTTTTTTTTTTTTTAAGATTTTATTTATTTATTCATTTTTAATTTTATTGTTATGTTAATCACCATACATTACATCATTAGTTCTTGATGTAGTGTTCCATGATTCATTGTTTGTGCATAACACCCAGTGCTCCATGCAGAATGTGCCCTCTTTAACACCCATCACCAGGCTAACCCATCCCCCCACCCTCCTCCCCTCCAGAACCCTCAGTTTGTTTTTCAGAGTCCATCCTCTCTCATGGTCCGTCTCCCCCTCCGACTTACTCCCCTTCATTCTTCCCCTCTTGCTATCTTGTTCTTTTTCTTTTTTCTTAACATATGTTGCATTATTTGTTTCAGAAGTACAGATCTGTGATTCAACAGTCTTGCACAATTCACAGCGCTCAAGATTTTATTTATTTATTTTAGAAAGAAAGAGAGAGAGAGAGAGTGTGTGTGTGAGTGGGGGGAGGGGCAGAGGGAGAGAGAAAAGTTGCAAGCTGACTCCATGCTGAGCTCGGACCCTGATGCGGGGCTCGATCTCCCAACCCTGAGATCATGAACTGAGCCAAAACCAAGAGTCAGACACTTAACCAACTGAGCCACCCAGGTGCCCCAGCTGCCATATTCTGTATTTCACGTTACAGATGCACTGTCTGTGAAGGTCCTACGAATGCCATAGCCATTCACAGCCAAACCACTGACATTCCCTCATGTCCCAATGGCTGGATTTCTCTCTGGAAAGGATTTTCATTTATCATGGTAAGGAGGAAAGGAACAGCAAATTCACAGTAAAGATTGCCCTTAGAACCTTACATTGGACTGGGTGAAATGTGGCCCCCAAGAATGATGCTGCCTGACATTAACGTGCACAATATTCCATGAACATTTGCTTTAAAATCTAGAAATATACTTTTTTTAAGTAAGTTGGTTTTTTGTAAATAATGGAGCATTAAAAAAAATGACTCTACCCACAAATTCTAAATAAGACATTTAGGTGATAAGTAATGCCATATTAGTAATAGAATGCCTTTTTTTTTTTTAATGCGGCAGCTGCTTTATATAGATGTTCCATAACTCTTATGGAAGCCCTGGAGGTAGTTCCTGTCTTCTACAGTTTCATAAATAAAAATGAAGACCCCAGGGTCTCACAACTAGGAAGTGGTAAAGCTAGGGTTTGAACCTGAGTCTGTCTGCTCCAAAATCTTTTTGCCTTACACTATGCCCCTTTGACATTCATATGAAGATGGGGGCTAAGAGAAAAAGTCTTTTAAAGAAAGATGCCCCAGATGTTAAGTGCTAAATGAAGAAATCTATGGACTGACCATCAGTGATTCTGATAGCCACACATAGGTGGTTGGTGGCTATTCATATTTTGTATAGCATCACTTATGACACATTATTCCCCCTTCTTTACTCACAGACATCCATTCATTCAACCATTAATTCAACAAGTATTTATTGAACACCTACCATGTGCCATGACTGTTCTAAGCACTAAGAAGCACACCAGCAATAAACCAAAGTTCCTGCTGGTCATGGAACTTATATCTTTTTGTTTATGTTTACAACAAGCAAGAAGACAAAATAATCGTAATGGTAATGAATTCAGATGATGATCGGTACTCTGAAGGAAATAGGAGACTGTGAAAGGGACGAGGTCAAGGAAAGCCTCCTGGAGGTTATATTTAAGCAGACCCCTGAACTATGAGAACGAGCTAGCTGACTGAGGAAAAGGAGCATTTCAGGCAGAAGAAATAGCTTTTCCTCTCTTTTTGATGACTAATCCTCAACTTGGAAGATACCTGGAGTATTAGCAGATCTGGGTAAAGAAGCATAAGAAGTTTATTTCATACTATTTTTTTTCTTACTATTACCAAAAAAAAAAGTAGAGCACTGAAAATTTGAACACCATGCACAGAATTCTTATCCAGATATTTTTATCCTGATAGTTCACAAGTGCGGGTTCTGAGGGCGCTGGGCAAGCACTGGCCTCCCCTGGCTCTTGCTTGGAAGAATTCCGAGCCAGTCCATTTATAGAATGTCATGGAAGAGGAGCGTGCAACTACTATTCAAATTCCTACAGTTTCTGGTTGGCTTCATTAAACCCCCAAAGAATGTTCAGGTAACTATTCAAAGTCAAGTTTTAATCTGATGACTCAGTTGCAGAACTATTCAGAGGTTGCCATGTTAGATTTTCATTACCTGTGTGTTGATGAACTCACATTTAAAAGAGCTCCCTGTGCCAACAAAATCCTGTTTACAAGTGTTCTACAGTCAACAAGTAGCCATGGGTTTATACTATTGCACCAATAAAAACCCAAAAATGTGATTTTTGTCACCCACCAAATATATTTAACATTTGTATATGAACTTATAGCAAGTTACTGAACAAAACCACAAAATGATCTGCTATTCTTAATTTACTGTACTGCAAGACTTGTGAGTAATACAGACTATTGAAAGGGTAAGGATGGTTTTTATTACAAAATGGAGAATCTGTAAGTTTGCATCACAGCCTATGTTTTCCTCACTGCTGCTGAAATACAACTAAATTATAAAATGTTGACATATATACCTTTCAGAAATATGCCTCCTATAATAGAGTTTAGATGAGCTACAGTATTTTTTAAGATTCTATTAATTTATTTCAGAGAGAGAGAGAGAGAACATAAGCAGGGGGAGGGGCAGAGGGAGAAGCAGACTCCCCACTAAGCAGGGAGCCTGATGTGGGTGGGGCTCGATCCCAGGACCCTGTGATCATGACCAGAGCCGAAGGCAGACGCTTAACCGACTGAGCCACCTAGGCGCCCCGTAGATGAGCTACAATATTTATTAATAAATCTCAAACCCAGCAAGTATTCCCTCTTTATCTATACACTGATGAGATTTTTTTGTTTGCGTTTTTTGCTTTTATTTCAGAAAACCTATTCCATCAACTGTGAAAGCTGGGGAGTTAGAAAAGATAATAAGTCGCTGTCGGGTGTGCATGAAGAGAAGACAATGAAGAAATCAAAAGAAAAACAGAACTGTTATTTTTCGTCCTAAATAACCAAGTAATGATGCAGAATATACACTTATTTAGGTATTTTTCTCTAACCAAACAATATGGTTCTGTGATGACTTAGTACAAAGTTTCTATTTGTTTCTCCACACAACAAAGCATTTCTTTTAAGTCAGTTCTGCCATTCTGGTATCTAAATTTGTGCTCTTGAAAAGTTTCCTATGGCAAGGCAGCAGACTTTTCAAAAATATACCACTGAAATCCTATGCCACTTGTATCCATTGCATGATCTCAATGGCAATTGTATAAAGTCTCACGATACAAGTTAAGAGCTATTTGGTCCACTGGATTCCCAAGATTTGCCCCTTCTATTCCAGTCTTTGAAACTAGGGGAGGCTAAATTGGTTTTAGACTGTGCCACCACCCCCTTTAGCCCCTGAGACTGGATGGAGATGGGGTCAGGTGGAGTAATGGTGCCTCGTTCACTGGACTGGACTTTCAGAGCTGTTCAGTAACCTGAGGCCTGAGGAAACCAGAACTGAACTAAGGTTCATGGTTCTTCTAGGGCTCTTTCAAGTGTACCCAAGACTAAGGCCAAAAGAGGGTTTCCCTGAATGGTTTTGTTCATATTTTTTAAAAGATTTTTTGCTTGTCCATTGAATTCATTTCACTGCAGCGATGTAACTTGCTTGCATTCAAATTTTTACCCTTAGTGAATTAATTTTAGTGGGATGATGTTACACACATACTCTGAAATGTATCTTCTTCTTTTTTTTTTTTTTTACCAGTTCACCCACCCAAAAAACAAGGATACTACTTATTAGATAGGTACTTTATCCCCATCCCTATAAATGTTGAGAAAATTTAAGACATTTGCTGGCTAATCAGGCTCAAAATATTTTTCCTTTGCTGTGATCCATTCATATTCCGTGTAACATGGGTATTTCCATATTTATTCTCTGACTACTTCTCTAATTCTTCTTTTGTAAAAAAATGTGTTTTATATTACATAGTCTCACCAACCATGTTGAAAGAGTCCTGTAAAAATCTTAATGCACAAATTGTATAGTTTTGCAGATACGGGTCTTAAGACTTGCTTTTCAGTGTGTTGATACATTCCCAAGGTTACTTAGTTCAACTGAACAAGCATTTCATTTAGCACCAAGCCATGCCCCAGGCACAGTGCTAAATTACAGATAGGAAGGGGGGTGGGGAAAGAGACTAATGTTTCTGACTGATATCCCAGAAAAGGTAGCTAACTTACGTTGCTGTTAAGACTCCCACATATCTGAGCTGGCTTTTTCCCCCCTTTTCTTCCTTTGTCACTGTTTTTATATTCCATCATCATCATCCAGTAGGCCTCAAAAAAGGTTTACAAAAAGATCTCTGCCCACGGAAAGCCCAGGACATCTAGCTCCTCTTAGGCATCACAGAAGTCAAGGTAGGAACAACGTTAAGAAAACAAAGATCTGCAAGACACTAAGAACCACTTGAACTTGATGGTAGCGCTATTTGATGGATCTCAGAGGCCAGGTATCCTGAGGCAAAGCTCTGAAGATGCTTCCTAATCCACCCAGGTGGTGCTGGTGGTGCTGTTTAAATTCAGGTTATTGCTTCAGTCTCAGTTGCTCTGTAAATGAAGATGAAGGTGGGACCCCAGTGGACAGCACAGACTATGACCTCAGTTCCCACCCTTCACTGTTCAGGTGACTGCTGTCAAGCCATTTTTACATTTAAACATTATAAAGGGCATTTTACTTAGCTTATTTACTTAGACTCACCTAATACTAAGGCTTTTTTGCTCTAAAAATATCCTCCTGTCCCAGTTGTACCATAATGGCATATAGGGGCTGATGGCCACAAACCCTCTATAGGACAAAAGTTCCCAAAGTGTGGTCCCTGGACCAGCTGCATTAGCAGCCTCTGGGAACTTGCTACAAATGCAAATTTTAGGGTTGACCTCAGACCTACCGATACAGAAACTCTAGGGGTAAAGCCCAGAAATCTGCATTTTCATAAGCCCTCCAGGTGATTTCCGACACACTCAAAATTAAGAACAAAGTGCTGTAGGTAAACAGGCAAGAAGCGACTCTACAGGCAGTTACGAGGTACAGCTGGCCATAATTGTTCCATTTGTGCCTCCCTTTAAAGTCCAAAATCACAAACGACCCTAAGATTGTCTAATTTTACTAATATGTAAAAGCCCTAGATTGGTACTAATGCCAAATTACTGGCCTCTGCTTATCCAAGCCTCCGTGTTCTCTTGCCCTCTCAGCAGTGTTTAACTTCGGAGGAAGCCAGGTGATGCTAAAGCCTTACATTCCAATGAAGCCATATTAACAGTTGCTCAGTAATACCTTTGAGACTGAGCCTTAAAACACGGCTCTCATGCATTACTTTCCAGATGCCTATGAGTAGCTTATAATGTTATGGAGACTTAACTTTGTAGATAAAATGTAAATAACTTGTTTCTTTTCAAATTGGGGCTTCAACTTTTGAATTTCACAGTGTACTAAAATAATGGATTTCTCAGCAGTCTCTCTTTTTGCAAGGTAAACATTATTAACTTATTTATAAAAGTATTACAATAATGCTGAATTTGAATTTTATTGCTAATTTAACTTACAAAGATTTTTCTATGCAGCAAATGTAACTTACTGCAACTAAACTTAATTTAATGTTTACTCTATAACCAAATGAAATATATTTAAAATATATTGAATATTTTATATTATATCCTGACATTACAATATTGTAATGTACTAATATTTCTGTAATTATAGCTAAAATTATTTTATTGTATTGTCTAAAAATAAAATTGAAAAGATTCTTTCTGGTCTTATTTTTTTCAAAGTGGAAATAATTTTTTTGAAATGTAAAAATAATACATTTTCACTGTAAAAACAAGAGACAATACAAAAGTTATGAAGAATATAAAAATTGCCATGATCTAACCTGTCTCCCTCACCCAAAATAATTAAGGCATATGCCCTTCCAGAGTTTTTCCCTGCAAATATGTTTTTAAACAAAAATAGAATAAAAACATGCTGGTTGTAACCAGATTTTTTTTTAACTTAATACTCTATGGATATTTTTTCATATCAATAGACAAGAACTAATCATTATTTACACCACAGTCCACTGCATGGATTTACAACATAAGTCAATGAATCCCCCAATTGATGGACACTTAATTTAGTTTTATTATGGAAATACTGTATACATTTCATTTAACATTTTCCAGTTATTTCCTCAGGATCAATCTCTAGAAGGAAAATTACAGAATCAAAGGATTCACACGATCTTAGGTCTTTGGTTAACATACAAAAATGTTCTCCAGGAAGGTTGTTAGCATTTCCAGCTATATCAACAATGTAAACACCCATCTCCTTATTTTTTTACCAATTCTGGATACAGCTGTTCTTTTTTTTTTTTTAAAGATTTTATTTAGTTATTTGAGAGGGAGAGAATGAGAGATAGAGAGCACGAGAGGGAAGCGGGTCAGAGGGAGAAGCAGACTCTCTGCTGAGCAGGGAGCCTGATGCGGGACTCGATCTTGGGACTCCAGGATCATGACCTGAGCTGAAGGCAGTCACTTAACGAACTGAGCCACCCAGGCGCCTGATACAGCTGTTCTTTTACAATTTTGCCTATCCCATTTTAATTTACATTCTGCTCACTACCAGTGATGCTGCATATTTGTCACTTTTAATTAGTATTTGCTTTTTTATTTTTATTTGTATTTGCTTATTTTGTATTAGTGCCTGTTTTTGTTTTCCTTTGAAGGGCATAATCACATCTTTGCTCACTTTCTATTAGGGTGTTTAAGAAATTTTTACAAATCTGTAAGAAAATGTATAGATTACAGAAATTATGGGTCATACATTTTGATAAATGTTTCCCATTTATAATATAAATATTCCTCATTCAAGGAAAAATATTCATAAAATTTTAAATGTAGAAAAATGGTAAAGAGGAATGCTTTTAATATACAAAATAAGAAATTTTGTAAGTAAGGAACTTTCAGGCTTGTTAAATGGCAATCAAGATTATCAAAGGAAGAAACTGAACAGTGATCTTGGGTAATAGTTCTAGGAAGACAAAGAAGATTGTTGCTCAAATATTTTAGAAATATTTTCATAATTGGGCCAAAAAATCTACATTGAAAACATTTTGAGCCAAAAAAGTGTGTTAATACCTTTAAATGAACTTATTTTTACTGCTGGCAAGTAGAGGAATGAACATTGTATTTGTGATAGTTCTCTCTCTCTCTCTTTCCTTTCAAGTCTGTTTGGAAGGAAAAATTGTGATCAGTCTCTGATGGACTCTTAGCAACCTACTGATGCGGGAGTTGCAGAGCCCTAACAGTGCCTAGTTCACCTCATCCTATTTCCAGCTCTGCCTACCGGAAACTGAGAAACAACCAAACACAGAGGGAAAAGTAACTGATTTTGAATAACCAGGCTAAATCTAAACATCCAGATAAAATATGACCCTCTCCAGGTGTTTGTAGACCCTATAGTTTTTCTAAAAATGCTGACATTGCTCAAAACCTTTTTATTTTTTTATTTTTATTTTTTTTAAGATTTTATTTATTTATTCGACAGGGACAAAGCGAGAGAGGAAACACAAGCAGAGGGAGTGGGAGAGGGAGAAGCAGGCTTCCTGCAGAGCGGGGAGCCCGATGCGGGGCTCAATCCCAGGACCCTGGGATCATGACCTGAGCCGAAGGCAGACGCTTAACAACTGAGCCACCCAGGCACCTGTGCTCAAAACCTTTTTAAACTATTACTTTGGAATTGGGTTTATCAGCCAAACCAGGAAAGAGGTCTCATCACTTCTACCCAAGACCTACAGCATGCTCAAGATATTTGGCTCCACAGAAGACATCCAGATGAGTGAGACATAGACTTTGGTCTCAAACATAGAACTTAATCTGGTGGCAGAAAAGAAGGTCAATACATAGATTAATTATAATATTGGGCAGAATAAGTGCTGTAAGAGATGACAAATAGTGATTCAAAAGCTGGAGGCCTCAGGAAATAATGATGGAAGAAGGAATTTTTAGGTGGTCCTTTAAGGGCAGTTAGGATTTCAAGAAGCAGAAGGAGGCCAGAAGCAGGATGGCATTCCAGGTGGCAGAAATATCATGGATAAGGGTAAGTAGTTAGGAAAGCACGAAGCAATCTCAGAGAATAATTAATGGTCAAGAATATATAGAGTAGGGCGCCTGGGTGGCTCAGTTGGTTAAGCGACTGCCTTCGGCTCAGGTCATGATCCTGGAGTCCCCGGATCGAGTCCCACATCGGGCTCCCTGCTCAGTGGGGAGTCTGCTTCTCCCTCTGACCCTCTTCCCTCTCATTCTCTCTATCTCTCATTCTCCCTCTCGCAAATAAATAAATAAAATCTTAAAAAAAAAAAAAGAACATACATGGAATAGATAGGAATATATGGAATATATGTATTCTCTGTATATGTAAACATCACATGTGCATACACACACAAACACAGTGGTAAATAAAGTGGCACTGTAGGAGTTAGGGCCATATTAGCTAGAGTTTCAAATACCAGGTTGAACTTGTATTTCATTGGCCAGTATAAAAGCAGTGAAGATTCTGACAAGAGTAGAATGATCACATAAACGGTAACCTAGAAGACCCAGTATTTTATATACTGCCCTTGCCAGGCTATTCATAATTTCAAGTGTTTTTAAAAATTACTGGATTGCTGTTATGGACTTTTGAATTGTAGAGAACTATAAATCATCAATTTCTTTTAAACCTGGGGCTTCAAATTTGGGATTTCACAATTTTTAAAACTGGGTTCTTTGTGGATTCAACCTCTGGTAACAGAGGAGAAAAATGATTGGAGCTCAGGAGGCCAATTAAAAGGTTATCAGCCCAGATGTTGGGTAGTGATTTAGCAGTGGGAACAGAACAGACAGAGAAAGTGGACAGTTGGCATTGAGGATGGGGGCTTGGGAGACAGTGAATGATGACTTCAGAATTTTGAAACTTGATGATTGGAAAATAATCTTGCCATTAACTGAAAGAAAAAATCGGGAGAAGGTATCTGGACTGGGAAGAAGGAGAAAATTGGAGTTTGAAACCCTGTTAGGATTAAAACTCTAAAGGGACACTTACGAAGAATTGGCTAGAACTATTGCAACAGGATGAGACTAAATGTATGTGTTAATTTATTTAGATTTATATGCCATGTTTTCCCCACAAAAGATTTGAGGCAGTTATGGGTGCAAATATAGTCAATGATGGATTGAATCCTAAACAGGAATGTCCACATGAATGATGGAAGACCCAGCATGAAGCTGTATCACAAAAAACAAGGGGGCAGAGTTTCTAGGTAAGGGAGAGAAAAAGCCCCCCCCCTTTTTTTCCCTTTGAGAATCTACTACCAATGTTTGGTGTTTTCATGTACCACACTGACTCCTTTAACAGAATCAAATGATTCAGTAAGATTAAGGGTGATCAGAATTAAGGGAGAAGACTGGATCTGGCAACTGGTTCACAGCCTTCATTTGTTCAAAACGTTTTTCTTGTGCGGAGGGGGCAGGAGTAAAACGCAAACTGCAAGTAATTAAGAAGTGGAAGGGTGTTGGAAGCAACAGGGCCCTCATTTCTACAAGTCTTGGTTATGGATGGCTTACCCAGCTTGGTCTTTCTATCTTCCCGCAAAAGGTTGGTTTGGAATGACACATCATTCCTAAAATCTATCTATTCTCACAGAAAGTGGTTTGCCACTATTAAGAAGGGACCCAAGAACATAATTCTCAAAGTGCTTCCCAAATTATTTTGAAGAATGGTAACGTCTCTGGAATATCTTTAGATTCTAGAGTAGTACCTACTCATGTGTATGTCCTTGTTCGACTGTTAAAATTCAGGCATACAAAATATCCCCCGGTTTGGCTTCAGTCCGTCCCAATGTTGGGGAGCATAGCGCCGAGTTTCCCACGGAAAGTTATTAGGCGGTTAGATCCAGAGAGGGCTCTCCCGAAGCTCAACAAGGCTGCTAACTACTTTAAACCTAACTTCTCCTTTTCCAGCATTCTCATACTGAGGGATTAGTGGAGCCAGTCAAGGCAGCGGTCACTGTTAAGGAAGACATCTAATCATTAGAGGGCTCGACCAGTAATCAAAATTGGAGTACCACCTGCAGAGTTGGTGAAATATTCAGAGTTATTAAGCCTCACGCCACAGAGATTTTGATGCAAACAGTCCTGAAAAATAGTCATTTTAACTGGCTATCGAAGGTTTACCTTGTAGACACGTGGGTCTTACAGATCACAAACTCTAGTTAAGTTCAACCAGGAACCAGACTCACACCACAGACACATTATTGCCTGCCGCTGGCGCACTTTGCCCTCAACAAAGATGTCCCCGTATCGCCGTCGCACTGCCCCCGCTCCTGTGCGTGAGCCTCACGTCCGCCCTTCCCTGCGTCACATGACCACGAACCTGTCTCAGCTACGGCTCCTGGCAAGGGCCAGCCCCGGCCGTTCTCGCGTCTCACCCGGCCCGCTTTGGGCCGCTCCGGCCGGTGCTTTGCCCCGGCGCCGCAGTGCGCTCGGCCAACCGCCTCTAGGAGCGCCCAGCCGAACGCCCCGGGAGCCGGCGGGCGGCGGCCCTCGCCGGGGACCCTCCAGCGGGCCCAGGGGTGAGTGCTGATGCCGGGACCCGCGGCCCGAGCCGGAGCCGGCCTCGGGCCTAACGCCGCGGCCGTGACCCTCCGGCCGACGGAGGGACCCGCGGTGGCCCCGGCCGGTCCATGGTGTCGTCGCGAGTCCCGACCTCCGGGCTCTGGCCTTTCCTCCTCCTCAGGATCTTGCCGCCTCCTCGGTCCCTGGGGAGAGCAGCACACGCTCCTGCGAACGTTTTGGGGCTAACCTGCCCCCACCTTTCTAGTTCGGGGTCTCATTTTGACAGTCTGGGGGAGGGGGGAGGGGGAAACACTGGGGGCGTCCTGAGAGCTTGAACGCGGAGCTTTGCTGGGGGTTCTCCCTCATCCTTCCCGGCCGAGGCTCTGGCCCCTTTCAGAATGACCTTGGACCAGACGCCAGCCGGCTTGACAAGTAGTTTTTTTGTTTTGTTTTGTTCTTTTTTCTTTCTTTCTTTCTTTTCTTCCTTTTTTTTTTCTTTTTCTTTTTTTTTTTTACTTTGTGGGAAATACGTGTGTTCGGAAAGGAAGGCTGTGCTGGAAGCCGATCGGCGGCGGGAGGCCCCGGGTCGGGTGGGTCTGTAAGCACGCTTGCTCCCAGGTGTGGATGCTGGGAGTTAGTTGCTCCTCGGATTTCCCTAAAAGAGCTGGGAAGCCGGAGGAGGGGAGCTCGGGCGCCGGTTCCGCCGAGCCTCTGACCTTCACCTGCAGGACGAGGCCCCTTGGATGGTGCAAGAACACCCCGGGCCGCGTCCTACAGCGTTAGAGCAAGGGGCGCTTTCCAAGTGGTGGCAGCTTTTCATTGCGGCAGATAAGAAAAACCCCACAGCCCTTGTTCCCAAGTGTGGAGCCAGTTGTACGCAAGGCTCCCAACCACTGAGAAACTTGACCTGAAGGACCTTAAATGTTTTCTCTCCCTAGATTAAAAACATTTGTTTCTGTGTCAATTTCGTCGGCTAATGAGATCCCAAAGGAAAAACCCTCAGGAAAATGGATTTGGAAAGAATTAGAACGACTTAGTTATACTTAGTAGTCTTCTCCCCGTGTAATTAACTTATGTGTAGGGCCTGCTATCTTTTTGGTTTCAAACACTTGGGAATTGGTTTAGCTATTCTATCCAAAAGGAAATTGTGTGTTCTATCCCTTCCTGTCTGATAGGGCTGCCGCGTTTCAGGATTACAAAGTTTAGCAGTTGCTTTCCTCCCTTCTGCTGTTGAAACTTGTTTTCAATGTTTCTGATGTGATAGCCCAGATATAACTTGTTTTCTGTGGATTCATAAGCTTATTTTAAAATTTGTGGATATGTGGGGTTTTTTTTTTTTTTCAAGTTTTTGGTGACTTTTCTTTCCAAACTACAATTAATCCTGCATTACTAAAACCTGATTTGCTAATGCACCTATTTTTTAAGTATAGTTGCTTGAAAAGAGAACGGATACAGGGTGACCTATATAAAAACCTTGAACTAGGTCCACACAATAAGTGCTAAAGAACCGGACTTTTTTTTTTTAATAATTGGAGAATTATATAAATCTTTGCCACCACAATCAATTTGACCCAAGTTGTTTCTGCAACTTCCTGGACGAATTCTCTGAGTTCCAGTGTTCTGATATAGAAAATAAGAAAGTCAAGCTTGAATCATTTGTCCCAAATTTGGGACACTTTCCAGGAATGGAATTTGACTTGATTCTAGATAGTGTATGGATGAGGGTTTTTTCTTTTAGTTATGTTTTGGTTACATATATTTATATATGTATGGTTTAAGGCAGTAAAAAAATAAAATACATTTAGGATGTTTACAAGTTAAAGAAAAACTTTAGGTTGAGAGTAAATGCACTGTGGGAATGTGGAAAAAACTATAAAATTGGTAAATTACTGGTATTTGGGAACTTGTAGGCTTAGAAATTAGAGGTCTAAAATCATCTGTGATTCTGAGAGATTTTCTCTCCTTAATTATATGACGGAGAATCGTGTACTGGCTGCCTAATAGATTCTAATGACAGAACCCCTAGAATTAATATCTTAACTCCAAATGAGAAGTTTATTTTATGTATTGCCAAAAGATAATACCAAAAATGCTACAGTCTAATGAGGGAGGAAAAAAGATAGATTCAGATCTAATTAGGACAGTACAGTGTTATATCTTAGAAAAGTTCTATTTACTTTTCAAATTTAAGTAGCTCAGGGCACCTGGGTGGCTCAGTTGGTTAAGTGACTGCCTTCGGCTCAGGTCATGATCCCAGAGTCCTGGGATCGAGTCCCACATCAGGCTCCCAGCTCAGTGGGGAGCCTGCTTCTCCCTCTGACTCTCTCCCCTCTCATGCTGTTTCTCTCTCGCTTGCTCTCTAATAAATAAAATCTTTAAAAAAAAAAAATTAAGTAGCTTAAATAGGCTACAGGAAAATTTAGCTTTTTCTAGAGGTTGTCTTTTCAGCATCTATCTTTATGATCTAAGTCTGTGATACTTTACAGGCTGAGAGCTTCTCATAAGATAAGATGTTGCAATAGAATGAAATTAATGAAATTTTGACACTCATGGGATGTATTGGTGGAAAGTCAATATGACTGAAATGCAGTAAATGGAGTGGGGAGAACAGCATGTTTCAGTGAGATAATGTTCTGGTTGTGTCCCTTGTTTATTATAAATCTTCAATTTATAATGCCCCAAGGCTATAATTATTTTGAAATACCTCTTTTCAATATCATATCTGAATATAAGCTTTTATTGTGCTTCATCTACACACAAGTATTGGAAGAGTTTCTCCTCTAGAAAGATGCACAAAAATTATAATAGAGATTGCCTGTGGGGACCTAGGTGGTTATAGGGATAGGGTCTGGTGGGACACTGTGTTTTCTCTGAATGTTCTTGTGTGCTTTGTACCATGTGCATATAACAGTGGTTCAAATTCAAATACTGAATGAAAGTTGTGAGTGAAATAAATAGAAATTAAATTAAGTATTGCATGAAAATAGCTGAATGAAAATTTAGCCAAAATGCATTTGTTCCTCCTTAATATATATCTATATACACATAAGTATTAAGATTCTTTCAAACTTAAATATTTTTCATGGGTCACATCTTTCTAAATTCAAATCAGAAATGGTGACAGTTCTTTATTTTATCTTGCATTAACTAATGAATGGTTGTAGGGCCCTGTCCATGGGACTAAAACTGGTGGTAAGCTTGTTAATTTTTTCTTTCTGTATTGTATTGGTTTCTTAATATAAGATTGTGTGTCTTTGGTGACTTATCATTTAGAGGATTTCCAGCAATGAATCCCTAATGTTGGTATCCTGTAGGTTTTCAATTAGCTCCTATTTTTCTCCCCTAGGGACAAAGTGGCTCTAAATGCAGCACAGGCACATTGAAGCAAGTTAAAGGATTTAATATGAAGCACAGAAGCAGATAGTGCCAAATAGCAAGCTGTAGTTGGTACACATTTGTGAGTAAAAATTTTGTCTTTTGAATCTATTTTCTTAGTCTTTAAACCATCTGCATGCCAGATCCTTAAAATTCACACATTTTGGTAAAGAATAAAGGAAGCAATTTAGCAGTCATAATTAACCACTTGTCAGGGCTTAGCACTCTGAGCAACCTCCAAGAACTCTCCTAAGCATCTCATTGAGGTAGTTCAAGGGTTGTAACACATCTCTGTCTGACGTGGAGTTTAGGAAATATCCCAGGTATGACTCACCTTTATACCGTCTTTACTTTTTATTGCCCTTGATTTATATATAATATCTTTTGCTGAAAATTCAGTGTAATTTGGCTTTTGAAGTCATTTCCTTTTAAGGAAACCATTACTTATACATCAATTTTTTTTTAAATAACTTATACATCAATTTTTTAGGCTACTTCAGATATATTTACTTCTGCCTTTTACAGTCTCTTTATGATTTCTTCCTTGTATTGTACTTAAGCCTTAAAAAAGAAAAGGACTTTTTCCCCTTTCAGAATATAATGATTAAAGGAGTCTTATGGCAAAATTTTTTTTTTTTTTACTCTGACTTCATATTTTTATATACATTTGATTATCCTGTTTGGGAAATCATAAAATAGTGACTGCATGTAAAATCATCTTTATGATTTTTGAGGTATAGAATAACTCTGTTTAGGAGAAATATGAAAATTGGTTTTGTAAATCAAGTGTTAGAAGGTAATTTTAAGTAGATATTTACTTTTATTCATGGGTTTTTTTTTAATGAATGAATTGTTGAAATACTGATTTTTATTCTTTCTTTTTTACAGCTGGAAAAGCAGTGTCCGTGTTGTTATGTACACCTCCAAAAAAGTTCAGATCTGTAGGGGAATTGTTGTATAAAGTAAACTGAACTACAGGGTAGCAGTATCTTAATAGCTATTCTAGATGTGTATTTACTCTATTAAAAATGAGTAAAAGAACAAGCAGTGACACACCACTAGGAAGGTCAGTGACATTTTATTCAGTTGAGCTGGTATTGTAGGCTTGAGAGATAGTGGCTTTAAAGCTGATTGCCATAGGCTAACCATGCTCTTTTACACTTCTTTCAACATTTTGTATTTGGGGGTAACTTTCCTCTGCATTTTCCTGAAGCATGGACCCTTCTCTAATTTAGAAAGTTATTCAGTGCATTTGTACTGTCTTTTCCCATAAAGACATGTCATGCTTTTTAAAAATATACGTGTAATATGAAATTAAGTACAGATTAATGTGAAGCTTTTAATCCCATGAGACGAATGCATACAGGAAGGATTCATTGCTACATATTCTATATTTGGTGTTCATTGCATCTCAGTCACCAGGTATATATTCAGTAAGAGAAGTTTGAATTTGTATCTTGTGATTTTTCAGGGGAATACATTTTTAAAATAAATTTAGAATTAGCCTTATTTACTTTATGAATTTGATTTTCATCATTAAAAGGTTTTGTTTTTTTCATGCATGACAGCAGTTCCTAATTTATTTTTATAAAATCCTAGCAGCTTTCCCTCAAATTATTAACTAAGAAATTTTAAGTTTTATTTCATTCATTTTTTATTTATAAGCTGCATGCATAGCTATGCAGAGAGAAAGGTAGTGTATATGTGTGTGCACATTTGTTTTGTGGTTATACAATAATTTTAAAATTTGCTCTTAGCCAGTATCCTCAGGGTGCCATTTCAGCTGATAAGTGAGAAGGCATTACGTTGAGGAACACATTTTCTTCAGTCTTTTACTTTTCCTTTGTACGTATTCAGTACTCACAACTGAGAAGTCTCCTTTTGCGCTTCCTACAAGGTATTGTTTTCTAACTTCACTTCGTAAAGAAGACTGACATATTAATAGTCACCCCTGTCTTTAAATTTTTGCCCACAGAGTGAGTGGGGCAGCATTTCCTTCTCCCACTGCTGCTGAGATGGCGGAGATTAGTCGAATTCAGTATGAAATGGAATACACCGAAGGTATTAGTCAGCAGATGAGGGTCCCGGAGAAATTAAAGGTAGCACCACCAAATGCTGACCTGGAACAAGGATTCCAAGAAGGAGTTCCAAACGCTAGTGTCATTATGCAGGTTCCAGAGAGGATTGTTGTAGCAGGTATTTTACATTTTTTTCTAAAGTTGTCTGATAAATCTTTGTTTTATGTATTTTTCTAAAAACTTCTGGGTTTTTCAAAATACTGTTTAGAAAAGGGGCTGGGAAATACAACTATACATTATTTTCAAAAGTTTTATTATAATCGCCTGAAATTTCAAACACTATTTTTTACTAATTCAACTGAGACATAATTTACATACATAAAATACATGTAATTTTTAAGTGTGAAGCTTGATGAGTTTTGACAAATGCATATACTCCTGTGACCTTCCACCACGGTCTAGATATAGAACACTTTCATTACCCTGAAAGGTTTCCTTGTGCCCCATCTCCTTTAGTTCTCCCCCCCTCAATTCCAGGCAACCATAATCTCCTTTCTATAACCAGAGACTAGATGCATCTCTTCTAGAGTTTCATATAGATGGAATGATACAGTTTATACTCTTGGGTCTGGTTTTTGCTTAGTGTAATGTTTTTTGAAATTCTTTCCTGTTCTTGCTTGTATCAGTTCATTCCATTTTATTGCTGAGTTGTATTACACTATTTGCCTATACCACAATTTGTGAATTCACCTATTGATGGAGATTTGGGTTGTTTCTTGTTTGGGGCTGTTGGGAATAAAGCTTCATTAAAGTACAAGTTCTTGTAGAGATGTGTGTTTTCATATTTCTAGGAGTGGAATTGCTAGATTATACCATAAGTTATATTTAACTTTATGAAAACCTGTCAAGCTGTTTTTGAAATTGATTGTACGTGTTATGTTCCCATCAGTGGTGTATGAGAGTTTCCATCGCTCCACGTCCTTGCCAACACTTTGTACTGTCAGGCTTTAATTTTAGTCCTTGTAGGGGATGTGTAGTGGCAGATACACTTTAATAAAACCACTGTCTTTTAAAACCTCCTCCTTTCCTTTTTATTTTTTTACTCCCAGGAAATAATGAAGACATTCCATTTTCAAGACCAGCAGATCTTGACCTTATTCAGTCAACTCCCTTTAAACCTCTGGCACTAAAAACACCACCTCGTGTACTTACATTAAGTGAAAGACCACTAGATTTTCTGGATTTAGAAAGACCTCCTCCAACCCCTCAAAATGAAGAAGTAAGTAGAGTTTTAAACATCAACTGAATTTGAAACAATATAGACAAAAACAAAAGGTAAAGAGAATTGAAAGCTATAAATCCTACATTAGCAATATGTAATGAAAGCCTTCCACATGGACCATTGCTTACTATAAATTCTGATATATAGATACCCCAAATAATTTTTTAAAATTTGAATGTTATGTTTTAGGGAAATGGAAGTTTTGTGGAAATCATTAACGTTCACATGGTCTAGGAGTTATGGCCAGGGGTTATACCTGAAACAATACTGAAAGAGTTGGGAAGTTTAGCATGGAAAATTAATGCATCACTTTGTTACAAAAGAAGTCTGGCAAACAGGGCAAAGAAAGCTCTTTTTTTCCTTGATACTACCTCGTCTCCCTGCTTGCTAAAAAGCCTAAGTTAATGTACCTTGTAACATTAATAGCCCTGTTGACCTAAATATGGCAGCTTGGACAAATGAGGTGTTAGTAGCAAAGTTCAGATCTTGCCTCTCCCATTGATTCAGGGCCAATCTTGTAAAATTTCTTTTCTGTGAGATGATACTTAGAGTTGCAACTTTTACACTGTAGCTTCTGAACTGTGTTGTCATGAAGCTAGTATAATACAATGTGCAAACATGTTTTTATTGGTAGTGGAACTGCCTGTGCATCGTTTTTCATGTTAGTCCTTCCCAGCGAGGGTAAATTATCCATATAACCCAGGGGAGTGCAGTGTCCTAGTACCGGGGATGGCCTGTTCTTCGGTTGAAAGTTTCTGCTGAGGTAACTGAGGTAATGTAGGTGCCAGTTGGACGTCCTAGATAGATGCTTGGTGAGAAGCACTAAATTTGAGTGTTTACATGGTGAAAAGGCACTGAGATACTTGTAGAATTGTATTTATTTGACAAACACTGTTTGAGCTTTTGTGTAAGACCCTGTGTGGTGAGATCGCGTTCCCGCATGGTGGCATGCGTGAGGGAGAAACACCAACACACACCCAAGATACGAAGTGCTTCATAGCAGAGAACAGTGAAAGGTATGAGGATCGTCATGCGAGAAGGAAGGTATCAGTCACAGTGTGCTTTCAGTTAGAGGCCCTGCCTCCTGGCCCCCCAAAAGTTCCCAGTGGAAATGACTGCTGTGGATAATAATGTCTTGGAGTGAGGATGCTACCAGGGGAGAATACTCTTCGAGTTTTGTTTTCCTTTTGATCTTTCTGCTCCCACTATTTTAGATACTTAACTCTCTACTTGGTGAGAAGAACTGATTGAAAACAAGTCAGGCACTTTCTTTAGTGATTACTTTCCCAGGGTTGCCCTCAATAGACCTCTGGGGTTTACTCCTGCGGTAGTACGAGTACATTTAGTCAAATGTGATAAATGCCCAAAGTATATAGCACTGGAGTGAAAAACTTAGGCTGAGAATGAGACCTAATTCTGAAGGCCTACTTTGCTACTTACTAATGACGTAACCTTGGGTAACTTAACAATTCCAAGGCTCATCTCTAAAAGATAAGAATAATGCCAAGTGCTTAAGATTATTGTGAGAATTAACTATAATAATGTGTGTAGTGTGTTTAGCACATGTTCTAATTTATGTTAAAAGCTTGTATGTTTAAATATTATTGTTATAAAAGTTAAGATCCTGTGGCAGGAGCCAAGTCCTGAGATGCAAAAGAGGAGTTTCAGACATTAGTACCAGCTGCCTATTGAAAGGAAAACAAAGACGATCTGTATTTCAAGTCCGTGGAAGGGTCTGGCAGCCTTCAAGACAGTCAACCTCTTGACTAGAGGAGAAAGGAAAAGGAACCAGAGTTCTAGTAGCTTCTAGAAGATGGATTGAAAGAGGAGGGCAGTAAGGCCCTGAGTGCTGCATTGGTGATTCGTTCAGATGCTAGTCAGAACCTATCAAGTGAGATCCCCTGAATCATTGACTCTGTAGTAGTCATTTTATAGCATATGCCAAGGTTTCTCAACCTCAGCACTGTTGACATTTTAGACTGGATAATTCTTTGTTGTGGTGAAGGCTATCCTTTTGCATTGTAGAATGTTTAACAGCATTCTTGATCTTTGTGTACTAGATACCAGTGGAATCCTCCAAATCATGAAAATCAGAAATATCTCTAATAGCTAAAAAAGGTGGAAATAACCCCAGTGTCCATCAGCTGAAGAATAGGTACATGAAATGTGGTATATCCATATAGTGGAATATTACTCAGCCATAATAAGGAATGAAGTACTTACACATTATACAATATGGATGAACCTTGAAAACATTATGCTACATCGAAGAAGCCAGACAGAAAAGGCCATGTATTTTATGATTCCACTTACATGAAATATCCAGAATAGGCAAATCCATAGAAACAGAAAGCAGATTAGTGGTTGCCAGCAGACTGAGGAAAAGGGGAATTGGGAATGACTGTTTAATCATTATAGGATTTCCTTTTGGGGTGATAAAAATGTTCTGGAACTACGTAGAGGTGACGGTTACACATTTGAATGCGTCAAATACACTGTATTGTTATAGTAGTTTAAAATGGTGAATTTTATGTTATGTGTGGTTTATCACAATAAAAATAAAGGAAAAATTCTCTCCATTCATTGCCAAATGTCCCCCTGAGGGCAAAATCATCCCTGGTTGAGAACCACTGGTCTATGGCAAGAAAGGAGACTACAAGAAGGTTGCTTATGAAGAAGGCTATAGAAATTGTCGTCTAAAATGTTGTCTGGTACGAGGAATAAGTTTGCAGAAAGTAACTGCACTTGGATTCCTAAACTGGCTTGGAGAACCCAAGGGAACCCATGGAGAGGGCTTAAAGCATGATGCAGATAATCCCCTCGCATAGACAGGGTTTATAAAATCTGGAGGCTTGGCTGGTAGAGAGGAAGTTGATGAACCCTTCCAGTATACGTAATCTGTACTTGGAAGGCAACTCTGGGACATGACCATTGCTTGATGATTCTACCTGCAGGAAACTAATAAAGGAACTGAGCAGTAAACTGATCTGGGTAAGAAACTGCAAAATAACCAAATCATGACAGTTCTTAGTGTTCTTAGCATTAATTAGACAGTATAAATGAGGAGGGAGGAATTTTAAGCCTATTATGAGACATAGAAGACCCTGAGACCTACAGGAGGTTACCTGAAGCTGGGAAACTTTCTCAGCTCCCAGACTGAATACAAGTTTTTAAATGAGTAATCAGTGCCGGTTGGGTCTAAATGAATTGAATTGTCAACTAGATTTCAGTAAAGCTGGAAAAAAATAATTTTTAAAAATAAATAAAAACCTTGGATTGAAAAAACCATGACTGAACTAAAGGGTGGAAGTTTTTAAAAGATAGTGTTCCTTATCACCTCAGGCTGTGTCCATGCACTTTGGTATTATAGGATACAAGTTGGTCCTATTAGAAGGCATGACAAATGTATGCTTTTGTCTGAAGGTGTTTTTTCCCTCCAGTATGGCAGTAGTATCAAGCTTAGTGTTCCTGGTAAGTTATCTTTAAATCAGATTTCAGATGGTGAAAATAACAGGCTTAGGATCCTCTAGTTTCCAGGCTGTGTTGAAGTCATACACATAATTTGTCTTCTCCTGTCATTTCCTGTCCTGCTTAAATCTTAGTTCTCAAAACACAACAGCAGGAATAGTAGAGAATTCATCTTGATCCCTGCAACATGGAAGAGCTGTTCCTAGGGAAAGCAAGCACAGCTGTGCAGTAGGTAGGAAGACAGGGATCGTTCACAAATCACCCCAGTACTGTTCTCTGAATCAAGTGTACTTGATTGAGGAGGTGCTAAGCTATATATATATATATAAACACCAATATATATGTGTATATATGTGCATATAAAACAATATATTGTTCAGTTATATATATTTAAGTTGCATATAACTTACACACACATATATATTTTGCTTTAAAGTAATTTTTATTTTTGGTTTAACTGTAAAGAGCTCTTACAATAGGCTCCAAACTGACTCCTTTTTTGTTTCTAGAAGTGTTGTTTTCCTTTTGCTCAAGTGGTTAAGTGTTTCATAACCCATAACCAAATCTAAACCATGCTCTGAAATTATGTACTGTATAGTGTGGTTTTAAATTTTGTTGTCATGGAATCTGGATTTATTCTCATTGAAGGGGCTTGTAACCTGGTAATCTACTCTGAGGTTTTTAAAAAATCATCACTAGGTACTGATGTGCGTTTTTTAAAATCTTAACTTTCAAGTCCCTTGGTTCACATACCAGTTGTCCTTTACAGTAAAGTTTACTTTAAAAAAAAAAAAACCATGAAGTTGCCATGGCTGTTTCTAGTTTAAAACAAAAACAAAAAAAACCCTAAACAGAAAAGTTAGTGATTACCATTGTTCTATTGCTCTGTAATAACCCACCTTAAGTGGCTTAAAACAAAAAGGAAGAACCAAAATTTCATTTTGCTCATGGACCCAGATTCTGTGTGTGAAGAATTTGCAGCTGGCATGATGGGGAAAGCTTGTTTCTGTTTTACAACATCTGGGTCTAAGCTAGGAAGTCTCAAAGCTAGGGATGACTCTGGATGACTCTACAGCCCGAGTCTACAATCATCTGACAGTTTACTCCTATGTCTGTTGATACTGGTTCAGTTGCTGGTGGGTGCACCTACACATGGCCTTTCCATGTGACTCGTGGGCATCTTCACATCATGGTGCCCCTGTTCCAAACATGAATGGCTTAGGGAAGAAAGGCAGAAGCCTTATTGCTGTTTATGACCTAGTCTCAGAAGTCACATTGCATCATCTCTGCAGCAGTCACCAGCCCATCCAATTTCAAAGGAAGGGAACGTAAATCCTATCCCTTAATGGAGAAGGTCAGTGATATATTCTGTAAGAAGAGCATGTGGGATGGGAGATTGTGGCCATTTCTGGAATGCCAAAACCTTTAAGCTAGTACCAAGGCTTTTTTTGGTCTAGTCTTTAAATATCCAACCAAATCTGAATTTGTTTTAACCCCAGAAGCCTGGAACATTTATTTGTAATACAGCTACATCCCATTTCCTATAATATACATGCCTTTAAAAACTGTTGTAAATTGTTCTTAATATAAATGTATTATATAAATTACAATAAATAAAAATATAATTGTACCAAGTAAGATTGATACTTAAATAGAAGCCAGAAGTAGTTTTTTCCAGTAGGTAAAGAAGCATTCCTAAGTTTATCTGCATTATAATAAGTATGTGGTTTTTGTTTTGTTTTGTTTTAACCTGTCTTTAGTACTAATACTTGGCAGCAATCTTGGTTATATTCTCTGTAAATTTTGTGAATACTTGGATTAAGGTTTTTTTGATGCTAAGTAGCTACTAGGCTACTAAGACTATTTTCTATTCCTCTCCCTTTTTTTGCGCCACAGATCCGTGCAGTTGGCAGGCTAAAAAGAGAGCGCTCTATGAGTGAAAATGCTGTTCGCCAAAACGGACAGCTGGTCAGAGCTGACTCCATGTGAGTAGAACCACTGAGCAGTGTATCTCCTTCGTTAGTTTTCTCCATGTATTCTCCCATCTTTTTCTAAATAATTCTTTTTTTATTCCCAAATATGAAAAAAAAAGAGGAGAAAGTATGTGTTTCCTGCCTAAGAACCTGAGAAAAATAATTTGTTTTTAAGTGTTCGAAATCTATTTTATATTTACATCAATTTTACATTTTTGCAGTTACTTTTATAGCCTTAAAATATGCTGTGAGAACTTTCCAGTAGCAATATCCTCTTCTATGTGTATGGCAGAATTCTAGAAGTATGATTTATTTGGGGAATTGCTTATAAAGTATACTTAAGAGAGATTGATAAATGTAAGTGCTCAGTTCTGTGCAACCTTCAAAAATGTTTAGCATGTAAAAAAACAAAACAAAAGGAAAACACTCTAAGCAAGTGTCTTTATTTTCAAGTTACTCAGTTTGTCCTCAGATTGTGAACCAGCCCTTCCAGCTCTGCTTCTAAAGAGCCCTGGTAAACAATGTAGCTTAGGCAAGTGGAATTGTTTTACTTTCCTTGGGTTACTGTTTAGCTCTCTGCCTACTGAGTCATTGAATTGTTAGATCCTTTTCATCTTCCAAAAATACAAGTATGTTTAAAGGGCTGTTTGTTTAAACTTTTCTTTTTTATTTGGTTATATTATCATACTGTGATCTTAAAGCTACCCCACTATAAGATGTTTTAGATCAGGCAGATGTTTTTTGTTGTTTCATTAAAATTAATGGATTTTTACAGATAAAATATCCCTTTAAAATCTAATCTGCTCAGAATTTTGAGTGTCAAATCCATTGGTGATTGTAGTTTTTTTAAATAGATGATTTAGATTGTTTATGTAAATTAATATATCTTCCTCATTACATTTTTGGTCAGTTTTCATGAACTCATTCATCGTGAACCATATTTGATGCCAGGCATCCTGTTAGCTTCTCTGGGAACTGCAGCAGAATCAGGAGATGGTACATCTCTCTCAGAGTTTGCAAATCTAGATAAAAGTGAAATACTTAAATGTATATACAGATAAAGTAGAGCACAGTACAATATACCATTTGTGTTAAAACACATCAAGTTCTAGTTCGGAACTGAGGGATATACGGATGCAGAAGGGGCTTTGATGGGATTAGGCTCTCTCTTCTCTTGTGGTAGGTGCAAAGGAGAGCTGTAAGTGCTCTGATTTCTTGGAAAATCTTGAAATGTCTCCCAAGTAGTTCTGGTTATTCTGAAGGGTTATATAGGAAGACAGTAAGTGAAAATGAACAAACCTCTCCTTCAGGAAATATCTGAAAAGGTCAACTATTAATATGACAATTTTTTATGGTAGTTATGTTTCTCTGAAGATACCTGGTTGTCGGGGATGTCAGCTGGCCCATGAAATCCATTTTTCTAGAATATTTCCGGATACATTACACAAATAGTAAAAAGGCTGCATAGTTGATGGCTAGGATAGCTTCTTGATATTTAGTGTACCTATCAGAATGATTAAGCATACACCAAAGGGCTTTTGTTATTTTCTATTTGTAATATTTTTTAAGGTAGCAAAGTGTTCTAATAAACTTTTCTGTTATATGAAGATGTGGTTTATTATTTAGGTCTCTAATAAACTTGATATTTCACACTAGTGAGATAAAAACAGGACTATTTTAGTATAGCATCACTTTTGGTTTTTAAGTAACTATCGATAGCTGAGTTGAGTTGAAGAGAAAGGAAACAGCTTTACTATATTTGAAAACCAGCCTAGAGAGGTATAATTTAGAGTAGATGATTAGTTCATAGGTATTTTTGTAGTTTACCAATAACCTAAGTTCCTTATAACAGAGAAGATTAACAGAGTTAACTAATGTCTGCTTTTTGTGTTTCAGTTGCCTTAATGGCACTTTCTAGATGTTTAATAAAACTGAAAATCTCATGTTTTAATTTTTGGTGGTAAAAATAACATGCAAATTTAACTACATTTTCACAGTGAAATTCTTATATTACCATACTTAGATTAACCATACTTTTTTATTATGTATGTTACCATGTTATGGAAAGATGCTTGACCATCTTTTTGTTAATAATGTAACCTTTTTCTTCCCCTACCACTATTAATTTTAAAATTTATAATTGAATTCATTTGTAAGCCTCTATATGTAATTAACCTTAGGAATTTTTTATAATGAGCTTTATTATATATTCAGTGTTGGTAATGTGGTAACGAAGAAATTGTTGATGTAAAACAGCCAAGTTTTACTTCCACTAATGTAGTTATTAAACTTTTGCTGTCTTTACCTATTTTAGTCTCTTCTTTGTAATGTAAAATTAATTGTGTCATTGTGCATGAACCTTTGCCTGCCTCCATTTTATTTTATTCCTTGGCTTTAAGAGTAGAAGTACATACAGACATAAAAGCAGGAGCACTGGCCTTTGTTTTCTTAATTGCTTTCAAGAGTTAGTAGGATTGATTATTGTCCGCTATTGACACAAAAATGAATTCTGACCAGTAAACTTGTATCTAGCTTTTTCTTTCTGTTATAAAAGCTGAATATGTAAAAGAAGCATAATTATTATTTAAGGTGGTACAGAGCAGATTCTGCCCCAAGAAATAAAATTTCAAGGTTCCAGGCACCGATTTCTGCACCGGAGTACACGTAAGATTTTATCTGCTCTGCTTTTCACAACTAGGACTTGTTTTGATTTTGCAGGCTTGTGTTATACTAATATTTCACTAAGTAATTATCATCATATAATACCCTAATGCTCTTACTGTCTGGCTTTTCAGTACCTGGGTTTTAGGATTTCTCAAACTGTCATCATACACTTTGTTAAGAAAAAAAAAAAAGACAACTAGACCAATTAAGGAAGTAATGTATGATTTGGAGTATAATGGTAAAGTAAAATGGAATAATTTGCACATAAGGACCAAGCATCCTTTTTTATTTTCTTTATTTTGCTTTCGTTGGCATATTAGTTCTCTGTAGATTCAACTTAACCAGGTTTGGTGTCTTGCCTTCCAGAAGGAGAATGGGGTTTAAGAGTGTTTTGTCACTAGGTTTGTTTTTTTTTTTAATTCCATAGATTAAAATATGCTTAGAAGAATGTTTTGAGATCATTTAAACTCATTCTTTCTGTGAGTGTGACAGAACAAGGTGTGGGAGTGACTGACCTCTTGTGGGGATATTTCAGCCTGCTGTATAGGAATTCAACAGCCAATGCAGTTTGTCACAGAAATTGATTTTTGTCTTAGTCTAGTTCTCTTATTAGGCTTCTAGGAACCAGAAAATTGCCTTAGACAATGACAAAAAATTAAGGTTTTCTATTTAAAATTTCAAGAGAACTGGGGCACCTGGGTGGCTCAGTTGGTGAAGCGTCTGCCTTCGGCTCAGGCCATGATCTCAGGGTCCTGGGATCGAGCCCCACGTCAGGCTTCCTGCTCCACAAAGAGCCTGCTTCTCCCTCTCCCACTGCTTGCCACTCTCCCTGCTTGTGCTCTCTCTCACTCTCTCTCAGTCTCTGTCTCTGTCAAATAATTAAAATCTTAAAAAAAAAAAATGTTTTCAAGAGAAATGGTACAAAATTTGTGTTTCCATGAAAATTTTTTCTCCCTCTTTTCATGATTTTACTTTTACTGTTTTTTTGGAAGAGGTTGGAGCCTCACCAAAGAGGTTATACCCTCACAGTTTGAGAAATATTGTTCCTGTGAAAACCCTTGGGGAAAGAGGTACTTGACTTTGGACTGATCTTTTAATAATGACATAGTTATGCCAAATAAATTTTCATTTAAATATTAGTTCTCACATTGGCTAGTGTTGTTTACTTAACATTCGTGTAGTAAGATTTTATATAGGCATGAGGTGGATCTATTACTGATGAAATGATATGGTAAACATGAGTGCTTTCTTCAAAATTTCCTAATCTTTTGTAAAAGAAAAAGATAAAGTTGAGATTTTGCTGTTTTATAACATTACTTGGATCAATTTATTATCAAAGTACGTTTCTATTAAATTACTAATATTATAACATTTGCTTTAATAATCCCAGTGCCTTAGCAATATGTTTACTTTTTCGCTTTCACAGTAGTTCACTTGTCAAAACAAAAAGTCACTACACCTTGGTTGGGTGGATGAGTGGACAGAGATGAAAATCCTAAAAGCACTGTTTCCTTCCACAGCTGATGCCAGTCAGGGGTGGACGTTCCAGCTAGCATCAGGCTGATTGCTAAAATGGGCTTATTCTTTTTTGTTCTTAAATTTATTCGTAAAAAAAACACCTGCAAGACCACTTGAGGCTTTAAAAAAAAAATTGCTAAAGTATTTATTGCTTCTAACTAGGGTAATTTTGGTCAGTTGTGATTTAATCATTTGGTTCAACTGTAGATGGAAATAAATGTTAATCAAGGGCATTTAATCTATACATACACTGCCCAAAGTGGTCAACAGTTTTAAAAATAGTTCCTGCTCTGTTTTTGGTGTTTATGAAGGATTACCAAACAAATACAGAAAAGTAAGTTAAATTTCTTACTACTCTTTGGAACTTTAACTTCTTTTGAGAAACAATCAGAAATCCAAGTGTGCTTTTGATGTTGGTTTTTGATGAAATAAATATCTTCAGTAGTATTGATAAAGACTTAATTTCATCTTTTTCTACAATATTTTTTCTCATTAAGTTACAATTGAGGATCATGTAAGTTTTTTTCATTTGTTACCATATTCCGATTTTCATATGATCATGCGTAGAATCTTAGAATCAGCAGAGATCTTGTTGACTGTTTTCATACTCAGCCTTCTGTGCATTCCCTCTAAGAATTCTTTGCAGTTATTCTGAAATTAGTTTATGCTTGACTACTTTATAAATGACCACCTGATTTCACATGTATGGACAGGAAATACTTGTACTTTTAGAACTTTAAATAAATAGTTCCTATTACTTGTTTCTGACAAAATTATTTCTCTCAAAGGAAGTAATCCTTCTGTAATTTTTAGTGGACAAAGATCCATCAAACTTTTGTCGTGAATTTGGATTTAGTTTATTGACATTGCTGCTCTAAGATTAAAATTCTAAATATTGATTATTATAGCCTTTAATATGTTAGTGTGTAGCTAATGTATTTACTGATGCAGAATGAGGTGTGAAGTGTTCGATTTAAGCCCTAAAATGCAAAGACAAAAACTTTCATTATTAAATCAGAATATTGTACTGGCTAGTCTTTTACAACTTAAGTAAATTTAGCCAAGTTTCTTGGCAACTCTATCAAGAGAGTGTAAGTTGGATTGTTTATTTATAGAAGTGCAGAACTGGCCTTCTTATTTCTGCTTCTGGTGACACTTCTCTAACATGAATTCGGTCTGCTCTCTCACAAAGAGCAAGAACTTCAGGTTTTCCCTGTACTCCCTAAAGTGAAGGCTGAGTACAAGGTTTGTACCTAGACTTCGTATCCCAAATAATACTGATTTCTTTTTACTCTTCTTGGATGCTCAATATGGGTTTGGCCAAGTATCATGCATGGGTCGGTTGTTAAGTTGGCTTATATATATTCCAGAATCTCTGGACAGACATTTAGGGTCATCATCCATGAGTCTATACCCAGAAGTTTGCATTTATCTTGACAGCAATAGGCCAAATTCCTGTGAAGAATCAGCTGTGATAAATTAATTTCTCAATATGCCAAGATATGGCTTAGATCTCCTAAATAGTCTTTGGAAAACATGGCTTTCTTATTTATAATACTTGTCACTTTGGATTATCAAGACATTCAAAGTTATTCACAAAATTGTGGATTTTGTTTTTAATGTTTTTAATGTTCTGGGGACTCTGGGAATAATATTGGATGTCAGCTGTCCTTTCAAAAATGATCCCACTTATGTTGTGGTTTCCAAACAAAATGCATGTTAAGTTAGAAAAGATTACACAAGTCAAAATAAAAGATTTTCCTCTTTTCAGTTGTTCACTGTCTGCTCCACTTTCATTCTTTTGGATGAAATACACAAGGATGAGTTTTAGCCTAAGGGTTTTTGCCCTGACCCTGAGAAAAAGTGTTGAGCCCACATCCAGGGTCATGGTCCTTCTATTGCAACAAAGCCTCTTAACATGACAAACCAGATGGCCAAGTCCTGGTATCACTTAAATACCTCACACACCACTGATCATGCCCTACCATTAAGCTGCCCTCTGAAAATACACCAAGCTCAAGAGTTTGTTAGAACTAAAATCGCTTCATTCAAGTATGTTTAGCTTCTTTTAAGCACTGGCAATGGAGCCAAGGAAATTGTGACTCTCGGCTTACACAGGGAAGAAAGATTAAGATTATGTCACCAAGAAGCCCAGAAATGGTTGTTTAACATCCATCTGGAGAATTTAAGAAATCTCTTGCGTCTGTTCACTCTCTGCACAGAATTGGGAGTAGTTTTATGTTTTAGTCATTTAGCTAGAGGCCATATGCTTTAATATAATGAAGCTATCAAAATGCTTTTGTTACAGCTTCCTGAAACTTTAATTCATTTTTAATTTACGCATCATAAACTCAGCTTGCTTCATTGTCTCTGTGAAGTATTTGAAATGGCGTTTTCATGGAATCACTTTGATTCGTGTGCTTGAACTCTAACACCTGTTCTACTAGAACTCTCTGTCTTCATCTTCTCACCACCCCTGAGTCACAGTGCAGTGTTGGTTGTGAGAGGTTTGATTGACTGGATTGGAATACGTACACCAAGAACGCCGTTTCTCCAAAGCTCGGGGCTGACCCCACTGCTTGCTGTAGTTGTCTTCCTGCTCCAGAGTTGTTTTTTCACATTCAGTTGGTTTAATTTGACGTGTAAGGGTACACAGTCACAGATGTTGCACTGTAGCTGCTTTAAAAAAAAAAACAAAAACAATTGAATACGTTTATTAACTTGTTTGGTTTGACTGTTTTCGTAGGGGAAGGTGAAGGGTGGGAAAAGGGACAAGAAAACGAAGATAATTCTTAAAATATTAAGGGTTTGGGGAAACTGCTCAGCTGAAGTTTTATAAAAATCTGACTTGAGTGTTTTTCTCTTCATTTGCTGTGCTTATGTAAACAGTGTGACACCATCGCCACAACAGGTTCGGGTCTGTCCTCCCCAAATGTTACCTGAAGATGGAGCTAATCTTTCCTCTGCTCGAGGCATTTTGTCGCTTATCCAGTCTTCCACCCGTAGGGCTTACCAGCAGATCTTGGATGTGCTGGATGAAAATCGCAGGTGATTGGCCATCAGTGACTCTTGCTGGCTGTAATGCATATTTTTTTGGCTCCTTATCAGTGGACTGTGGTGTCTTCCTTTTGTGTGTGCACCTTCGTCTCTTTCCAAGATGCAGTGGTTTTAAACAACTTGCTTTGCTTTCTTTTAATTTGAAATTATTGTCCAAAATTCACATTTCACAAGATTCTGTTAGCTTCTCCTCAGTCAGGGAGAGTGTTCAGTTAATAACTATATACAGGAAGTAGAATGATTTTTTTCAAAGGCTTTGCTGACCTGTTCTAAGTACTTGACTCCATTGGAATATGGGGAGGCCTACTGTTGGATTGAGTGCAGGATGTTGGACTGAAGCATACGGATTTTCTTTAGTAAGTCTTTTGATTGAATCATTTACGATACTAATATCATTGGATTAATGAAGCAAATCTGAGAGGACAGTAGCAGTAGAGCTGCCAGGATACTTTTTTACTTTCCTTTTAGCTACAGATTTCTAGGCCTATTCTCAAAACCCCAAGCTCTGTTATCTTTTTGGTAATACTGATATTTTTCAGTATTGATAACTTCTCTCTCTCTTGAACATCCCCAAGTGAAATCAGTAGTAGTACACTTAGACTTGCTCATACAAATTCTTTTTTGCCGTTATTTCAGGTATTTTTTTTGCCCTGCTTCTTCACTACATAGTATTTTTAGAAGATAACGTTTGGGGAGCTTTTTGGCATAGTGTGGGAAAGGTATAGGCAGTTTCATTTCAACTCCAAGCATTTTATCTAGTGACTCTGTGAGTCGGTGTTTGAATTTTCATGGTCATTTTAGTAGACTGTTAACTTTTGAAGAATTCCCAATAAATTAAGCTGGCCTTTCTAGTAAACCTTGTTTCTTACCTTAGGAATTGATATGTCTTGTGGCTGTCTCTGAAAAGACTTTCTTGTTGAGTGCTTTTGATCCTCATACAAGCCTCAGAGGTTTTACCATACTTCATGAACACTTGTCCGTACTGTCGACTGGTGTTTTTAAGCCTTCCCAGGGTTAATGCAGTGTTAGCCATTTGGGCCCCAGAACTTAAAGCTGCACCAGAAAAGAGCTTAAAACAGAAAGCTCGTAGCAGGGAAAAATTATATGTACATGTATGTGTATGTATGCATGTGTGTATACATATGCATCCCCCTCCCCAAGGGTTTAGAGGACTATCTTAAGAGTATTTGCATCCTGTAAGAAGCAGCATGGTTCAGAAGAGAAAGCATGGATTCAGGGGGCCAGTCAGTTTCGTCATGATCCGCCCCACTGAGTAGCTAGCTGCATGAGGGCTTTGGACAAATCGCTTAGCTTCTCCGGTCCTCATTTTCTTCATCTATCCAAAAAATAAATAGAGGGCTAATAATAGTATGACCTAGTTTTCTAGATTCTTGTGAGGACTCTTTCCGCCCCCCACCACCATCTTTATATAAGGTATAGGTCATAATGGCCTCAGTCAAATTCCTTATTTAGGGTCATGGCAGATGCTTCAAACGATATTGAATATAAAGTACCTGGCACCTAAGAACTGATCTTCCCAAAGACCTATTTTCTCCTCCCTCCTTAAAATAGGTTTTTTTCTTCACCAGGTACCCTCTTTCACTTTTTAATTATGGCAGGTTCTTAGAAGAGACCAGATTATTAGGTCAAATTTTGTCATATCAAATGCTAGTACAGTGAAAATATCTGAATGAGAAAGATATTTATAAATTTGATATAAATTAAATAATTGTGGCTTCACAAAACAGTCCTTCTCCATAATGGAAAAGAATTTTGCTTCAAGTTCAAAAATACAAAATCAGAAATCTTACTAATCTAGAAGTTACTTTGTATTCTTTTATTATGAAAAACTGTTTTGAGCCCTAAATGAAATTTTCTTTATTTTTTAATGTAATGAATTGATAGCTTTAAAATCCATTTTCTGAAAAGGAATGATCTTTTCTTAAATGAGATTTTTAAAATTCATGAAGTAATTGTATTAATAATTCTTTGCTCCTGGATATACACCATTAGTTGTTACCTTGGAGCCTGGAGGGTTAGATTCTTATTAGTCTTACTGGATGCTTTCATTATTGAAAAGGTTCCTTTTTTTTTTTCCCCCTCCATGATTGTATTTAAATTTCTTATGATCTAAATGTTGAACAAGATTTAATCAGAATTTTAAGTACCAAATCAGTTTTTATTTCTACAAGAGAACTGTCTGGCATGACTTTGCAGATATAAGAAGTAGGAATGTGAAATTTGGATAATGTTCTACTTGCATGATTATTAAAATAATACTGCTTATAAAGTTTTAAGTGCTTTTATATTCCTTGCTCTGTATATCATTTTTTTCTTTTCAATTTTATTACTCTTGGTGGTTATGCTAATGCAATATCCTATCTTTGGTCTTCTGCCCTCACATTAGGTACAGTTAAATTAAGCTGGAACTATTTGGCAGAAAGAAAGAAAGAAAAAAACTTCCTGCCTGCCTTATTATTAAAAAATGCAGATTCACAGTTGCTTTATGGAAGAACAAATTTTAGTTGACATTTTAAGGAACACTGTGGAAAGGTTTATGTACTATATTTTTGTTTTCTCCTATTATGAGAACTTATTTGGTCTAAAACCAAGCTCCACATGGAGACAAAGCTAAATCCTTGGTACACATTAGAAAAGTTTATTTACACAGGTCAGTGCTGTGCATTTGGAAAATTGATATATCAAAAACTTCAATGCTATTCTGTTATGTTTAGTCCTTGGCTGGTCAGGAAATGCCCATGTCTCCTGACATCTGCTAGAACTCCATATCTCATTCTCCAGTGCAAAATATTAACATTTAAAAAAAGAAACTTAATTCTCATGTAAGAACATTATTTAAATATCAACAGATTAGTCATGCTTAGCATGCTTAAGTTTTATCTTTAGAAGGAGCTTGATTATTTTTATACAGTTTTTCTTGAGCAGATTGTATTGGCTTTGAGTGAATAGAATACAAGTAATTGATATTTTTGCAAGTATGCATATAAATATATTACTGTTTATTCACCATAGGGGCGTCCATTTTTTTAGTGAAGAAGCACATATTTTATTAAGTCAGAGCATTTATTTCCTCAAAAATGTTAATATACAAGTTAATGCTAGAACTTGGAGAACCTTGGATCTCTTTCCCTTTTGCCGCTTTAATTACAAAACATTATTGTCGAATATATGATCAAACTTAAAAAGATTTTTTTTAATGTATTAAATCATACTTATGGTAGAAAGTGGTACTTGAATGAAGTTTCTAACTTTGCCAAATACCTGTCTAATTTGCTTTTATATTATATGTGTCAATTGCCAGTGTGAGAAGACAAAATGAAATACGTTGTGAAAGGTAACTGTGTTATTTTCTGGCTCTGCATTATAAAAGGGAAATCTCTGTGGTGGAATATGTTGAATATGGCAGATCCATTTGAACATACCAGTATGAATTTTTTAAGAAGAGCTTTAGCTAGCACACAGCGGGTGCTTCATTTAGTTGACCATTCTCTCCTATTAGTGTAACAAGACTGTAGTGAAGTAAGTTTTCCTCATGCCACAGAGTGAATATATGAGTAGGATGGGACGATTTAAAAACCTGTTTCAAGCATATGTGATTTCTCACTGTTCTTTATTTAGCCAGCACAATAGAAGTCTAACATGTCTTCCCCAGAAGTCTCTGAATCTCTTATCCTCTAGGCCCCAGAAATTTCTTTAAGCACCAATAGTGCCTTTAGGAAATGTACAAGCTAAACATTAAAACTTCCTTGTATGAATTAACTTGACAGAAAGTAGTGATTTGTATTGTAACCAAAATTCTACAGCTGTACCAACTTACAGAAAAAACTAATTCGTTTGGTATTAAATGTTTACCAAAATTAAGTGTTGCCTTGATACTTCCAATTCAGGCAAAAACCTCATCAGTACTTAGAGAATGAGACATTTAAAACAGAAGGTAATAATTCTTAAAATCCTTATATGGACCCTATAGCTCAGCCTCCTTTCTCTGGTTTGTAAATGTTACTTTTGGAGGAATTGACCAGCAACCACAGAGAGCTTTTGTTTTCTGATTTTTTTTAAAATGAAATTCATTGAAAAGGTTACTGCTTACCTCGGTAGAGAACTAACTGTCCTCTAGGACCAAAGTATGTACTGAAACTGATGAAAAGCCCCACAAAGTTTTCCAGTGCACCTTAGTCTTCATTCCCAGCAGCCCTGTATGTCACTCCTGGTTGTCTCAGGATGAGACTCACAGATGTGATTGTACTTTGTAATGTGCCATCGCGTAGCCCTTAGAGCCTGTGCTCAGACCGCCTCAGCTCCAGAACCAAGGCTTACGGCTTTGCTGTCCAGAGCCGAAGTTTGAATGAGACACAGCTACGTTAAGATATCAGGCGTGAATCAAATGAGGTGGGAGGGGCGGAATTGTGGGAAATGGGAGTTACTTGACATGTTTAGTTTTCGAGACAGGGCTGCTGTTATCAGACGAGCAGCCATGATCATGCAGGTGCTACTAACCGGTTGGTTGTTGACATGCTTCCAAAGGTGGCTGGTGATTTTCTTTTTCCAACTAGAAAAGAGAAATTAGACTTCTTAAATAGGGTTGTCCTCTGTCTTGAATTTCATAAATTAAAATAATAGGCACCAAAGAAAATTTTTTGATGTGTGTGCTATCTTGTCACACGAGATAGATCCCTTTTGTTTTTTAGCCCACAGTGAAACATTAAATTTATGAAAATCAAAATGGAGGCCATGTGATACAAAAATTTTTAAAGTATTTGAAAGATATTATATTGTATTGCGACATACAATATAATCCTATTTGACATTTTTTTGTCTTGTTTTTGCTTTTGTTTTATTCTCTGTTTCCTGATTCTGTCTTGTGCCTTCTCCCGCAAAAACCTGCCTTAGACCTGTGTTGCGTGGTGGGTCTGCTGCCGCCACTTCTAATCCTCATCATGACAACGTCAGGTAAATTTTGAGACTTTGTAATTATCAGGGTAAATAGTTGACCGAATTTGTATTTTGCAGGACGTAATGCATGTAGTAGCCATGCCTGTATATTATAGCTCGAACTTCTACAGTTTTCCTCTCTGAGTACATCCTGTTTTTCTCTGAGAACAGCGAGCCTAGTCATTCATGACATTTTTCTACTACAGGTTGAAGAAAAATGGTATCATGGGAACATCTGAGATATTTTATTTAAATACAGTTTTAGGAGCTTATAGACGATCATGCTGAAACACAGAAAAAGTCGTCTTAAACCTTGTTTTATGTGCATCATTATAATTGGTGCCTGGGGTTCTGTCTACCATTTCCTTTTTAGTTGTTAATTGTTCGTAGTGTCACTTGCAGTGTGTAGAGAAACCTTTCCGTAAGGCGTCATCTTAAATGGGGGGATATCCGCATTCACAGTCTAGAAAGCTCAACGTTTAAAAAAGGAATTTAGTTTGAAGAGTTTTTATCATCTGTTGATTTGAGCTTTTCCCTCTTATTTTTGCCCTTTTAGTGCTTTCATACATGATTCCTAGCCTGAGTAATTACTTCTTCCTGTCGTACACAAAGACAGATAGAATGGCACATAGGAATTCTTAGGGTTCTAAGGTGCCAAAATCCCCATTTCCCATCTTCTGGGGAAAAGAAAATTGGTTGGTATTCACAGATACCAGTTTACTGTCGTTTTTTCCGAGGTAATTTTACTTTAAGCAGAAATGTATGCTCTGTTGCAGTAGATTTAAAACTGTCCACATTATTTCTATGATGAAAGGAATCTGGCACATTGATTTTTAGGCCAGAGAAGAGGGAAACATCAGTTTCTTAATAATACTGAATTCAGGTTAGAGGAATTGAAACGTGTATCCTTGGTGGTCCGTTACCACTCTGCTGACTGGTTTCTTTCACAGTATTAATTCAATCCATCGTAAATTTACCCTTGCATATTTCCCCAAAGTTAGAACTTAAGTTTGTGATCCTTTTCTCTTTCTGTGAAAGAACTTTCAGTCTGTGATCTGACTTAGCATTTTTTACAGTTTTTAGTTCTGATAAATACAGCTTTTAGTTTAAGACACACCTTGAAGTAATTTTTTTTCTGTTGTACGTTGAGTTATATGGGTAAAGCCTTTTGCCATATCCTTAGATTTCTTTGCAAATGAAGATTTCCTTCACAGATGTTTAACACCTTACTTAATTCGAGATTTAAATTGAGTAATCCCTATCACTTACACTTCCTTCTCCATGTTTAGCCTACATCCCTTTACCTTTGAAGCCATTGCTTCCCCCCCCCCCCCCCCCCCCCGCCCAGTTTATATCTCATAGGTAATCTCAGGGAAATAGAAAAGTTTTATTTTGAAGATCAAGTGTAGAGAAAAAGAATCTTCAACCCTTATTTTCTCCTCTAATCCTTTAATAGTTCTGTCTTAATGTTTAAGAGAATAATTAACTCCGATACTTATAAGCCCATAGTCCCAGCATCTGTGCACCTGGCTCACCTTACTGATGCCATTGCTCTCAGTCTTCCAGGATATTTAGTCTTACAGTGAAGGAAGGGGCGGTTAATTGAGAAAGCAAGTTCATTTCACCATAAAAGGAACATTTAGAGATTGTTCTAGATTATCTAGAGTCAGTGCACACCATCCGTCCTTGAAACTGCAACACGTTTAGTTATCATCAGCGTTCAGAATGATGACACTGGCTGGGAGCACACTGAAAAATTATAAAATAAATTCTGTTCCACATGCTTTATTAATTTTTCAACAGCGTATGAAACAAGGATTTTCTGAATAGACGTGTTTTTAACGTGTCTGGATGAAAACTGTAATTCTCTTCATACCCCTTTGTGTGATAATGTGCTTTCTGTAATGGGGACTTGCTTGAAAGATTAGAATATATGATCTCTGTGCCAACTGTCTGTGGATTACAAAAGAGTTACTTTTTAATTCAGTTTATTTATATTCTCATTCAGGAAAGTTACTATGCCATTGTACTGAAATAACCATACAGGATTAAAATAGGATATAGACATGTGAGGTGAATTGTATGGCATGTAAATTATATGTCAGTTAAGCCTTTAATTAAAATAAGCTTAAGAAGTGGAAATCCAGGCAAAGGGGAAGAATAGCATTTGTATGTATTTGTTTCTCAGAGGTTTATTGTCATGCATTTAAAAATCAGTGCTCTTTTAGAAGTAACTCTATTTGCAAAAGAAGTATTTCTTAATGTGCTTTCCCTGGAGTTGTTCTTAGTGGCTTTCCAATGTTATTTTATACACAGCCTCTAAATGACTTATCATTGAGCCAATTCTGGATCTGAACGTAGTGACAGGACGTACTCAGGCGATTTTATAATGCTTCTGTGGGAGACACAGTCGAGATAGGTCATTAGAAATAAGTTGGAGAGTAGAAATGGCAAGAGAAAAGGCAGTAAGAAGAGGAGGAGAAATAAAAAATATGTCTTACCTTGTTAACTAGAGTTAGTCTACTTTGTGTTCCCTGCCAGTGAGTCTCAGCAGGGACTCTTGTGGAAGTAGTACGGACATGAGTTTGTGGAAGAATTCTGCACTGTTATATCCTAGAGTGGCAGCTCCTAAATCAGTGCTCAAAATACTTTTACTTTTTCCTCTGCTTTCCTTTGTTAGTACCAATTCAGATGGTAAAATATTTTAGAAATTCATATTGTGAAATACCAGTCTTTTGAACAGTTCTTTGAGCATAACCCAGCACATGACATGACTTGCCAGATACTCTTAGTTCTATTCTAATACTGAATTGTGTTTTTATTTCTCATCTGCTAGGCATGGCATGTCACATATAGATACAACAATTGAAGGAACTTCAGACGACATGACTGCTGTAGATGCAGCTTCGTTAAGACGGCAGGTATTTAACGTACCAGATAAGATGTAATCCTAAATTATAGTCATACAATATCTTAAATGATACTTTTTTAACATTTTAATCATTTTCTGTCCAATGGAACCCATGAATTGAAATATTTTGTCATGCTGTTTAATAAGCCATAATTGATTTTTTCCATTTTTTTAAAAGGATTTATTTATTTATTTGAGAGAGTGAGCACAGGGTGGGGGGCAGCGGGAAAGAGAAACTTTGTAGCAGACTCCTTGCTGAGCTCGGAGCTCAACGCAGGGCTCGATCTCATGACCCTGAGATCATGACCTGAGCTGAAATCACAGGGCAGATGCTTAACTGACTGGGCCATCCAGGGGCCCTGACTTCCATTTTGATTAAAGATATGTTAAACCACCATTTACATGTTTTGATCAGCATAGAACAGTATTACCAGGATGGATTGGTATAATTCTGGCCAATAACAAAGAATCTTGACATTTTAGCAAACTGGTGTAGTCATAAATTGCTTGTTTGACTTTTTGAAGTGTGGAACAGTCACTCTGGGGACCTGTGTTACTCTGAGAATTCCATTTTGGAAGTCATTGCTTCCACTTCGCACAGTGTCTTTATAAACACGGTTCTTGTGTTCTATGAAAAGTCCTGTCTTGGAACTATAGTTGTATACACACGTTTTTAATATGAGTCCCTCAGCCTCTAGAATCACATAGACACATACATGTGGAGAAGGCATAGTCGGTGCTGTAATTGTGTCTGTGCCAAGTAGATGTAGAGGAGAGGTGAGTGAAATAAAGTATTTCTAAGATGAAGAAACTAAATATTTTAGCATTAAGAATAAATCAGAATATCATTTTAAAGGTTTAATATAATAAAAAGATAATATGAAGCAAATACTACTTTTTTGAGTCTCACTTATTAAAACAAGTGGATGCTATATTATAAGTCCTTACATATTTTCTTATACTTATTTACACCTTGCCTGTCGAAGGAAGGGGGTTTCTTTGGCATTTGTCTTTGAATTCACCATTACACCAACAACCTTGCCTTCCTGAAAGTGTAATAAGAGCCTCAGAGTTTTAACAACATCCATTCGGTCTTTACCTTAGAGCGTGAATGAGGGAGGAGAAAGATACAGTCATTATAAGCAAGTCACACACATTCTGTGAGAATTTAACAGGAGCAGGAAGCCATCTGGGAAACTATGAGTTTCTGAGATTAGTAACAAAACGGAGTCCCAAGAAGAGTCTGCAGAATTCACATTTGTGACCCTGGCGGCTTTGGAGGTTGTGCTTCTGTGGCTGGATTGCCCTGCTGCCAACGTGAACACCCAGCAAGGGGCATGCCATCGGGTCCGGCTGGGGCTGAGGGACTCGTGGCCACCCAGCTCCCAAGACACACAGTGCAGTCCATGGTCAGGGTGGAACATTCAAAAGCTGCCTTGGTGTTGCTACTTCTCAGAGGAGCCCAGATAAAAATATTTTAATGACTCAAGATCAATGCCGATTTTTTCATTGACAATAAAATGGATTGGTTAGTGTAGGAACCTCATATCCCATGGGACCAAATAAGCGCTTCTCGTTGTGAATGGTTGGGAAAAGGTAATCTTTATGTGCTCCTTTTATATATATATATATATAACTGAATTGGCCATAGGTGAAAAATGGTTGCTCAGCACTGACCAAAACTGAAGTACTTTTTCAGGTGGTTAAAATGGTTATCTCTGCACCTCTATGTCTGGTTCTGCCCATAGACTCCCAATCCTGGCCCCACCCACCCCGCACCCCCAATTTGGAGTTCTGTCAGTCCTTGAAATGCTAAGGGTTCTGCATTATGAAAATTCTCCTCCTTCAACCTCTCCGATATAACATTAGTAATACCTTTTGCTTTTATAATGTGTTTTTACATAGGTGTTGCAGGTCAGACCCCCCAGAAAGCAGATTCTGGGGTGACAGTTTGTACGTAGAGAGCTTCCCAGGGAGTGCTCCTGAGGTGACCACCTCAGGAAAGGAAGGAAGGGAAGGAAGCAGGATGGGGCAAGAGGGGAGTGTTGGGCTGCAGTGTAGTCAGTCTCCTGCGGAGCTCTGCAGCCGGGTGACCATTCAGAGTTGGAGTGAGGGGCCTGGGCCTTTCATCCCGTCACTAACTGGTTACTGATGCTGCTGCCCCAGTAAAGGAGCATAAGCCAAGGCAGCCGTTCAGCCCAGGGCTGTGCACAGTAGGGACCAACAGCCGAGCGCAGAGCTCTGTCACCCAGTGACACTCCTAGCAGCTGAGAATCACGAGCCTTTCAGTCCTGAAGGGCCTGGGTGGCAGAGCACAGGGCCCGCTGTAATAGGTTATTTTAGGAGATTCTCCCAGTCACTCAGAGTGGACGGAGAAGGCACGTAAAGCAGGTTAAAGATGAACAACTGAAGCTGAGTGACAGAAGCTTCTAGAAAGGAGCCAGAGCCCCTCATCCTTTCTGCTGTGCTAGGCCTGCCTAAATGCGTACTTGGTCTTTTCAATCAGAATAGCACGCATTGTGCAACAGTTTCCTTGCCCCACATTGAATCAAGGAAGGAAGGACACTATACTTTTCCTGACTCAAATTTGGAGAAGGGAAAAGGAGAAGATTATTTCAGTGAATTTAAGCTGTCATGGGTAACATTTTTTCTACATAGAGTTTATTTTGCTCCCCGTCAAACTTTCCACGTTTATAAGAATTCTTTTGAAAAATCATACTGCTTTATAAGAACCGAATTGCTCTGTGCATTAAAGTTTCTCTTTTGTTTGTTGTTGTTGTTTTTCACTTAGATAATCAAACTAAATAGACGTCTACAACTTCTAGAAGAGGAGAACAAAGAGCGTGCTAAAAGAGAAATGGTCATGTATTCAATTACTGTAGCGTTCTGGCTGCTTAATAGCTGGCTCTGGTTTCGCCGCTAGAGGTAACCTCAGCTCTCAAAAATATTGTCTCAACAGCTGCAAATATAAAGAATTTGCAAACTTCTTTGTTTCTGTCTTTGCATTGTATGCCGTTTTATAGGCCATGCCCTGAACATGTATTTCTTCCAGAAAGTTGGGCGGAAGGACTGAGATTTGCAGAAGTCAAGGTATATTTCTCTCACTCAGCTGTAGTCACTTTTAAGCACATCTGCAGTAACAAACACCTTAAAATTCTCCCTTTGCATGTTTTGTAAATAGGCTCTAGTTTGTTTTTTGAAAGGAATTTTTGCCTCATCAGCTCACACAATTAATTCTCTGAATGGGAGAGAGAGAGTGCATAGGAAATGGATTTAGAAAAGTATCTGTAGAAGAAAAATAGTACTTTATTTTGTCCTGTTTCTCAAACACCGTTAGATTGGACAGTTTTGTTAATAGACACTTTTGCATCGACGTCTCAACATTAACACTTCTGAAGTCATGGTCTGGTGTCAGATTTGATAAAGTCAAGGCACTTCATGTTTTCCAGTCACCTTCATTACCGTAATTCCTAACATTTCCAGCAGTTTATCTAATATGTGTGTAAAATGTGTGTTCTTATTTTTATTTTAGTTTTGCAGATGGTTTTCTATAAAGTATGTTTTTACTAAGTCCCTGTGTGAATGATTTAAAAAACTACAGAATAAGGTACAAATGTAGTATATTTAATAAACTGTCAACTAAAGCAATGTTTGTCGAAAAATTTTATTTCATCATACTGTGGTATGAGCTGTATTTCATATCATATTACCATTAATGAACCCGAGTCTTCCTGTCTCAGGAGGAGGTAATGCAATTAATGACTTGGCTGGTAGCAAGAACCTACCGTGTTTCCTTTCTGATTTCCATCCTGTCAGCATCAGGCACTGGTGGCATTACAGGTAGTTTTCTAAGTCGTGGTATCTGTCAAGTGCCTCAGAGGAAAACAGCTTGATTGGTGTATGCTTTTTGCATTGTAGTATTTAGCTAAGATACTAAATCTCGTGAGCTTTAAGTGTACCAGTGAAACCAAATCCTGGGAGCCTTTAGCTCTCAGAATTATCCGCCCCCCGATTTTGTATTCAGAAACAGATAGCATTTTAGTTAAATGTAGTATTCACCACACATCTTCAGTATCTCTCTACCCAGGTGGTCAGTGTTAAGGAAAGGCAGTTGAGGCACATTCCTTAGATAGAGGTAGATTTAATGTTTCTGTTCTTGCTTCTCCCCTATCCTTCCAAAATAAAATACTTGGAGGAAGGATTCTTCTCTTTGCTTCCTAGAGTTTATCGTGAGTTTGATGACTTTTTTTTTTTTACCCATGAAAATCTTCTGCCTTTTATAACAGCCTAATGATGTGATTATATTAATTCTAGCTCACAGGGTAATTTCTTTTTTTTTTTTTAAAGATTATTTATTTATTTATTTTAGAGAGAGAGAGAGAATGAGAGAGAGAGAAAGCACATGGGGGGGAGGGTCAGAGGGAGAAGCAGACTCCCTGCTGAGCAGGGAGCCTGATGCGGGACTCGATCCAGGGACTCCAGGATCATGACCTGAGCCGAAGGCAGTCGCTTAACCAACTGAGCCACCCAGGCGCCCTCACAGGGTAATTTCTGAGTGATCCTCCCAATTGAAACCACAAAAATTATAAAAATGATAGGTAAAATTAGCACTTATTTTGCTGGGCAGGCATGAAAAGGATTCTGCTAGGGCCAAAAATGAAATAAAAGCAGGCATTCCAGGAGATAAGCAAATACAAAAGCTGTTTTCTCCTGTTAATTTTTACCAAACCCTGGAGATCTAGAACTTTCTCCCTTAGTGGCTGTACAGAAGGCAGGAGAATACAGTCCCATGTCTTAGGCAAGGCACTAGCTGTGACAGGAGATTTCTGCATGAAGCTGGACCCCAAAAGACTGTGCCCTCAGTGAAAGGGTAAATAGGAAATCAACTTACCACCCAAAAGGGGACAATAAAGAAACGTGTCTTCGCCTTGTCACAGATCTAAAAAATAGAAGAGCTTGAATCTCTCACTCCAAAGCCAAGCCCTGTTCCACCAGCCTCCCTCGCCTGGAAGTTGTTCATCATTGTAAGAAAATGGTTTTGGAGTTCAGAGGAACAAGTTCATTCCTGGTCAGGATGGTCAAGAAACACTTGCAGATATTTGAGCTGAACATTGAAATACATACTTACACACACACACACACACACACATGATTTCAAAAAGCAGAGAATGAAGAAAAGATTCTGGGACGGGGAAGGTGGGAAAAGAGTTTACAGGGAGCGGGTGCCTGGGTGGCTCAGTTGGTTGAGCGACTGCCTTCGGCTCAGGTCATGATCCTGGAGTCCCGGGATCGAGTCCCGCATCGGGCTCCCCGCTCAGTGGGGAGTCTGCTTCTCCCTCTGACCCTCTTCCCTCTCGTGCTGTCTATCTCTCATTCTCTCTCTCTCAAATAAATAAATAAAATTTAAAAAAAAAAAAAGAGTTTACAGGGAGGGCCAGTAATACAGTGCTCAACCTAACAGGCTAGTGTCATACAACTAAGTACAGAACTCTACCTAAGGGAATTTCTTTTTTTCCTACTTCTGGGAATACTTACTGAAACAGTAGCAGGTTATTTACAATTTGAGGGATAATTTTAGGAAAATATATTTGCAAGAGAAATTTCCTTTCTTGTATGAGTGTCTGTTTTCTAGCTTCTTAATTATGTTTGACATTGAAATCAAACTCTTTTTCTGGGCCCCAAGTTCAGAAAGGTTTAATTTCCCATAACTGCTGTTTATTTACAATGTGTTGTTGTGTCACTAAGTAGAAATTCATGTGTGCACCACACCTCTGTAGTGAGCCGTCACAGCAGGGAGGCCACAAGCCCTGACCCTAAGGAGCTGACAGATTCATGGAGGAGGGCGGGGGGAGGCTTATTAAAGAATTAGAGGATTATAAAAATGAGGAACTTGAGATACAGGCTGAAGGTTAGGGAGAGGGGAGTGTTTCGGATGGTGGACACGGCAAAAAAAATGAAAGTGTAAAGATTCCAAAATGAGATTGAACATGGGGGCAGAAGTGAAAAAAAGATCAGTGAGCTTTGTAAATGACTAGATGTGGACTGTGTGTGTGTGTGTGTGTGTGTGTGTGTGTGTGTGTGTGTGTGTGTACATGCATTTGTAAGTTTAGGCACCAGAGCAGAGATGGCATCACCCCAAAAGATCTTTAACCACCAGTGGCCCGTAGGCTTTAGCATTTAATCCATGGCAGTGGTATCCACAAGACAAAGAGCAAAGAAATAACTTACCAGCCATTTCAGCTGATTGTGCTACTGCCAACCATCCTCTCTTGTGCCCTCTGACACGAGAGGCTTAAGTTCCTGTCTCTTCATGACCTTGTGGAGAAGTAGAATCATCTCACCCATTTCCAAGGTGATGAGAAGATTGGTTGCACCGTCACTGACCCTTGTATTGTTCAGTCAAGTCCATGAGCAGTCATGTTCATTTCACTTGTGTTTTAATTTTATGGCTGTTAGCAGTTTGGCATTGATTCAGTAAGCATTGACTCACTAAAAGCTAAGTAAAAAAGATAAGATTCATTAATTCAACAAAATATAATTACTCTGTATCAGGCACTGTATTTGGCACCGAGTATACCAGGAGTGAATAAAAGAAACATCTCTGGACTCATGGAGCTTATGGTCTTATGGGGGGAGAGTAAAATTTAAGAAACCAGCACAAATAAAAGTGCTGTTGCCATTGTGATGAGTACTATCAATGGCAGAATGCTAAAGGAGAAAATTAAGGGAAATCTTTATTAGGTGGTTAGGGAAGGCCCCTCAGAAAAACATGATGGTTTTGCTGAAGTCTGAAGGATGAAGAGGACTTAGCCAGAGAGATGAGATGAATGGGGGCTGGGGACTGGGCAGAGGAGGGACCTTGCTAAGGACCAGAAGCAACAAAGGGGTTCCTCAAAAAGTTAAAGATAGACACTACAACCCAGCAATTGCACTCCTAGGTATTTATCCAAAGGATACAAAATAGTGATTCGAAGGGGTAGCTGCACCCCAATGTTTATAGCAGTAATGTCCACAATAGCCAAAATACAGAAAGAGTGCAATATGTCTGTTGACTGATGAATGGATAAAGAAGATGTGGGATGGGTGGATGGATGGATACATACAATGGAATAGTACTCTGTACTCTGACAACTCTAGAACACTTAATGAAAGAAATTGAAGACACAAAGAAATGGAAAAACATTTCATGCTCTTGGATTGGAAGAGCAAATATTGTTTAAATGTCTATACTACCCAAAGCAATCTACACGTTTAATGCAATCCCTATCAAAATAACACAGGCATTTTTCACAGAGATAGAACAAACAATTCTAAAATTTGTATGGAACCAGAAAAGACCTCGAATAGCCAAAGTAATGTTGAAAAAGAAAACCAAAGCTGGGGCATCACAATTCCAGACTTTAAGCTCTATTACAAAGCTGTCATCATCAAGACAGTATGGCACTGGCACAAAAACAGACATATAAATCAATGCAACAGAATGAAGAAACCAGAAATAGACCCACAACTCTATGGTCAACTAATCTTTGACAAAGCAGGAAAGAATGTCCAATGGAAAAAAGTCTCTTCAACAAATGGTGTTGGGATAATTGGACAGCCACATGCAAAAGAATGAAACTGGACTATTTCCTTACGCCACACACAAAAATAGACTCAAAATGGATGAAAGACCTAAATGTGAGACAGGACTCCATCAAAATCCTAGAGGATGACACAGGCAGCAAACTCTTCGACCTCGGTCATGGCAACTCCTTACTCAACGCATCTCCGGAGGCAAGGGAAACAAAAGCAAAAATGAACTATTGGAAGTCATCAGGATAAAAAGCTTCTGCACAGCAAAGGAAACAATCAACAAAACTAAATGGCAACCAACAAAACTGAGAGAAGGTATTTGCAAATGACGTTGGATAAAGGTCTAGTATCTAGAATCTATAAAGAACTTACCAGACCTAACACCCCAAAAATAAAAAATCCGGTTAAAAACTAGAAGACAGGAACAGACATTTCTCCAAAGAAGACCTACAACTATGGCTAACAGACACAGGAAAAAATGCTTGACATCACTTAGCATCAGGGAAATACAAATCAAAACCTCAATGAGATACCACCTCACACCAGTCAGAATGGCTAAAATTAGCAACTTAGGAAACAGCAGATGTTGGCGGGGATGTGGAGAAAGGGGAACCCTCCTACATTGTTGGTGGGAATGCAAGCTGGTGCAGCCACTCTGGAAAACAGTTTGGAGGTTCCTCAAAAAGTTAAAAATAGAACTACCCTATGATCCAGCAATTGCACTATTAGGTATTCACCCAAAGGATATAAAAATACTAATTCAGGGGGGCACATGCACCCCAATGTTTATAGCAGTGTTATCTATAATAGCCAAAATATGGAAAGAGCTCAAATGTCCATTGATAAATGAATGGATAAAGAAGATGTGGTATATATATATAATGGAGTATTACTCAGACATCAAAAAGGATGAAATCTTGCCATTTGCAACGACATGGATGGAACTAGAAGGTATTATGCTAAGCTAAATAAATCAGAGAAAGCCAAATACCATACGATTTCACTCATGTGGAATTTAAGAAACAAAACAGATGAACATAGAAGAAGGGAGGAAAACTAAAATAAAAATAGAGTGGGAGGCAAACCATAAGGGATTTTTAACTATAGGGAACAAACTGAGGGTTGCTGGAGGGGAGGGGGCGGGGGGATGGGGTAACTGGGGGATGAACATTAAGGAGGGCACGTGATGTAATGAGCAGTGGGTGTTATATGCAATTGATGAATCACTAAATTCTACCTCTGAAACTAATAATACACCTATACGTTAACTTGAATTTAAATAAAATTTTTTAAAAGAGCTGATGAATAAATGGATGAGAAGGACATGGTTCCTGTTCTCTCACATTTTCTGGTAGTAGTAGACACAAACATTTATGTTACATTGTGACAGGTATGATAACAGTGCTAACTTAGTTTGTTGGAATCCTGCACCCTGGGAAAGCTTTCTCAAGAGACACTAAAGCTAGACCTCAAGGATAAATAGGCCTATAAAGGAGTATAGGGAGGTCTTTATACAGCAAATGGATTCAGAGAAAAATGCCCGTGTGTCCTTGCTGTTACTAATTTTGAGGGGGCAGCTATATAGGTATTGAAAATTATTTCTAGAACTTTAAGCCCAGTAAACATAAATAATTGAAGTAAAATGCAGGAATGATCACATTCAGAAAATTGGATTTTCAGTTTTGTCTGTTTTATAACATTTTAATATGGTAAATGCATGGTTTTGTTATCCTGTCTTAAAGATTTGCACATATAGAAAGCTTTTGAAAGGCTGGCTTTTTTTTTTTTTTGAGGCATTTATTTTTTTTAATTGTGGAAGAATGCAAACAGGAAAATAGAAAAGTATAATGGGGGCGCCTGGGTGGCTCAGTTGGTTAAGCGACTGCCTTCGGCTCAGGTCATGATCCTGGAGTCCCGGGATCGAGTCCCGCATCGGGCTCCCTGCTCAGCGGGGAGTCTGCTTCTCCCTCTGACCCTCTTCCCTCCCGTGCTTTCTGTCTCTCATTCTCTCTCTGAAATAAATAAATAAAATCTTAAAAAAAAAAAAAAGGAGAGTATAATGGATTGCCATATACTTGTCACCTAAATATAACAACATTTTTCCATAGCTTCATTTTTTGGGTGAAGTATTTTAAAAACATGATACTTCCCCCCAAACACAGAAATATACATTTCTTTAAAAATAAGAACATTTTCCTGTGTAACCATAAAACCATTGTCAGGACTAAAAATATTAACAGTAATTCTTTGATATGACTTAAACCAATCCCCTCCCTCCCTCCCTCCCTCCCTCCCTCCCTCCCTCCCTTCCTTCTTTCCTATCTCTGTCTGTCTGTCTGTCTATCTAAGTTGGCTCTACACCCAACATGGGGCTTGAACTCAGGACCCGGAGATCAAGAGTCGACAACTCCACTGACTGAGCCAGCCAGGCGCCCCCCTAAACCAATCCTTGTACAAGTCTCCCCAGTTATACCCCAATGAAATGAGTCTACAGAACACCTTTTACTGAATCCTGTCTGTTCTCTTAATCTGGATTAATTCCCTCAGCCCGCCCCACGTTTTATTTTTCCTATATTCCTGTTGAAAACGGGGCTATTGTCTGCTTACTGCCCCACCTTTTGGATTTGTCTGACTGTGTCCTCTTCCCCAGATTGCCTATAAGCTGGAAATTAGGTCTAAAACCATTCGGGTTATCTGTTTATTCAAGTATAAAGAAATACCATAAAGAAGTTCCATATTTTCACTTCCAGGATAACTTCTGTTCCTTCCTGTCCTCCCTTCCTCCCCATCTTCCTTCTCCTTTCTCCCTCTCTCCCTTCTCCCTCCACACACAAGAATATAGAATTACAAAATTCGAATATTACAGAAGTACCAAAAGGTACAAAACAAATTGCAAACTTCTCTCCACCTTTCCCCAAAGTCAACCACTGATGATTGTTTTTGCTTTATACATGAAAGGCTGATTTTTTTTTAATCACCTCAAAGATGACTTTTGGCCTAGGGGGACTCATACAGCTTTCTAGACAGTGTTCCATTTTTGAAATTCTAAAAGAGTGTCTTTTATTTTTTTTTAAGATTTTATTTATCTATTTGAGAGAGCACAACCTGGAGGAAGGAGCAGGCTCCCCGCTGAGCAGCCCCCCTCATCCTCCAGGATTAAGACCTGAGCCACCCAGGTGCCCCAAAGAGTGTCTTTTAAATGCAATTCTCAAATGATTCAAAACTGCTAATATTTCCATTTTATTACCATGAAACTATACAATTCTACTTCTCTGCTTAGTGACTCCACACAGACAGCCAAGGAAACTGATGACCATCTGACTGAGCCCAAACAGGAGCTCCAGAATCCCCACAAGTAGTAGGCCGAAAAACACTGAGAAATGGATCACCCTGTGTTTGTTTTCTTTAGAATTGAAGTGCAAGGTATATTTTCTCCAGTCACTGGCCATGAAGCCATCGATGGTGAGATTACTGAAATCAGTAGGAGCGAGGCAAGACTCACTGAAGAACCAGTGCAGATTGAAGGATTCTGGATGAATGTCACTGAAATGAAAGAAACGATGTAAGATTTTCAGGAATATCACTTACCATGAAAAGAATGCATCATCGTGCCCAGAAAACGGCAAGTATACTAAAACAGCAAGTCCTTTGGAATACCGTGCCCAGAAGCTGTAGCTAAGATCTGGGTTTCTGATCATATATCCATGTACTCTGACAGCTACAAAACTTTTATTGAGTATCTGTCCCATTCCTCAACCAGCATCTCTATAGTACCTACTCTTGGGTTGAACCATATGAAATTTTCTATGTCAGAAATGGTCGAATATTCTTAATCTCACATGATTCAACCTAATTAGACAGGCGGTCCTCTACTTGCTAAAGACAGGTAAATTAAGGAGCCCACCCCCCCTTGCGGAGCTCAATTACAGAGCTCAATTCTTAGTACAAAATTGCAGTGTTGCATCTGCTCTTAAACTGGCTGTACTTTTACTGACAAAAGGCATGTTAAAAAATGTCTGATTAAAGGGATTTGTACCCATTATAACAAGGTATGGAAAATGAGAGACTTCTAGCCCAAACGCCATCTGCCCTAAGATGATTTTCCCCCCAGTTTTTCTACAGAGTAAGGCTAAGTATTCTTAGAGAGTTTGCATTTCTGGATACCAACAACTGACATTTATCCTGGGAAGACAACAGTATTTTCAGCACATGGAATGGGAGTATGCTTTTTGCAGTTTGCTGCAAGCATGGGATCCGTCTTGTAACTTTTTCTGTTACTATGTCTCCCCAGTTACAGTGGCTCTTATCTCCAGAGCTTAGCCTGGTGACTGGTGAGTTATTCTCTCCTAAGGGCCAAATGTGTAGAGCATCTGCGCTTGAAAGGTCTTATTTTAAACTATAGATCTACTAGGAAAGGGATTTTTTTTTTTTAATTTTGAGTCACAACAACTGCAGTATGCAAATTTTGAGAGATTATTTTTCTTAAGGTAGCAAGAGAAAAGGAGGGGGGATTTTTTTTTTTTTCATGTAATTACAAAAGCGAATTCTGGTTCTTTTCCAAACTGAGCAACATACAGATAACCAAGAGTCAGATTGTTCTTTTCTTCCAGTTTTACAGATTGTGCCTAGATTCAGGCACAGAACCATGTGACAAGTCTGAAATGAGCCACTTACAAGTAACTCCTCAATATTATCACTATATGAGTTAACCTTGATCCATTCCCATGCCTACAGTATATTTGCAGTACTTCTGCATGAATCCATCGACTGCTTTTGTTTCTCTTAGAGCTTATAAGTAAGGCTCTAGATTTTATGTATTGCATTTTTATTCCATTTTTTAAATTATAAAGGTAACACATGATTAGGACTGAGAACCTGAGTTAGTTCAGAAGTGTAGAAACTCAGTGCTCCCTTCACTTCCCCAGGGCATCCCCTGTGGCCATTCTTCAAGGATAAAAGTTAAGTTTCTGGTGTATATTTCTAGAAATTCTTTATACACAGACACACATGCAGCCACGAGATAAGCCATCTGAGTCAAGTACTCCTTTTGGACAAGATTCCTGCCGTTCCCGCCACCCCCCAAAACCATTCTGAGTGTTTCCTCCATTTCTGTGAGATTGTACCAAGTGGGATTAAGGTGCTAAATCCCTAAGAACCTGTGTTCCACTCATTCCATCATAGCACAACATGGCACTGTGTCAGCACCACACTATTCTCATGGAACTAGCTGCAGCATGTAAGACAATCCGTGAAAATCAGGATACTCACCTCAAGTTATTGAATGAAAATTCACAACTGGAAGTGCTGTTCTCTTGAGAGTTACAAATGAGAGGACCTTCCAAGAGAGCCTGGATAGATACCAACATGCAATACACAGCACCAATGACCGTGATTACATTCAGAAGTGATGACAGAAGCATCTGGAAAATAAAGGAGGAGCATTGGCGCATGTTATTACGTGTTCTGGTCTGTTTCAAGACTCAGCCGCAGGTGCAGGCTTCTGATCAACTGCTGCTGGTCTCCAGGCCCCCTGTGGTCTTAGGTCTTAGGATCTCCATTTGATTAGGTCTGAATTATCCAAGAACGAGGACAGCAAAGTCTCTGCCATTTGATTAGACTTACTAAAAGATTGTTGGGGGGGGCGCCTGGGTGGCTCAGTCGTTAAGCATCTGCCTTCGGCTCGGGTCGTGATCCTAGGGTCCTGGGATCGAGCCCCATGTCGGGCTTCCTGCTCCGCGGGAAGCCTGCTTCTCCCTCTCCCACTCCCCCTGCTTGTGTTCCCTCTCTTGCTGTGTCGCTCTCTGTCAAATAAATAAATAAAGCCTTTAAAAAAAAAATTAAAGAAAAAAAAAGATTGTTGGGCTTGCTACTGTCTCCAGAAAATCTGCACTTTTATATACCTGAGTCTTGTCTGTTTCAAGAGACCACTGACATCTGGTACTTCCTCCCCATTCTGTGTACTTCCTACTCCACAGAACCTGGACTAGATCTTAACCACCCACATTTTGGTGTCTGGTCTTCTGACTCCCAACTCTTTCATCCAGATTTGGCCCTGATGCTGTGAGTGGCTAGTGGTCCCCATTCTGCAGGGACCAATCAATAATGTAGTGTTAAGCAGAGTTTCTCAACCTCAGCACTGCTGACATTGGGCATTTTGTTTTGGGGCCTTTCCTGTATGTTCTGGGATGTTTGGCAGCATCCCTTTCCTCTACCCACTACATACCAGTAGCAGTCCCTCCACCCTTCCAAATTGTTGACAACCAAAATGTGCCCCAGACACTGCTGAATGTCCCTCTGGGGGGCAGAACTGCCCCTGTTGGAGAACTATATTGTGTTAGGGAGAAAGATTGTAAGCCTTTAAGCACCTTTCATTTCATAAAAGAGAGAGAAAGCAGAAAAAAAAGCATGGAATTTGCCAATAGGAAATGTTATGGCCCAAGTGAATGTTGGTATATGTGTATGCTTTCCAAAAAAAAAGCTCTATGTTGCTTCAGTGAAGTTGTTAGTCAATGATAATTATGACTTAAAATCTGCAGAGATGAAGGAATACTTGTCCTTTTCCTTGGATGCGATAATACTACTGCTTCCAGAGGGTTTAGGAGACCTGACTTAAATGAGTAGGCAGAAGAAGTGGCTTCCTTATGTACCTTATGCATGTTGTGGGATATTGGGCTTTACATATATTATCTCATTTAACCCTTTCAATAACCCCAAGTATTATTCCCACTTTATGGATGAGAAAAGTATAATTCAGGGAGGTTGGCAAACTTGTCAGAATCTCATAGCTGGGAAAATGCTAGTGCTCAGATTTTAATCACCACACCAGAATTCATCGAGCTGAAAGCACAGAACCATGGACTTGGAGTCTAATTCAAATCCAGATTCTTCCACACTACCGTGGCCTGTGCCAGTTAATTTGCTCATCAAGAAGTGCACTGTTTATATTTTGGTCATTTATTATTTCTAACTTCTTATCACTACAAAGGGGCCTGGCTACAGAACTGATCCTGTGGGGGTTCATGTAAATGACTCCACAAAACCAAAGCATTTGGAAACAAAACCAAGAATTGGACAAAGGGAAGGAGCAAGGAATAGTTAAAGTATGGGAAATAGTTGGAACAGTTAATACAGGAGATAAGCCTTGGTGACCCCATCTTCCACCTCAAGATCTAGCCTTTATCAGCTTTATGATGTTTTGGTCTTTTCTAGACTTGGAAGATACATGATATGACTTAAACACCAGTCTTCCCATGACTGCCACGAAGTGAGAAAAGTGCCTAAAACACTTTATTGCATATAATCAATATAAGCTGGAAATTTTAAATAAATAGCCAACACCACTATTATTAATAGAGCATGAGCTGTATTATATAGCACCCCCCCTTGGCGCTCCAGAGTTCCTGTAGCTCCTTGGCACATAATAATCTGTAATGTTGCTGAAGCATGAATTCCAATGATTTTCAAGGTTGGTATGGGGAAGAAAATCCTGCTGAGTTAAGCCCCACACCTGCATGAAAAGGTGTCTTGCTTATTCTCAATGTATGGCCCTCCAAGGACAGAAAAAACCTAAGTGATCATTGAAAAGATGACTTGTCATTAAAGACATGTGAGGGGAAAAGATTCTTAATGGAAATATGATTTGAGACAAAAATCTAGAGAAGTGTTCTGATATTTTACAGTTCAGGGATTTAGAAATATCTCAAGATCTTTCTCAAGAATGTAAGTACAATATAGAGGTAATACAAAGTCAAACTTCAAATTATAATTTAAAAAGAAAAATGCCAGAGAGGAGAAACTGAAAACTAATATTTATTGATATTAGTTATCATAGTCATCATTAGTTATCTTCGTGGTTTTGAGACAAATAAGGTTGTAGAGTTGGAAGTGTTCTGAGCATAGTAACAGAAGGTTAACAAATATTCACTTCCTTTACTTTTAACTTAGTTATAATTTTATACATAATGGGTGCACAGTAAAAGTTTTGGTGTTTAAGTCATATCATGTATCTTCCAAGTATCTATGGTGTATCAGGAACAAAGATGGACTATCAACAATTAGCAAAGTAATTATAATCCTAGATAAATATCAAGTGTCAGAAAAGGGTAATTTTTAAAAATATAAATGTGTAATACAGATATAAATATGCACGCTTTTAAACACTGGGTCTCACCCCTGGGGTTGCATTGGAATCACCTAGGTGCTTTTGAAAAATACTGAATCTCTGGGGGCCACCAGGCATTGATATTTTTAAGATCATTCTGGGTGATTCTAATGTTCTCATAAGGCTGAGCACCATTGTTTTCAAACCTCAAGCTCAGCCAGGAATACTTACTATGACTGCTTGTTTACTGATCTACTCCCCCCCTTAGAGAATAATGAGAGTCCTCAGTGTTACTTAATAACAATGGCCATGGCATAAATAGTGTAAAGATTGTGAATTTTGGAGTCTGATGGATTTGGATAAAAATTCACCTACTTACCAGCTGTACTACCCTGGCAAATTATTCTCTGAGGATCAATTTCTCAGTCAATGAAACAGAGACCATAATATTTCCCACTTAGTGGTTCTGAGAGAATTAAATAAGGTTGTAAGAGTTGGAAGTGTTCTGAGCATAGTAACAGAAGGTTAACAAATATTCACTTCCTTTACTTTTAACTTAGTTACAATTTTATACATAATGGGTGCACAGTAAATGTTGGGGGAAAAAAAAAACCATTGTCTCCTTTAACTGTATAAGGACAAATTGATCCTAGCAAACCCATCTTTCATAGAATTGAGGGTACACTTTACTGAAGTCTTTTAGACACACCACGAAAATAACAAGTATTCAAGAATTATGAAATTGATTACAGCTCTGGGTGTGCCTTCGAAATCTCCTTTCTTTGAAAAACTTTAGGTTAGTGAAACTGCAGATTGAGGAAAGGTCTGAAGACTGACTCCAAAGCTAAATTCTTATGGGGAACCAAAAGAAAAAAGAAAAACTTCACACTTTCCATAATATCATGTAATCGTTGTAAATTGCACGTTTCAATGGCTGTGGTCCTGCCACTGACTGGGCAGATACTGATGACTCATCGGTCACCGACTGTTCTTGTGCTTTGGCTCCAGGCCGATGGCACCATACTCACTCCAGTTCTGTTGTTGCAGCACGCTCTTCTTCTTGCTGCCAAGGACATTGTTGTTGCTGGAATGGCCCGGAAATCACATCAACAGGAACGATGAATATGATTACTTCTCATCAGATGGAAAAAGCACTCATCACCACCTCCCACAGTTGTGGGAAATCAAGGCTCAAGAGAACAAAAGGGGAAATTTGGCAATATCCCTTGATCTCGTGCACTTTGGGATCCCCATTTCAACCACGAAGATTAAAGTGGGGGAGGGCTGGGACACCTCAGGATAACAGCTTCAAACTCCTCCATCTACATTCTTACTCTCATCTTTAGAGAGACTTGGATTTTAAATGGATTAAAATGAGTTAGTTATTCATTGTTTTGGAAGGAATGTGTCTGAAAGAATTGTTTGCATCATCCAAAATTCTTTTTTTTCTTTTTTCTTTCTTCCTCTTCTTTTTTTTTTTAAGTTACTATAATCTATGACCACTTACCCAATTTCCCAAAAATTGTACAAATTAATCTGGCAAGCACCCAGAAAAAAAATTGTTTGGTTGGCAGTTGGGAACTAAGAACTCTGTCCCCACCCTTTCCCACTTCCTAACTTCCCTCCCACCCCCTGATTTTGGGAAAATGTTTTGGGAAAAAATTTCCCAACCCCTGATTTAGAGAGCGTCACCACCATCTCGCCCGTTACCAAGCTTATGACCGGAGCATTATTTTTGGTTCCACGTTCTCCTTTCTGCTCATGTATCCATGACAGGTCATGAGCTCACTTTTTGGGAATCCTGCATATAGTCCCTTCTATGTCAGGGGAGATGAACATTGCTGAGGAAAACTGTGAGAAATGATGCCGCATTCTCAGGATTAGGTTTCAATTTTGAGTAATATCTAGTCAGCAGCCATGAGTAGAAATTCTTACGGGAAAAAGTTTTGTTTCATTGAAGAGTGAAATATAAATCATTTCCTTCCACTGTAGAAATTTTAGCCGTGAGCTTTTTCTGCTCTCTCAGCACAGCTGCCCTAAAGCAATTCTCTCTTCTTCCTCCCATTCTTGTTTTCTAATGTTTTATTGAGTTCTAACAACAGGCCAGGTACTGTTGTAGGTGTTGAACATGGTTCAGTTCATTCCAGCCTCGTAACAATCCCATGAGGTAGGCGCTAGTATTACTCCCCGTTTACCAAGGAAAAGAATGAGACACAGCAAGTTTGAGTGACTGGCCTAAGAAAGTGGATGAGTGGGGATCCAAAGCTAGGCATTTGGGGTCCAGAGCCCAGACTCTCAACCACGACTCTACACTGGCCAATTCTGACAGTTCTCTCTTCCTCCATAGAGTCTATTCATTCTCATCCTCCACCCCCCTGCCCCCACACCACCACCTGACTCATCTCATCGTCCTCCTTACTGCCCTTTCCCTGAGGCTTCTTTCCAAGCCCACATCCACCTTTGTTCTCTTAGAACGGGTCTAAGATCTGCACCTTACAAGGCAGCTTTCCTGACAAACTTCACCCCGTTCTGACCATGTGCTGACTCCATGTCACTTGTGGAGAACAGAGTATT